TCTATCTTTATATTTCACATTCCACCTTCTATTGTTTAAGTCTACGTACTAGATGAGCCGCAGGTCTGTTTCTGGAACTTGGCAGGTAGCAGGGTGGTCCTGATTCACGTACTCTCTCTGAGGGTCTTTTCTTATGAGTACGTGAGGCAGCGTACCTGGATGATGGCCGGAGGTCCCTGACATCTGCTGATGTTTTTCTGTATGTACATGTGTCTGCTAGTGCGTGTCTGTGCTTGTGTGCATGTGTGTGCGCATGCGTGTGTGTGTGTGTGTGTGTGTGTGTGCGTGCGTGTGCGTGTGCGCGTGTGTGTGTGCGCGCACACACACACACACGCCCAGATGTTGATGTTAGGCATCTTTCTCAGTCATAGATAGGGATTGGGAAGATGGTTCAGTGCTTATTGTAAAGTGTTTACTATATAACCACAGGGACCTGAGTTTGTATGTCTAGCACCCCTGTAAAAGCTGGTCAGGTTGGTCTCCTGTAAACATCAGTGCTGGAGGTGGAGACAGGCAGATCATGGGGACAGGTTTAACACCAGCCGATGTAGCCAGGGCACTGACTACTAGGTTCAGTGAGAAACCCTGTCTCCTAAAATAAGGTGGGTTACCCTAGCTTGACCTCACCATTTGAGATTAGCATGGTCTCCAGCCTTCATCTGAGAAACCTCTTATTGCAGAGACCCACGGTTCCTCTGTAACGTTGGGGCATCCATCTTCAGCCCATAGGCCACAGTGTGTCTGGAAGACTTCTCAGCAAAGCAGGAAATTTGAAACTGTCCGTCTGCATTGGCAGTCTGTCAGTCATTTTTCTGTGTCCTGTAGAGTGTCTGGCAGACTCTTCCATGAAGCAGGAACCCTGTAAGACTGAGTTCAGCAGTCGCTTTTCTGTGGGTCCTGCATGTCCAGTTTATACAGCAACAGTCAAGCAGTCCAGGCAAGAGCAGTTTCTTGCCCAAATGGCTAATCTTGCCATGTTGAAAGTAATCTCCATAATAAGTTTCTTCGATGCCCATCTTCCTCTCAGACATAATTGGTGTGCAAGGAGTAGACATTTCTCATTCTCAAGAGAAACTCCCATCTTCCTCTCAGACATAATTGGTGTGCAAGGAGTAGACATTTCTCATTCTCAAGAAAAACTCTAAACCATTTTAAATGCCATTTTCTGAAGGTCTTTGAAAGGTTTTAAGACTATCTGTCCATCTCAAATATATCTCTTTATATCTAGAAAAACTAACTAACTTAACTATAAGTTTTGACTATTATAGGTAACTTTAATTTGTATTTAATTATCACAAAATTGATCTTAAATTTGTATCAATAAATGAAAATCCATTGCAAGACAAAGTATCATATTCTCTTTTTCCCTTTAGAAAGAGACTGACTGTGATCATTACCATTTATAAGCAACCCAATTTAAATGAAAACAAAAATTTATAAACAGTATTTGGGAATTTGGGCGTTGTTCATTCTAAACTGTTTCCTGCTGGTTGGGGGCGCTGTCCATACCATGGGGATCATGACAAAACACAGAAACCTGGCCAAGTCCTTGTTTTTGTGGTCTGTACGGCTGTCTTGTCCCAGCTGTTTCAGATGCTGGACTGCCTGGGACACTGCTTCAGGAGGTCTTGCTTCATCAAACCACAGAAGCCTGGAAGGAATCCACCGCTTTCCATTTTCTGTGGAAACATAATTAAAATATCTTTTCCAAAGTAACATATCCTTAAATTTTGAAGTCAAAGCAAATTTAAAACATATAAGTTGGTTTAATTTAGCAGCATTTATAATCAAGTATATTTCAGCAGTTGTTCCTTCCTTAACAATTGAACAACTGAAAAACACAATATATTGCATACAGTATCCAGACTCTCTGTGTATTTTCCATCTTTACGTGGCTTATATTATTCTATATCTTTTACTTTTATTTCTCTGAGACAGGGTTTCTCTGTTGAAATCCTCCTGCCTCTGCCTCTGGACTGCTGGGGTAAAAGGCATGTGCCACCACACCCAGCTGCTTTCTGGTTTTTTTCCGCTATCCTGTTTCCTTTTCTCTCCCAAGCCTACGTATATTTTTAAACACAGTAAAAACATTTTAGAGGCTTCACTTCATTTGAATCTGACTTTACTGTAAATCTGCATGTTTTTCTGGCCACGTGTCTGTTATCTGCTAAACAACATTGATCCCTTAGCGCCACAGTTACAGGTGTTTGTGAACAATCTCATGTGGGTGCTGGGATCCTAACCTGGGTCCTCTGAAAGAGTAGTAAGCGTTCTTCACCACGGAACCATCTGTCCAACCCATATAAATTCTTAAAATAGAAGCATGAAGTAGAAACCCTACTGACAAGTGTAGAAATCAATTACACATAGGCAGTAAGTCTGATTAATTCTATATAGCCAAAAAAAGCTGTGAACATTAAAAGAACGAAAATATCAGCCTGTTTTTCTTTCTGAAAAAAAAAACCCTCAGATTTTTCATTTAAGACTCATATTCTACTCTGTGAGTTCGAAGCCAGCCTGGTCTACAAGAGCTAGTTCCAGGACAGCCTCCAAAGCCACAGAGAAACCCTGTCTCGAAAAACCAAAAAAAAAAAAAAAAAAGACTCATATTCTAGATTTCTTTTTTTTTGTTTTTGTTTTTGTTTTTGTTTTTGTTTTTTTTGGTTTTTCGAGACAGGGTTTCTCTGTATTGTCTTGGAGGCTGTCCTGGAACTCACTCTGTAGACCATGCTGGCCTCGAACTCAGAGAGATCCGCCTGCCTCTGCCTCCCAAGTGCTTGTGTTAAAGGCACAGGCCATAACCACCCCGCCATAGATTTCATTTTCATAAATTGTCTGTGGGAGGAATAGGAAAGAATTGGTAGTTTCATAAGGCGTTGGTGTTACACAAAACAGAAAAATACCTGTTGTCGTGATGACGCAGACAGGGTAACGGGTGTAGGAGAACCAGAGATGGGATCCCCAGCGTCAGCTCCCTCTACACTACTCTTCTTAATTTCATATTATCCCGGGTGTGGTGGCACACACCTTTAACTCTAACGCTCCGGAGGGAGGCAGAGGCAGCTGGGTCTCTGAGTTCAAGGCCAACCAGGGCTGTATAGGGAGACCCTGGGTCAAAAATTCAAAGAGAAATTATTACTGCTCTTGCAGTTTTGATACAGGGCTTCACGAACTTGCCCTAGCTGGCCTAGAACTACCCGAGTAATGCAGGTTAGCCTTGCATTTATCATCCTCCTGCGTCGGCCTCTGGAGTGCTAGGATTGCAGGAGCGCGTGTCTTCACGGCCAACTTGCAGTTGTTCTGACCGCTCAGAGTCCTGTGCGCGTGATTCTAGCTTCCATTAGCCGCGTGAAGAGAGAAATTGCCAAACACAATCCCGTAGCATGGGCCCCAGTCAAAGGAGAAAGCAGTGTCCTGCACTGTAAACCTCTGCCCCAGCCACCTTCCTGAGCCTTTAAACACGTATTTCCTGGTCCTGCTGAAGCCAACCACGTGTTCCTCTTACAGTCCGGGCTGACCTCAAACTCGAGGCCCTGCCTCGTTCTTCTACTGTGGGGGTCAGAGCCGTCAGCCGTCCTGCCTGGCTTCAGGCTTCTTCTGTGCGCCCGCCCCTGTGGGCGACAGAGGGAAAACCCTGTGTGTTATCCCCAAGTAGCCCTGCACCTTGATTGTGTACATGTGGGTGCTTACGTGTTCCGTGCACACAAGAAAGGCAGCTCACACTCTCTATTGTAGTCTCTTGGGATACGGTCTCGCCAGCGGGTGGGTTTCTGGGAACCATCATGTCTTTCCCTCGAAGCTGGGAAATACATAGCCATTCCTAGCCTTTCTTTTTTTAAACAGGGGTGCTTGGGATTTGAACTCAGGTCCTCATGTTGGCACAGCAAGTTCTTTCACGCACTGACCCGTCTACCTAGTCCCACTTTTTTTTTCCTTTTTCTTTTTGTCTCTTCGCCTTCCTGATGCTTAGTAAACAGGCCAGGCTTGCTGGTCAGCAAGCCCTGTGGCAGCAGGGACCTGCCTGTTTCTTCCTCTCTGGCATTGGGGTTGTGTCAGCACACTTTTTAAAAATGCAATCTAGGTGCAGAGAGAAACCCTGTCTTGAAAGATTAAAAACGCAGGCTCTCACATGGATGTGTCAAGAAGCCCTCTCCCCGCTGAGCTGTCTTCCCGGGAACAAAGCTTACTTGTGGTTTTTCCAGACAGGGCTTCTCTGTGTGGCCCTGGCTGTCCTGGAACTCGCTCTGTAGACCAGGCTGGTCTCGAACTCACAGAGATCCGCCTGCCTCTGCCTCCTGAAGGCATGCCCCGGTCCCCTCACTTCCCAAGATTACTTTGAAAACTGGATGCTATGTGTATGCTGTTTCCCAAACACGTGACCTCCCTTTCCTCCAATGTCCACACTTGCTTGAAACCAAGTCTCTTTGCTGTCTTGATTCCCTTACCAGTTTAAAGACCCCTACCCAGGGCCCCCTAGGAAAAGAAAAACAAGGCCAGGCCGTGGCCTAATGAAAAAACCCAGACCAGGTGCCTCGCCCTCAAACAGGGTGTCTGTGATCACCAGAGCAGTCATGGGACTCGGATAATAATTGCCGAAGCGTGCCGGGGTCTTTTATGTGGCAATACCAGGAAACCTAGTCCTTGGCAACTACCCCTGCCTCCAAGATGACCTCAGCCCACACTTAAGTAGCCAATGAAATGCCTGTTGCTGTGCTACTTATGTAACCATTAAAACTCTATATTGTACTCCCTGCAAGCCCGGTATGCTCTGCACCCGGGTTGCAGTAGCATCCGCAGGCGCCCGTGTACTCAATAAACCACCTCTTGCTTTTGCATCCAGTGGTCTGGCCTCATCCTTGGGCAGAGGGTTCGGTGCCCGGTGCCGAGGTTTTCCACCAGAAGATGGATACAATTGAACGCAAATTGAAGCGATCCCCCCCCCCCCCAGAATTCAACCACCAAAGAATTCTTTTGTAAAAACCATTTGGGTCTACCTCCTCTTCATAGTCCCGTGGTTCCTTTAATTTTAATGGACTATTCTTCCTCTTGTTTGCTGGAGATGCCAGAGAGAGAGAGAGAGAGAAGCACGGATAGCTAACCCTCCCCGTGCTTCTGGCTGTCCTGTTTCACGGTGCGATCCACCACGTCTACCTTCAGAAAACGCTGTTATCTGCCCATAACAACACGAGGACGAGAGAGCCGGGAGTCGAAGGAAGCCCCGTGCAATGAAACACACGTGTGGCCAGAACCTGCCCCCCCCGAAGAAGGTGGGGCCCTTTTTTCCCCCTCCGAATGCGCTCAGGTGGAAACAATGCCAGGAAGCCACAAGGCCTTGGGTGTGGCTCATTAGAAAAGTCTACCCTGGCTCCGTGCCAAAAGTCAGGTATTGATACAGGAGAGATCCAACCGGAGCTTGGTGATGGATGGGGCGTGGAAGTTTGGCCCTAGGGGGGAGTGGAGAGCAGGGCTTCCTGGCAGGCAAGGTTGCAGAAGGAGACTCGGCTTGCATTGCATGCAACAACCTCTCCATCCTCGGTGGGGACGGAGGTAGGTCCTCGGGGACATGGGGACAAGATAAAAGAGCCTGCTGTGTGAGGCTGTCCCCGGAGGAGAGGGACCGGTGCGTCCTCCCTAACCTTGTAATGCACCGACCCGCCTCAGGGCGGCGCTGTGCGCGGCCAGGCCGTTATCCAGGCGGTTTGCGCGCAGGGAGTGGGGGTGGGGAGTGGGGAGCGGTCTAGCCCTCCTGAGGCCTGTGCGCAGGCGCGGGGGTGGGGATGGGGGCGGGGATGGGGGCGGGTGAGCGTGTGCGGGCCGTTAAAAGGGTGTGCGCGAGCGCGCGTGCGGGTTCGGCGAGGTCCCCCGGTGCAGCAGCAGCAGCTCCCCCACCCCCCAGGCCCTGCTCCGAGAGCTGCCTCCCAGCCTGCGTGCGTGGGGCGGCGTGGCGTGGGGTGGCGTCGAGCGGCTCTGCAGGAGAAGGGCGAGGTGGGGCGCGAGGCTTCGACGGGATGCTGGAGGTCCTGGTGCTGAAGGTGAGGGGTCCCCGCCTTCCTCCTCCTCCTCCTCCTCCTCCTCCTCCTCGAGGCCCCCTTCCCCCCACCCCACGCGCCCCTACCGCCTTGGGGGCCCAGCAGCCCAGGTGCCCCAAGGCTGGCTGGCTTTCAGGGTGTGTCTCATTTTGCACACCCTCGTCGTCGTCGTGTGAGGTTGCAAACTCGGTGGCACATGCTGGGACCCCTTCGACGCTCCAGTGTGTAAGCCTGGCTCGGCGGAGCACGCGGGGGGCGGGGAGGGGGAGAAAAAAGAAAAAGAAAAATCACGTTGAGTTCTGGGCTAGCTTGGGCTACTCCGTGCGGAGACCCCCCTCCTCTTCCCCACCCCCATCTCAGGAACACAACCTCCCCAAAGCTAAATATCCACCGGTGAGCCCACCTGCTGTAACTCAGTTTTCCGTGGAAGCCTCGGCCTTGTGACCCTGGTACAGTCACTTTTCCTAACGTCGACTCGCGTGCGCGTGCAGTGTTCAACCTTTGTGCGCGTGCGTCGTTCAGCTTTTATGTGGGCGTGAGCGCCGCGGTGCTCGTGCGTAGAGGGCGGGGGACAACTGTCCTGAGGTCGGGTTCGGGTAGTCAAGCTTGTTTGCGAGTGCCTTTTTTTTTTTTTACTGGATCATCTTACTGATGCTTATTTTATTTATTTATTTATTTATTTATTTATTTATTTATTTATTTTAGGGTTTTAATTCTGTACCCCTGGTTTGCTTGATACGTAAATGAGGCTGGTTTTGAACTTAGAGATCCACCCGTCTTTGTGTTTGCCCCTCTAGTGCTGGGATCAAAGCCGAGCACCACCACCACCACCACCGCCCGGCTTATTATTATTATTATTTTTTATTATGCGTCTGCGTCCTGGATGTGTGCGCATGAGTGTGCAGGTACCCTCGTCAGAGCTGCAGCTCCAGGCAGCGCTGAGTCACCTGGTGTGGGTGCCGGGAGCTGATGAGAACTAGATTCTCCGGGTCTCCTGCAAGAGCAGCCAACCAACCCCTCGCTCTTAACCGCGGAGCCCAGCAGGCATCTTTTCACAAGATGATTGGCCACCTGTGTTAGGCTCAGTGGAAAAATGCCATTTCGGGTCCTCGGGCTGTTTTTCTGAGTGGTTCGGATTTGTTGTGGGGTGGTTGTTGAGTCTTAGATACTCTCTTTACAGTCTGAATACCAGTCCCTTATACCTGATAAGTGATTTGCAAACATTTTCTCCCATTTCCTGGAGTGCTGGTTACTTATAATTGACACAGCCTGAGTAGATGGTCTCAATTAGGTGTTACCTAGGTCAGGTTGGCCTGTGGACGTACGTGTGTGTGTGTGTGTGTGTGTTTGATTGCTAATTGATGTGGGAAGAATGTATCAATTAGGCGTTACCTAGATCAGGGTGGCCTGTGGACATGTGTCAGTGATTTGATCATTGATGTGGGAAAAAGCCCCAGCCCACTGTGCACCCTGGCACCCTGGGCTGTATAATTAAGAAAGTTAGCTGAGCATAAGCAGGCCAGGATCCAGGCATGTGTTCTCACTCTGCTCTTGACTGGGTGCGATGTGTTCTCACTCACTCTGCTCCTGACTGGGTCCGTGTGCCTGGCTCCTCCCGAGTTCCTGACTTGCCTTCCCTTCCACAGTAACGGACTACAGAACAAGCCCTTCCTCCCCTTACATTGTTTCTGGTCAGGATTTATCACAGCAGCAGGAAGGAGACTGGGACACATGGGTTCACTATATTGATAGTCTCTCTGGAGGTGTAAAATGCATTTTTGACGGGGTCAATAGTTTATTTTCCCTTTCGTTGCTGTGACATGGCCAAGCAGCCAATGCCAAATGTAATGTAAAGATTTTGTATTGTTTGCATCTAAGAGTTTCTAGTCCTGCCTACATCTCACAATTAGGCCTTTGATACACTGTGATTTAGTGTTTTTTTTTTGCTTTTTTTTTTTTTTTTGGTTTTTACGAGACAGGGTTTCTCTGTATTGTTTTGGAGGCTGTCGGTCCAGCCTGGCTTTGAACTCAGAGATCCGCCTGACTCTGTCTCCCGAGTGCTGGGATTAAAGGCGTGCGCCACCACTGCCCGGCTTTTTTTGCATTTTTTATCACGGGGGTGCATTCATGTTCATTATGAGGAGGCACATGCGTGAGGAGGTTGTAGAGCTAATTCTACTCTTCCATGTTTATATGAGTTTCAGAGATTGAACTCAGGTTGCCAGGCTACCCCAGCAGATGCTTGTACCTGCTCAGCCATCTTGCCTGTCCCTTGGACTATTTTTTTCTATATGGTGTTAATAAGTTCATTCTTTGGCATGAGACATTCGGTTTCCCATTGATGTTTTTGGAAAGTCTACTGTTTCCTCATAGAATGATTTTGGCACCTTTGTCAGCTATTATTGGCCACATGGTAAAGGCAGGGGTTCTCCCTGGGCTTTTATCCTTCTGGTCTGTATGTCTGCAATTATACTAGCACCACACTGTTTTGATTATTGTAGCTTTGTAGTAAGTTTTGAAATCAGGTATGAGTCCTTCTACCTAGTTGGGTTTAGATACAATGTCTCTTCTACCTCCTTTGGTAGCCCAATCCTCCCCTCCAACTCAGGAGTGTTGGGATCACAGGCTTGTACTGCCGTGAGGATTAAACCTAGGACTCCATACGTAGCTAGGCAAGTATTCTGCTTACTGAGCTACATCCCCAGCACTTTGCTTTGTTGGTTTTAGAGCCTTGTTGGCTACTTACAATCACTTAAGATTTCGTAAGGAAAAAAAAAATCCATTAGGATTTGATAGTAAGAATTGAATCTGTATCTAGTTGTTAACATCTTAATTCATTTGTATCAGTGTTAAGTCTTCTACTCCACAAGTGTGGATGTGTTTTCATGATACCAAACAAGTAACCCAGATGAGCCAAGTAGTTCTCTGCTGCCGAACCGGAAGCCGAAATCCGGGAAAAGAGACCAAGACTTCCTGTGTGCTTCCCCCGTAACGCCCCCTAGCCATGCCCAAAAGTGGGCTTGGCTAGTGACGTAGTTCACTGCCTACGTACGTATATGTCTTTAGTCATGCCTAAAGTGGGTGTGGTTAGCAGTGTGGTAAACCGCTCTTACCTCATCTGTATGCGCCTCTAGTACGGCATACAGGCTTCCTCCTACAGGCATGTGTCCAGCTTTCCCTGTATTTTTGTGTCTGTTTCTTTCTTCATAGTTTTATATTTCCACAGTAGTTGTAATATATTTTTATAGAATCCTTAGGGTTTTCTGTGTAGACAGTCATGTTTATAAAAACTGATAAGTTTATTTATTTTCAGTTTTCCTGACAATCTTATTATCTAACACACTCCAGTCAGTGTTGAATGAAATAATATGGACACCACTATTAGGTTTTTATTTCTTGTGTTTTACTTCCTGCCCTTTGAATATCAATCACGTTTGTAAATACAGCTAGGTGCCATGACACACTCTTGTAAGCCTAGCACTCAGGAGATGGAGGTCACTCTCTGTGAGGTCCGGTCTTGAAACCAAAACACAACAAAGTCCCATTTTGTAACTAAGCTTCTTTAGCCACTAACTATAACCATCTGGTGGCTCCGGGGGTCCTCCCTCTCTTCTTTTCTGTGTCATGGTTTCATTCTTCATATGCCTAGTAACTGACTTTATTGGACTTTGCTTTGTCCCTTCTTTATTATATTAAGCATGAAGGTGACAGTTTTGCTGTTAATTATATGACTATAGAGTTATCTTCAATGAATAAAATCAGAATGACTGCTGTCCCCTCACTCCAGTAATTATAAAAACCTTCAAACAGTCAACCATGGTGGCATGCAACTTTAATCCCAGCACTCAGGAGGTAGAGGAGGCAGGTTGATCTTTGTGAGTTCGAGGCCAACTTAGTCTATATACCCAGCTCTAGGCCAGCCAGGATACATAATGAAATCTGGTCTTTAAAAAAATAAAAGCAAATATTCAGAAGAGTAGAAAAATACTAAAGCAAACTTGTATCCCTGCCCTCTGGTGTGTAGGATGCTGTGTTGGTGTGTTGGCTTCTAGCCCCTCTCAGTAGGAAGAGGTAGACATGCATTCGAAAAATCAATGGTGGTTTTAATTGGTGTTTCAAATTCAAATTTAACTTTTTCCACTTTCTAGCTTATCTCTAAAAATGATACTTTGTGCAGTTTTTAATTTTTAATTGTATGCTGTGTGGTGGTTTGAATAAGGATGGACTCCATAGACTCATAGATCTGATCTGAATGCTTGATCACTATGCATTATTTGAAAAGTTGGGGAGGTGTAGCCCTGTTGGAGGAAGTGTGTCTCAAGGGGTGGGCTTTGAGGTTTTCAAAAGCCCAAGTCGAGCCCTGTGGCTCTCTTCCTGCTGCCTGTGGATCTGGATGTAGAGCTCTCAAGTTCTTCTCCAGCTCCGTGTCTGCCTATGCTTGCTGCAGTGATGACAGTGGACCTAACCTCCAGAAGTGTAAACAAGCCCCAGTTAAATGCCGTCTTAAAAAGAGTTGCCATGCTCATGTGTCTCTTCACAGCAGTAGGATACCAACTAAGACAATACCCATCAGGGCATATACCATGTGGGATGCTGTCCTTGGAGGCCAGGAGACGGCATCAGCTCATCTGGAGCTGGAGTTGCAGGTGGTTTTGAGCTACCTGGCTTGAGTTCTGGAAGTGAACTCAGGTCCTCTGGAAGAGAAGCAATCGATCTTAGCTGCTGCTTCCTCTCCAGCCTCTTATAGGTCTTCTAATTCCACTTGAATTTAGTGTGTGTGTGTGTGTGTGTGTGTGTGTGTGTGAGAGAGAGAGAGAGAGAGAGAGAGAGAGAGAGAGAGAGAGAGAGAGAGAGAGAGAGAGAGAGAGAGAGAGCGCATATGGAGGTCAGAGGACAACTTAACAATTTGTGAAAGTTTTCCCTACTTTATAGGTTCCAGTGATCAGACAACTCAGGTCTTCAGCCTTGGCAACAGGTGCCTTTATGGTATAGCCACCTCACTGGCCTGATTTAAATATATATATAATTCAGATAGCTCTGCCTTCAGTCTTTTATTCTACTCTTCCCTTTCCCCAGGTAATAATCTGTATTTATCACTTATCCTCCCCTAGGTTTTTAGCCTGGGGTTCATACTGAAGATGGAATGTTAACATACACTTGTACACGTATGTTAAGTGCTTTGCCACTGGACTGCACCCCCAGCCCCTCATTGGTGTGGACCGAGTTTCTGTTCCACCTGGTCCCTCAGCCGTTCAGCCCCAAATAAACACACAGAGGCTTCTATTGATTATAAACTGCTTGACTGATGGCCTAGGCGTCTTACTGGCTAGCTCCCTCTTAATTATTAACCCATTACTGTTAATCTGTGTATTTCTACATGGCCTTACCTTACTGGAGAATGCCTGATGTCCTATCTTCCCGGTAGCTACATGGCTTCTCTCTGGCTGCTCCTCTCTCCTTCCTCCTCCCAGAATTCCTCTAGTCTGGTAGCCACACCTATCCTTCCTGCCTGGCTACTGGCCAATCAGCATGTGTTCATCAACCAATAAGAGGAACACATATTCACAGCATGCAGGATAGCATCCATAATCTCTTTTCTGTCTAAATAAAAGGGAAGGTTTTTACTTGAACATAGTAAAATTATATAGAACAAAACAGTTATCAAGCAATAACTATAGTTAACAATATTTAGTCCATTAACCTTTGACAAAATTTAAAGGAAATACTCTATCATCTATCCTATCTTTGTGAGCCTAAAGTTGCATATGTAACTTATCTTTTATCATAACTAAGGAAATTTATAAATGTAGCTATCTGTCTTCAACTCCATCAAAGACCTCAGAAGGATAATATGTAAACTCTAGAATTGACAGAGACATCTTGCTGTCTGGACAGTTACCCAAAGTTAGTAGTGTTGGGACATCCATCTTCAGCCTACAGGGTAAGAGAAGACTTCTCATCAGGGCAGGGAACTTTAAACTGTCCCGCCTGTATTGGCAGTTTGTCAGTCATTTTTCTCTGTGTCCTTCAAAATGTCTGGCAGACTGTCCATCTTGTTTTCAAGTTCAGCAGTCATTTTCCTGTGGGTCCTGCATGTCCAGTTTATACAGCAACAGTCAAACAGTCCAGGCAAGAACAGTTTTTTGCCCAAATGGCTAATCTTGTCATGTTGAAGGCAAACTCCGTGAGTTTCTTTGATGCCCATCTTTCTCTCTGACATAATTGGTGTTTCCAGGAGCAATTATATCTCTTTGTCATGAAAAACTCTAATAAACCATTTTAAATGTCATATTCTTAGGTCTTTGAAAGGTTTCGAAGAATGCCTGTCTGTTTGAAATGTATCTCTGTATGTCTAGAAAACCTAACATAACTAAGTTTTGACTATTATAGGTGACTATCTACAATCTGTATTTAATTATACATTACATTTTAAAATTAGCTGTATAAACATAATATCTAAACAAGAATAGATACATATAACAAAATTGACTATAAATTTGTATCAAAAACCATACCAATGCAAGTATTTTTATGTCATATTCCCTTTTTTCCTTTAGAAAGAGATTGGTTGTGATCATTATCCATTTATAACCAACCCTGTTTAAAAGAAAAAATGTTTATAAACAATATTTTGAAATATGGGCGTAGTTCTCTCCAAACTGCTTCCTGCTGTTTGGGGGTGCTGTCAGTCCCATGGGTATCTTGAGAAAACCCAGAAACCTGGCCCAATCTTGGCTGTGGTGGTCTGAGGCTGCATTGTCTCAGCTGTTTTGGGTGTTGGGTCACCTGGGTCACTGCTTGGGGGGGGATCTTGCTTCATAAAACCATATTAGTCTGGAAGGAATCCATAGCTTTTCATCTTCTGTGGAAACAAAAGCAGAACCTCTTTTCCAAAGTAACATGTTCTTAGACTTATATATTATGACAATGCCTTGACTTCAAAATTTAAGTTGGATTAATCCAGCAGCACTTACAATCAAATGTCTTTTAGCAGCTGTTGTTCCTTCCTCAGTAATCAAGCAATTCAAAGATAACACAATAACATGTAAGATCCAGACTCCCTATGTACTCTCCATCTTTACGTGGCTTTTCTTTTATTACTCTATTTCTTTTTTTTCTTTTCTTTTCTTTTTTTTTGGTTTTTCGAGACAGGGTTTCTCTGTGGCTTTGGAGGCTGTCCTGGAACTCACTTGGTAGACCAGGGAGGTCTTGAACTCACAGAGATCTGCCTGCCTCTGCCTCCCGAGTGCTGGGATTAAAGGTGTGCACCACCAACACCCTTACTCTATTTCTTTTACTTTTATCTTTTGGTTTTTTGAGACAGAGTTTCTCTGTGTAACTTTGGCTGCCCTTGAATTCACTCTGTACACCAGGCTGGTCTTGAAATAACAGATCTGCCTGCCTTTGCCTCCCAAATGCTGGAATTAAAGGTGTGTGCCACCACAACCAGCCTTTTGATTTATTTTTAACCATTTTATATGTTTTCTTTTCCAAGCCTACATATAACACACTGTAAACCCTTTAGAGTTTTTTCCTCATCTGAATCTGTCTTTACTGTATATCTTTATCTTTTTCTGGCCACGATTCTTTAATTTGTTGAGTAGCATGACTAAGACTAAAGTGGCGGCTGGCCCTGTCCTATCCCTTGGGTTTTCCAGAGTCTAGGATTTATGGCAGTTTCCAGATTCATGTCATCACCAAGAAGCATGCCACCCGCTGTTCATAAACGCCTCTCTCTCTCTCTCTCTCTCTCTCTCTCTCTCTCTCTCTCTCTCTCTCTCTCTCTCTCTCTCTCTCTCTCTGTCTCTGTTTTTCCAGACAAGGTTTCTCTGTGGCTTTGTAGGCTGTCCTGGAACTCACTCTGTAGACCAGGCTGGTCTCGAACTCACAGAGATCCGCCTGCCTCTGCCTCCCGAGTGCTGGGATTAAAAGCTAGCACCACCACTACCTGGCTAGGAAGCCTCTCTTAAAGGAACCGTGAGCCGCTGCTTGCCTCTGGCAAACAAAGCCCACCCGAGAAAATGCTGCTACCAAGAAGCTGTACTTGCCTCTGTTCTTTTGTGTTTAGAATCCCCTTCTAAGATTTTGTCAGGTTTTACATGGAAATTCTTGACCCATGTTAGGGGTGCCATTTATAGATGGAGTTTCTGTCCCACCTGCCCGTTTAGCCCCAAATAAACACATAGAGGCTCATATTAATTATAAACTGATTGACTGATGGCCTAGGCTTCTTACTGGCTAGCTCCTTCGTAATTATTAACACATAACTGTTAATCTATGTATTTCTACATGGCCTTACCTTACTGGAGAATGCCTGATGTCCTATCTTCCCGGTAGCTACATGGCTTCTCTCTGGCTGCTCTTCTCTCCTTCCTCTTCCCAAAATTCCCCTCGTCTGGCAGTCCCACCTATCCTTCCTGCCTGGCTACTGGCCAATCAGCATGTGTTCATCAACCAGGAAGAGGAACACATATTCACAGCATGCAGGACGTCCCCCGCCACACTGGCTTTCTCTTGTTCCCCTTCTTTTCCCCGTATCCCTCTAGCCCACTTTTGAGACTGGAACGGTAGCTCAGGCCAGCCCTCCAACTCACTGTATAACTATGGATGCTCCTGCTGCCCTCCCTCTGCCTCCCAACCCTGGGATCACAGGCGTGTGCCAACACATCTGACTCTGTGACATGCTGGAGATAAAAATGTCATATATGCTAGGCAAGCGTGTCACCAGCTGAGCTACAGCCTCAGCCCCGTCCTGTGTGACTCTGGACTTCACACGACCCAGGTGACACGGGAATGACGCGCAGACACATGCGCTGAGTCATGGTGGGCTGTGCACACTGGTGGAGTGGCAGCGGCTTTGCAGCAACCCGAACCCCAGTGAGTCATTAGGTTGGGCAGGAGCCTGAGGAGTTAGCCAGGCCCTGAAGACTTTTCACCCGAGGCTCTTGAGGAGAAGCTGTAGTTGCACGTTTTTAAGCACACTGTCACCATCTACATGCCTGTGTCCCTGTCACCAGCACACAGTCACACAGGACTTTATCTGCTCCCTCCGGACCCACTCAGAGCTTCCTTGACTCCCCACACTTAGGTTCTTATCTTGTTTTCCCTTTCATCTTTCAAGCTTTTTTGTTTTTGTTTTTTGAGTCAGGGTCTCTACATAGCCCCGGCTATCCTGGAACTCACACTGTAGATCAGGCTGGCCACTGCCTCCTGATGCCCTTGATCTCTGATATTTCAAAAATATGCATGATATTCATAAGCAAGCCACGGACAGTATTTATAACCTGTTTATTTTTATTTTTATTTCTTGTTCACTGTGTTCTGCCTGCATGTATGTCTGCGTGAGGATGTCAGAGGTCCTGGAAATGAAGTTACAGGCAGGAGTGAGCTGCCACGTGGGAGCTGGGAGTTGAACCTGGGTCCTCTGGAAGAACAGCCAGGGCTTTTAACTGCTGAAGCATCTCTCCAGTCCCTGTAACCTGTTTTTCAGAAAGGAAAAACCTGCAGGGTGGTTGTAGACATCATTGAGAATTGCCTGCCTATGCTTCTTTGTGTGCTTGGGGATTTTATCTTCCATCTGACCTTGTTTTGTTGTTTGTGTTTGTTCTTATATTTTTGTTTGTTTTGGTTTTTGCTTTGTTTTGTTTTTTTCAAGACGGGGTCTCACCATGTAGCCCTGGTTGTTCTGGAACTCACTGTGTATCCCAGGCTGCCTTGAAACTCACATAGATGTCCCGTTACAGCAGCTTCAGTCTGACCATTTCAGACAAAGGCGCTTGTCAAGGTTTTGTTAGATCATTCCATGTTGGAAACAATTACTGTGATTTACGGTTTTATATCACATGACTCTACTTCTAAATCCTACATTGTTTTGTCTTCTTAAAATATTACAGATCGAAGATCCAGGTTGCTTCTGGGTAATTATAAAAGGATGTAGTCATTTTTTAGAACAAGAAGTCGACTATCAAAAACTCAACAGTGCCATGAATGACTTCTATAACAGCATGTGCCAAGACATAGAAATAAAGCCATTAATGCTGGAAGAGGGGCAGGTATGTGCCTTTCTATGTTACCCTTAGACCTAAATGTGCTCTGATCTCAGTGTTTAAAACAGCAGTCAAAACGCAAAATGTTCTGTACCTAGATGGAATATTTCAGCTACTCCTGTCATATCGCCTGGAGCTAGTTTATTTTGCACAAGGTAGAACCTCGTCTTGGAAGAGGATGGTTAGGCAAGGTTCTCCTACCATGGGCAGGCCCCAGGGAGCAAACTCCATGGCCGTGTCAGCAGGAACCTTTACTGTAGAGCTGCCTCACCAACTGACTATATATAAAGCACAGGGCTGTCTTCCCGGGGCTGGGACCCGGGGCTGGGACCCGGGATCTTAATTGGTGTTGGTGCTTCTTTTCTTTTTTCCTTTCTCTGCTGTTGTTCAGGCTGTGGGCAGCTCAGTTTCTTTAGTCTGCTCGCTCCACGTTGGCCCCCTTGTGTTCTTGTGACACAAAGTCCACTGTCCTTATCCTGCCCTCTTGTCAGGCATTTTTCAGGAGAGTGAACTTTTATAACAGAGTGACAGGAAACGATTTATAAGCTTGTTTTGAGAAAAAAAAAACCTAGAAAACATTTGCATGTCTCCTCCATTGTTAACATGATGTCTTGTTTTTCCTGTAGCACTGGAATGTTAGCTCCAAAGGTGACGCTAGCTCAGCTGGGCTGTTATGGCGTGTGCACATGCGTGTCTGCGTATGACACATAGCCTGTTTACTTTTTCAACTTTCCCTTTGTCCTTTATATTTTGTATAGACTGATAGCATAGTTAAATGTTTCGGAAAGACAGATTTGATCTCTTTTCCTCAATATCTATGCTGTGAACTCCTGTCGTATTAATTAGGAGGTGTTGAGATGCCAGTGGGTTGAGATTGTGGCAACCTCGTCGCACCATTGCCATCAGAGCCTCCCTTAACAGTCTCTCCATTCAGTAGCGGCCACCACTGCGTAGATCAGCTCTTTCATTCTTGTTTTTGACATAAGATTTTTCTCATTCCCTGTGCATTCTGAGTTAGGATTCATAAAGCCAAAAGTAGAACTTGTCCTCATGTATTAACTAATAAAATAGGAAATGGTTACCTGGGCATGGTGGCACACACCTTTAATCCCAACACTTGCAGGGAGGCAGAGGCAGGCAGATCTCTGTGAGTTTGAGGATAGAGAGCCAGGGCTGTCTGGAAAGACCCTGTCTCAACAACAAAAACAAAAACAGAAAGAAAACAAACAATTAGTAGTGTAAACACTTAAGAATCTTTTTAGAAATTTATGTATTATGTATTTTATATATTTCTGTATTAGGCATTTTATGTATTTTATGCTCTATCTGCATGTGCAGCTTTATTCCTGAAGAGGGCACCAGATCCGACTATAGATATTAGTGAACCATCATGTGGGTGCTGGGAATTGAACCCTGGTCCTCTGGGAGAGCAGCCAGTATTCGAATCACGAATCTAATTAATCTTAATCAATAAAGAATGGGAGCCAAATAATTGGGGTAAAAGCTGAAAGATCAGAGAAACAGAGCAGTAGCCACCAGAGACCTCTTAACCTCTCCCGAATCCTCAGACCGAAAAGGGGCGAAAACCTGTCTCTTCTCAACTCATCACTTCCCTGCCTCCTCTCCTCCAGACCTCCAGACCTCTATGGTTAACTAGTGACTTACTCCATCCTCTGATCTCCAGGGAAGCTTCTTTGTCAGAACATAAACAAAGCATCACACAAGTGCTCTTAACCCCCGAGCCATCTCTCCAGCCCCCTTAAGAATGATGCTTACTCATACAATTTTTCATCTTCGTGATTGGTGCCCAGTTATCCCCTTGGGAACTCAGCTTCTCAACTTGTTTATTCTTGTACTGGGGATGGAGCCCTGAGCTTCATGCCCAGCCCCTTTGCAGGCGCAGTGTCATCTCGAGCTTTGTGGCTTCTGAGCCTTCTTTCCTTTCTTTTGAAAAGCAGATATCTATCAGGTGATCAGGTGGCCCCTCGATCCAGGGGCTCTGGTGCTGCTCCCCCGGGATGGGCGTCCTTCTGTAAACTGCTTTTCTGCTCGTGGGCCTACAGAGGGTAGGGCAGCATCCTGGGCATGTCATAGCCATGGGACAGCACTTAGAGCGCTGTTCCTTGTGTTTCCTCTTCCCTCTTGAAGAGGCGACGGAGAAGGCATGTCTTCATAGGGAGGTTGTCACCACCAGAGTGCTGTGTGCTGCGTCCGCTGCGCAGCCTGTATCCAATAATGTGGCAAGGGTGTCGGGATTGACACAGAGACTGGTCGGTTGCATTAAGAAATCTTTATGCTCCCCAAGTAGGCTCAAGAGAACTTCCCAAGGAAAACGCTTCCCTCCAGAAAAGCTTTTGTCATAAATACATCCACACACGGCACACACATCTCTCTTCCTCCTTCTGACCGGTGGTTAAATCCCTGACACCAGAATCGGTGACAGCAGGGGGCAGGAAGAAGTGGCTAGCCATCGGGAAGATCAAAGTCAGGGTGTGTCAGTGAGCCGGCCCTTATCAAGCCCTTATCAGGAACTTATGGCACTGGATTGTTTTCAGTAAACATTGTTTCACAGCTGCCTGCTCCCAAGCTGATGGAGGAGTGGGTTTCCGGCTAAGGTCTGTTGTTCCCACAGGTGTGTGTTTTAGATGACAGGGATTGAAGCCGAGTTTTTGCATACAGATGCACTACTGAGCTACAACATGTTCATTATTTGTATCACTGTTATACTTGATAGATTGCTGTAGAATGGCAGCTTCAGAATCTGCTGGCTGTGGAAGGAAGGTGACCGTATAACCTATCCCACAGTGGCTTTGATTCTGTCACTCGATAGAGGGGCTCTTCATTCTTTGTCACAGTTCCTCTCCAGCCACTGGCTTTTGAGCTCTGTAACGTTCTTGAGGAATGGCCGTATTGTATTTTCCAACTTCAGTTTGCAGGTGGTTTATAAAGTTGTTTGCTTGCCCAGAACACACTGTGTAAACAGGACGGGCCTCTTAATCACGTAGAAGTCATCCTGTCTTGGACATTAGGCCAGCACTCATAGGACTGAAGCACTTGGTTCCAATAACCTTGATTTCATCTACAAATAGCCCTATAGTGGATTTTTTATTACAGTGTGTTTTCATGGTGATAACATGACAATTATCCTGTGGTCAGTACATGGTCAACACGTGGTTTGCCTGAATGGATTGCCAGTCACGTGGCCTGTGGCCTGGTGGGGCCCTGTGATCCAGTAAGGATATTAAGGGCCATCACTTTGTCAGAGTGGTTCCTTTAAGAGCAGCTGCAGGCATTCAGCAAGTAGTGTTTGAAGACTTAGTATATAGCAGGCACTATCCACTGACCAAAAAACCCCAGGTGGCATCATATGGTCATAGAGCAGGGACTATTTATGCCAGACAGGAAACAGACATTAAAGTGTGTGAGCCATGGCGAAAAGGAATCCAGGGTTGAGGTGTCTGACAGCAATTTGTAGGCTCTGTTCTTTGAAGAGGAGAGAACAGTGCGGTTTTAACTTGCATGTTGTAGAGACAGCTACCTGCTAAGACCCTCATGGAGATCTGAGTTACTGCAGAGCCTAATTTACAAGTTAGGCCTAGGAAGACACTGGCAACAGTAATAAAGTAACATCGTCATGGCACAGTACACTATCATAAAGTCCACGGTAATAAGAACCCACTATAGGCTATTCATATATTGGCTTTCAGACTGTAGTTATCTGTGAGCAACAGAAATTGATTAAAGGTAACTACTGTAATAAGAAGACATTCCTGAACTTCTGCCCGATGGGCAGTGGTCATGCTCCTCTGAGATCTGAGGGGCTTTTGAGGTCTCCCATGTGTGACGAGAGACTGTTTTCATTTTGCAGGTGTGTGTGGTGTTCTCTCAGGAGCTGAAGTGCTGGTGCAGGGCTGTGATTAAGTCGATCGTCTCTTCTGCAGACCATTACCTGGCAGAGTGCTTCCTTGTGGATTTTGCCAAGTACATTCCAGTAAAATCTAAAAAGTACATACATGTTAATTTTGCCTTATCTGCCTTAGGGAGACAGATGGCATTTTTAAAGAAGAACATCAGTAAAGGAAATACATTAAGTCTTTAAAAACTAAAGATGTACTTTCAGTTATGTGTACATATGGTGTGTGTGCGTGAGTGCGTGCGTGAGTGTGTGCATGTGCCAGAAGACCATTGGATCGTGGAGCTGCAGTTAGAGGCAGTTGTCAGCCAGCTGATGTGGTAATAGAACCAAAATCAGGCTGTAGCAGCCTTGTTCTTGACTGCGAAGCTATGTCAGTGTCCGTCTTTAAGGTAGGGAGAGACTTGGAAACACAAATGGTCAGACTAGGGCTCGCAGGTGGCTTCTGTCCTGAAAGCGTAAGACAAGCCTTCCTCTCTGCATCTGGGTGCCTCTGCCAACCACTGTCTGGTCTGTTCCCCTCGCTTGCTCATGGACACAGTAGATCTTAGAGGGAACTGCTCAAAAACAATGCTGCCAAGAATCATACAAGAGGAGGACGCAGGCCACCGCTAGGGACACACAGGGAGGGCGTGACCGACTCTTAGGGAGGTCACAAGAGCCAAATGTCCATTGGGCAGGCTCCTCCAACTCTGGGACTGGATGTCATTGTTTACTCAACTAATAGGCCAATCTTTGAATTTTTTTGCCAACCTTTTCAGTAAGTATGAAGACCCTGCCTACCTGAATTTGGTATTTTGATACCTGAAATAGCCAGGCATGGCGATTGTGACACGTGCCTGTAATCCTAGCCCTTGGGACATGGAAACAGGCCTATCTGAACTATGTGAGACCTTGTCTAAAAGAATAAAATAAAAATTTATGTAGACTTATTCACAGGTTTAATTGTTTTCAGTATTTCTCACCATTTGTAGCCTCACTAGACACATTTTCTTGCCTAAACTCCTGTGGCATGGAATTTTAATAACAGGTTATTTATTCATAATATGTATACCTTTATACATAAAACTTAAGTTTTCTTTTGTTCCTTAGGGAACAGTTGATGAACCCTTGGTCAGATGTCTCTAAGCATTGTTGTAGCTATATCAGAAAAAAGGAAGAATTGTTTTCTATATAAAGTATATTAAGTATATGTGTCTTTTAAATGAATTTATTATGTGTAATTTTTTACTTATAATTATTTGTGTTTTACTTTTAAGCATCCGAGTTGCAGTAGAATCCTTTATGCAACTTCCTTATAGAGCAAAAAAATTCAGACTTTACTGTACGAAGCCTGTGACATTGCACATCGACTTCTGTGAAGACAGTGCTGAGATCGTGTGAGTGCAGCTTTTCGAAAGCTTGAAATATTGGCACCCATTTTACTTCTGTGTGTGTTTCCATCATTTGTTATGAAGAGCAAGCACAATCAGAGAAAGTGCAATCTAGTAATTTAGAAGTTGGCTCCACTCGCATGCAGGCTTGGTGTGACATTGTGAAGAGCCACTGTTCACCTTCAGGCTAGATCTTAACTAAAATGATGTGACGTAGGGCGGCCTCATTGGATAAGGGGAAAGGAACGCGTGTCCTGGTTACCTTAGAAATAAGGATAGCCTGTCACACAGAATGCTGGCAGTTTTTAAATTGTCCTTCCCAGTGAGCAACACACCTGGGCAATGAAGAGTCATGAGACAGAACTCGTGTGGATTTCAGGCTGCTTGAGTAGGAGAATGTCAGCAGCTTTCTTTCTCCCTGAATAAACTGACAGTATTTTACGCAGCACTTTGGCTGTGTCAGGGATCAGTAAAATAGCTGTTGTAATGTACAGTATTTTACGCAGCACTTTGGCTGTGTCAGGGATCAGTAAAATAGCTGTTGTAATGTACAGTATTTTACGCAGCACTTTGGCTGTGTCAGGGATCAGTAAAATAGCTGTTGTAATGTACAGTTTTTGCGTGTGGCAATTGTCCAGTTGCCTTCCTGTTTCTTTTTCCCAAAATTAAAAACAGGGAAATCGGGGTGGTTGTGATAATTAGAGGAAATATAATAAACCAGGTGAGATGGAGTATGCCTGTAGTCCACATTCTTGCTTGTTGCCTCAGCGATGCTGTGAGATTTGGTCTCAAAAACAAGCAGAAATAATATAAAACATAAGAGAATTCACTGTCAGATCTGATAACTGCAGGAGTGAAAGTATTTTCCATTTTTATCATTTTTTTCTTGTGAGAAATTTTTTTTTTGGTTTTTCGAGACAGGGTTTCTCTGTGGCTTTAGAGGCTGTCCTGGAACTAGCTCTTGTAGACCAGGCTGGTCTCGTCTTGTGAGAAATTTATAATGAGACCTTGTTACCAAATATTTTCCAAGTGTTATGCCAACGTAGACTAAACTGCTTTGAAAATGACCAAGCCTCTCTGAATGATATTCCTCCCTTTGCTGAAAATAGATATTTTCTCTCACAACGCATCCTGATTACAGTTTCTCAGTTCCCCTCCCATCCAGATGTACTCCCTTTCTATCTCACTAGGAAACAGGATTCTAAGTGATTATAAAATATAGCAAAATGAAGTGTAATAAAACAGTCACATCAGAGTTGGACAAGACAAACAACAGAAGGAAAAGAGCCCAAGAGAAGGCACGAGACACAGAGACTCACTTGTTCCCACACTCAGGAATTCACTAACAACCTTAAACCGGAAGCCATGATACATACAGAAGGACCTGGTAGAGATCCGTGCAGGTCCTGTGCATGCTGCTGAGTCTGAGTTCCTGTGAGCTCTGCTCATGTTGGTTTAGAGGGCCTTGTTTTCCTGGTGTCCTCCCTCCCCTCTGACTCTTTATACTCTCTGCCTCTTCGTGGGGTTCCCTAACATTTAGGAAAGGGATTTGATAGTCATTCCATTTACTCCTGAGTGTCCCAAGGTCTCTCGCTCTCTGCATATATGTATTTGTTCCATAAACTACAGGAAGAAGTTTCTGATGAGTAGAGCAGAGTGTCATTGCTACCTTTGAACAACAACAAAAACAGTAGTGTTTGGTTTTATCCTAGGTCCATCGGCTATCTAGGCAGTGTTGGGTATGAGTTCCATCTCATGGAGTGTGCTTTAGGTCAGATCAGTTACTGGTTACTCTCACAAGCTTTATGCCACTGTTGGCCTAACATATCTTGCAGGCAGGACACCACTGTAGATCTAAGGGTTTGTTTACATTTCTCTTTTGGTAGTGCACAGATACCTTCCTATCCCAAAGACACTAGAATATAGGGGTTTTATGCAGGCATCAGCTCCAGGTCTCCATGTTCAATGAGTTGTGTAGATATTCAGCAATTTGGCCTTTCTGTCAGTTTGTGGAGAGCAACATATAGTCTTGGCAACAACCTGAGTTGTTTTAGGATTCCTGTGGGACCCTTTTGGCCAACAACTCAATTAATGTAACCCAATCCTAGTACTGGAAGCTTCATTTGGTGACAAGAGATGGGTAGTTGGGACTCTGTCTCCCCCATATATCGCCTTCATCATAGGTATGTATTTTAGGGAGTTTCTACTGTGGTCTGTCACCATACTACCCCTCAAAGAACCCTTTATTTTAGGGAGTTTCTACTGTGGTGTGTCACCATACTACCCCTCAAAGAACCCTTTATTTTAGGGAGTTTCTACTGTGGTGTGTCACCATACTACCCCTCAAGGGACCCTTTATTTTAGGGAGTTTCTACTGTGCTCTGTCATCATACTACCCCTCAAGGGACCCTTTATTTCACCTCTTTGTCCCCATATTCTCTCCCTTGTCCCCCCCCCCCACTTGGTCTTCCCATTCCATCCCCCACATCCACCCATAACTACTTCCCTTTTCTAATGATACCTGTCTGTTCCTAACTTTATACCTTAACTCTATGATTCTACAGACTATAGCTTGGTTATCATTGACTAATATCCTCATGTAAGTAATACACATCTGTCTTTGTGGGTCTGGGTTATCTCAGGATGATTTTTTTTTCTAGTTTCAGCCATGCACCTGTGAATCTCATGAAGTCAGATTTTAATGACTGAGTAGTACTCCATTGTGCTAATGGACCACATTGTCTTTATGTGGTACATTATCCATTTGTTTCTTCATCTGTTTGTCCATTGAGGGACAGCTGGGTTGTTTCCAGTTTCTGGTTGTTATGAATAGAGTAGCAGTGGACGTGGTTGAGCCAGTGTTTCTGAGTTAGGATGAAGCATCTTTTGGGTCTATCCCAAGAGTGGTGTTGCTGGATCTTAGGGTAGATGATTCTGAGGTGGATCCTGGGGAATCACCACGCTGGTTTCCAGTGTTTGTACCAGTTTGCACTAACCAGCAATGGATGAGTGCTGCCCTGGCTCCACATCTTCCCTAGCATGAGCTGTCATTTGTTTCATTGGTCTTAGCCATTCTGACGGGGTTAGGATGAAATCTCAAAGCAGTTCTGATTTGCATTTCCCTGACGGACTATCGATGGTGAACATTTCCTTGTTTCTTGGCAATTTGAATTTCCTCTTTTGAGAATTCTGTTTTAATTGGGCTGTTTTCTTGATGTCTAATTGTGTTGGTCTGAATGAGAACGACCCCTAAAGGCTCATGGATTTGAATACTTGGTCACCAGGTGTGGCAGTATTTGAACGGATTAGGAGCTGCGGCCTTTTTGGAAGAAGTGTGTGTGTCACTGGGGGTAGACTTTGAGGTTGCTCCATTCCCGCTACCTGCAGATCATGAAGTAGAATTCTCAGCTACTTCTCTCTCTCTCTCTCTCTCTCTCTCTCTCTTTTTTTTTTTAACAAGACAGGGTTTCTCTGTATTGTTTTGGAGGCTGTTGGTCCAGCCTGGCCTCGAACTCACAGAGATCCGCCTGCCTCTGCCTCCCGAGTGCTGGGATTAAAGGCGTGTGCCATGAAGTAACTCTTTATTACATCAATTCTTGGTGTATTTTTTGTTTGTTTCTATTTTATTGACTTCAGCCCTGAGTTTGATTATTTATTGCCATCTACTCCTTTTATGGGTATTTCTTCTTTTTGTTCTAGAACTCTTAGGTGTGCTGTTAAGTTACTAAGCTTGAGATCTCTCCTTTTTTTTTTATGTAAGCATTTGGTTCTATTAACTTGTCTCTTAGAACTGCCTTCATTGTGTCCCATAAGTTTGGACGTGTTGCGTGTTCATTTTTATTCAGTTCAGGGAATATTTCATTTCTTTCTTGACCCATTTTTCATCCAGTAGCGAGCTGTTAACTTTCCATGAGCTTGTAAGCTTTCTGTTGTTCTGTTGTTGTTGAGATCCAGCTTTAGTTTGTGGTGGCCCAATAGGATGGTGGGATGTTGCTTCAGTTTCTTGTGTCTGCTGAGACTTGTGTTGTGTGTGCGATCGGTTTTGGAGAAACCATGAGGTGCTAAGGAAAGCATACTCTTTGTGTGTGGATGACATGCTCTGTAAACGTCTGTTAAGCCCGTTTGGTTTATGACTTCAGCTAGCTCTAGCATGTGTCTGTTAGTTTCTGTCTGGACGGCCTGTCTATTGGTGAGAGTGAGGTATTGAAGTCACCCACTATCGCTGTGTGAGGGTCATTGTATGACTTTAGCTGTAGCAGTGTTTCTTTTACGAATTTGGGTGTCCTTGTGTTTGGAGTTTCCTTCTAGTACCTTTTGTTAGGCTGGATTTGTAGATTGATATTGCTTAAATTTGTTTTTAGCATGGAATGTTATGTTTGCCATCTATTGCGATTGAAAGTTTAATGGGTATAATACTCTTGCCTGGCATCTTTGGTCTCTTAGAGTCTGTAGGACATCCATCTGCCCAGGTCCTCAGACTTTTAGAGTCTCCTTTGAGATGTCGGGCATAAGTCTAATAGATCCACCTTTATATGTCACTTGGTCTTTTTCCCTTGAAGTTTTCAGGATTCTTTCTTTCTTCTGTATGTTTAGTATTTTGATTATTATGAACCTAGGAGACTTTCTTTTCTGGTCTAGTCAACTTGGTGAGGGCCACCCACAGAGTGTAGCTGGCCTTCCCAGCGCTGACTCTGGGGCTGGTCAATCAGTGTGTGTCGCCATTCTGTTATCAGCCAGTGATGGATGGTGCACATTTGGGTTCTCTCTCCAAGGAACTTGGACTCTGAGGGAAATGGGTTTGTTGCAGACACCTGGGGATGGTGGTGGGCAGAGGGTACCACACATTGGAATGGGGGGGGAGTGTCATCTCAGCGGGGCCTCTGTACCTCTCTGAGCTGGTATGATGGTGTTGTCAGATACACTTGGAATCTGTACCCTGAAGCAGAACTGCCATAGGCTCCTTGTCTGTGTTGAAATGTGATAGTTAGCATGGGAAACACCCATCATCCAGCTAACACAGTGGCAGTGGTATGTTAGCCTATGCTTGCTACTCAATGAAGTTGCATCCGTTTGCTGTTCCAGACCTGCCACGAAATGGGACAGTGCAGCTATCCAGTATTTTCAGAACGTTCTGAGAGGTAAGGCCAGGGTATGTTTGCAGACTTCTTTGAGTTGATGCATATGATGATGTCTGAGGTCCTCATGCATGGCTGTTTGGCCCTCCTCGTGGGGCTCCTTAAGTTACTAGGAGCCCCTTCCATGGCAGGTATCACATTGGTTTTGCAGGTGGATTGGATGCCAGTGATTGTCAGCTGAAATAAAGAGCTGGCTGGCTGTGTAGAGGATTCCTCTCACAGCAACAGTCCCTGAGGGTATACAAAGTGAACTCATATTTTCTTGATCCCACAGTTGATGAAAGGTCCTGCTTCTTTTCCCGAGCAAGGGATAAGTGTGCATTTGTTGTGTAACACTTATCATTGCTAACTTGAGGCATGTAAGATGCCTTTAACTGTCAACTTCTGCCGAGCTTTGCATATCTTCTGTGGGACCTGGGATTTGAAGACCTTAAAGGATGGGGCAGACTATAGTCTAGTGCTATAGACACCTTTTCTCCAGCTTAAGTACACATTTTATACATGAGTGTAACAAGGAAAAGAGTAATCCAAGGAAGGCTGAGGACAGAAAAACATGACCAGAGAAGCATGTAATAATCTCCAGTGAGCACATGCTAAATATCAACAGAGCAGCCCTCTCCCAGGGCTTTCTCAGGACAGAGCAGTTTAAACACAGTTGCCTGGCACATACCGTGCCTGGCGCATACCGTGCCTGGCGCATACCGTGCCTGGCGCATACCATGCCTGGCACATACCGTAGGTTATATGAGGGAAACATGAAAGCAAGGCTGAAAGTCATTCCAGATTCAGGGCGCACTGACCAGATTGTGTTCTGTAGCTACGTTCTGACATCCAGCAGGAAGAAACACGTCTTAGAAGTTGAATGTAAGTGTTCAACACAGGAGGCATGAATTATATCTGAGAACAATCCAGGGAGCAAAATGCTCTTGAGGTAAAAGCAGCCCCCTGCCTAGCTGGAATCTTTCTCAAGATATTTCTCAAGGCATTGTTTACCATGCATCTTTTTTTTTTTTTTTGAGACATGGTTTCTCTGTGTAACAGCCCTAGCTGTCCTGCAACTCGCTCTGTAGACCAGGCTGGCCTGGAACTCACAGAGATCCACCTGCCTCTGCCTCCTGAGTGCTGGACTAAAGGCGTGCGCCACCAGTGCCTGGCTTCATGCATCATTCTTTGGAGCCCGTCTGACACTGTTTAGCTTGTAGTATCTGCCCTACCTCCTGCCAGTCAGTGTGCCTGTGCTGTGCCTACCTTTTAGGACTGCTCTGCATTATGAGTGGATGTGAAAGGCATAAATGTCCCTGCTTGGTTACCTAATGAGGCTATGCTTGCTCTAAAAAAAAAAGAGAGAGAACTTAGAGTCAGCTCAATTGTCTGTCCATTTGTTACCATTCAGCAACGACCCAGGTGGAGGCTGAACTCTGTGCTGTGGAAGACGACACCTTCGAGGTTTACCTTTATGCAACCATAAAGAGCGAAAAAGTAAGTGAGATCTGGGGAGCAGAGGCTGCTTTCTGGTTTTAGTTTTTGAGATAATCTTACATAGCCCAGGCTAGCCTTGTACTTTGTTACTGAGGATGACCTTAAACTTTTTGTTATTAATAAAATATAAAAAGATAAAACAAAAAATAACACATCGGAGTTGGACAAGACAAACAACAGAAGGAAAAGAGCCCAAGAGAAGGCACGAGACACAGAGACTCACTTGTTCCCACACTTAGGAATTCCACTAACAACCTTAAACCGGAAGCCATGATACATACGGAAGGACCTGGTAGAGATCCGTGCAGGTCCTGTGCGTGCTGCTGAGTCTGAGTTCCTGTGAGCTCTGCTCATGTTGGTTTAGAGGGCCTTGTTTTCCTGGTGTCCTCCCTCCCCTCCGGCTCTTGCGATCTTTTTTCCGTGGGGTACCCTGAGGGAGGAGACTTGATAGTCAGATCATTTAGGGTTGAGTGTTGCAAGGTCTGTCTTCTCACTGTCTGCATGTTGTCTCCTGTGGGTCTCCGTCTCTGCTCCCATCTGCTGCAGGAGGAAGCTTCTCAGACGATTGGCTATGAGTATGGCAGAATGTCATTGGGAGTTACTTTATTGAAGTTGTTTTTATAAGAACTCGTATTTGGTTTTACCCTAGGTCCTTGGACTATCTACTCTCAGGTTCTTGGTCACCTAAGCAGTGGGTGAATTCATGCTCCTAAATTTGCCTCTCCAGCCAAGTGCTAGGAATTACAAGCATAGGGCCACCATACCTGGCAAGATTGGTAGTTTGGAAATGTTTATCCTTATTTTAAATGTGACTTTAATAAGACTCTAATTCACACAGTGGGAGTTATTTTAACCTTTGAAGAAGGTCTAGCTTAGAATAGAAGCTAGTGAAACTGATCCTTCAGGCATTCATTCCCTGTCTGTGTTAATCTGTGCACATGTATTAGTGAGAGACAGACACTGTGGCCAGACGGGGCTAGTGTTCTATCTACTGTTCAGTTTCTTTCCTAGCCTCGTCTCTGATTATTGAAAACATTGACCTCAAGCCTGGCAGTGGTGCTCCACACCTTTAATCCGCCGCCACCGCTGCCACCACCACCAGTCAAAGCACTAAGTTCTGATAGGATCTAGTTCTTCTGTTTCCCAGTATGCTTAGTGCCCTCTCACCAAACCTGTGCCTGCCCAGATGGAGTTAGCCCCCGCCTCCCGCAGTTCTTGATTTCATGCAGCTTGTTACTGTTTCCTCATGAAAATCATTAGGTCTTTGCTAAACATAGCAGGAGCCAAGAGGAGATTCTGTCAAATTACACTTCATAAAACATTTCTCAGGAATTTAGGGCTGAGTTTGAGATACTGACTTTGTGCACATTGATTGCACCCAATCTGAGTGGCAATTCATAGAATGTTTACCTTTTAATAGGTTTGTGTTAATGATGATCTGGTTGCCAAGAACTTTGCTTATTATGTGTCGCCCATGGGGAATAAAAGCCTCAGTGCTTTGGAGAAGCCCAGGCCCCGTCTGAACTCGGTGCCATGCTCCAGTAAGCTCAGCCCGTCACTTACTCTGTGGCCGATGCTTTTGCAAGGAAAAGACTGTCGTGGACGGGAGAGTGAGTATTTCATGTTGGTTCACCCTTAGCATACCAAGCTCCGTCTAAGCCCTTTCCTGCTTGGAGACAGAAACTTAGACTCTGTGTAATAATTAAAGTTTACTTTTTAGGAGCCTCTGTGTCCTAAAGCTGCTGCAGCTTGTATTTATGAGACTGGAAAATTCTCACTTTTCCATTAATATGGGCTACATTTTCAGAAATCAAGATGATATGCAGTTTATAGATTTCAACAAAATAAGGTGCTAAATATTTTTCAGACACTTTCAGGAGCTTTTTATAACAATTGATGCTTAGTGTGGACCATGGATACAATTTTAAATGTTACTCTCTGCATTCTGTTTCAGTCCCTCATAATGCCACCCCTTGCTAGGCGTCCTATAATTTCACTGCGTAAGAGCGGAAGTAAATAATGACTCATTTTTATTTCATGTTTCAGTTTTGAAATACAGTATGTTCTTTCAGACTCACAGGGCTTAGATTTTCTGGCACAGTCTCTCCAGCATACATGGTGTAAGGACATTGTCGGTGACCTAGGGCAGCCTGCTGCAGTACTTGGTGAGTCCTGTCAACTTGGCTTCTTTCATGGCCAGCACTGGAGAGTGAGCCCGGGGCCTCCCGATGCCCTGCCACTGAGCTTTAGTAAACCTCAGCCCATTTTGTCTACTTCAGAAGGAGGCCTGTTGCTTGCTCTAGGCTCTAAGTGTTCTTCACCAGATGTGTCTTTTGCAGTTATTTTCTCCTAGTGTATGTTTTCCCATTCTTTAGTGGCATCTTAGATAGTGTTTGACTTGATTTGTCAGTGCTTTTAAGGGATCTTGCGTCTGTGTCCGTAAGACATTGGGCCTTCATTCTCTGGAAATGCTGTTTCTGGCCTGGGCATCGGGGTAGTGAGGGTCTTGTAGGGTGAGCTAGGAAGTGTCTGCTTTGCGTCTGTCTTCTGAAAGAGCTTGTGGACTGGTATCATTGCTTCCCCATATGCTCAGCAGATTCGTCATTGAACCCTTCTCAATGTAGTTCCCTTCTTCGGGACATTACTAATTACTCAAGTCCTTCAAGACCTACTGCCCTTGTTGCCTATTTCTGTTTTGTTTGGGAGTCTTGGGAACATAGGTCTTTTTAAGGAATTTTCATCTGGATCAGTGATTCTCAACCTGTGGGTCCCAATCCCTTGGGAGTTGAGACCCTTTTACAGGGGTTGTATATGAGATATACTGCACATCAGATACACTACAACTCATAACAGCATCAAGATTACAGTTGTGAGGTAGCAATGAATACTTTTATGACTGAGGTCACCACTACATGAGGAACTGTATTAAAGGATCGCAGCATTAGTGGTTGAGAACCGCTGCTTGAGATGAGCAGTTTGTAAGCAGAGTTGTTTATTCCACTCTTGACATTTCTTGATATGCTCATAAGCATGGGTTAACTGTCCTTTATTAGCCTCTAAGCATCCCTGGATCCCTGGTCATGTCCCTGCTTCCATTCTCTTCCTTCTTCCGTTTCTCTCTAACTCCCGTCCTCGCCCTTAGTAAGAGCCGTAGCAGTTTTTGTTGCTCTTTTCGAAAACAAAGCTGTGGCCTCCGAATTCACATGCTGCAGTCCTGCTGTGAGTGTGGCCAGCTGTGTCTGTACGCAAGGTCTTCAGGAGGAGACGTAGCTCTGTGATGCCATGAGGGTGAGCCAAGTCTGATGGACACAGAGCCCTTGGGAGGGACAGAGCTCCAGAGCTGACTTTCTCCCCGGCATCTGCACTCCAGGAAGACAGCACCCAGGAACCAGACTGGCCAGCACTCTGATCTTGGACTTGTGGCCTGCAGAACTATAAGAAAATAAATTTCTGTTGTTTAAACAACTCACTCAGACTGATACAAATAGTTCATAGATATTTCTGTCTAAACAGTTTTTTTTAAAATTTCCTATGCCATTCAGTGGGATGGGCATATAAATCCCGTTTTCTTAGTGAGAGCCAGTTAGTTACGTTACGTAAGAATTAAGTTTGTAGGTAGAAATGAAGGACAAGAGCTTAGGCCACTTAACAGCTCGAGCAGCTTTAACTAATCTGAGAGGTGGCATCTCAGATCCGGATCCGGCGCGGTGACCAGGCAAAGTCTAGATTTCAGCCTGGGGCTCCTGTAGCTAAGGATGGCGAAGGGGAGGGGCTTTGCTAGGGTCAGAATGGGAAGTTCGCTGTTTCTCTTAGACAGCTGTGTTTGACACTGCAGCATCTGTTGTCTCTATGCAACCAGTGGCTGATTGCTTCTGGGATCTCTAGGAGTCTGGGGCAGGGACAGCTGGTTTTCTTTGGCAATTCCCAAGTAGCCAGCTTCTTAGAAATTTAAGCTCAGTTTAGGGCCTTGGCTGCCTTCCTTCCTTCCTTCCTTCCTTCCTTCCTTCCTTCCTTCCTTCCTTCCTTCCATCCATCCTTCTTTTTCTTTCTTTGCTGGGGGCTCAGGGGTGGGAGTGATGCTCTGTACATTGTAGGAAGAGCATGTGTCTTGGATACATAAGTGTGGCCTCATCTGAAAAGTACAGCCTGCCAAGTTGGGAAAGTTGTTTGATTCTTAGCATGTTAGTCTATGAATTTCTACAGCCTTTAAAGAAATGGTTGAAGTAAAGTTTTGAATTGCATTTATTTAGCATGTATATATGTGTGCGTGTGAGTGGGCATACATATGCCATGAAGTAAGTGCCTGTGGTCAGAGCAGCTTACAGTAGTCGGCTCTCCCCTTCCTGCACATGGGACCTGGGTATCCAACTCAGATCATCAGGCTTGGCAGCAAGGGCCTTTACCTCAGATCATCAGGCTTGGCAGCAAGCGCCTTTACCCCGATGAGCTGTCTTGTCAGTCCCAAAGCAAGACTTTTAACCTTAATCCCTACAAGTTTAGTGTAAAATCTGTTAGATAATAATTCATGTGTTGAGATATTTTAATCTTTATTTTTTATTATTTTTGTCTGATTTTATATAAATAGTTTTCAGGGTAGCTTTTTGTTATCTTCATTTTGCAGATAAATCTATTAAATGTAAGGATTCCTTGAGAGACTCACCTAAAATTATGTTTGAGAAGAAGCAGCAGTGCCTCCCTTTGAAGCACATAAATAAGGTTGTATGTTTAAATGCTCACTGAGTATAAAGCTCGTGACATTAATACTCTATGAACAAAACGTGTGTTTCATATTTAGAAATCCATGAAGAATATAGTTTGTGTGTTTGTTTTGATGGAGCAAACTTGTTGAGCTTCTGTGTCCGGTGAGTTGTAACTGCTCTGTAAAAAGGTGCTGAGGTGCTCACTTAACACAGATGTGTGACTGTCTGGATTTGGGGGACATTCACATAATTAATTTCACTTCTAACGCACCTTACAGCTCTTTTGACAAAGACAAATGAAAGTAATTGAAGGGACTTTTAAACACCTATGTGAATGCCCATTGCCTATAGACTATAAACTATAGAGATGACCTAACCGTCCAACTTTGACTCTGCGTGCGACTCTGCGTGCATGCATATGAAAACTGTCTGGAATGATTGTTGATGAAAATAACTTCCATTTTGGTTCCAAAATTATAAGTCTTAAAAGTGTGCATTTTCCTCCTCCGTCCCCCCCTTCCCCCCTCTCTCCCCCCTTCCTCCCATTCTTACAGTGTGTTGACTCTTCAGTTTACTGGCCAACAAAAAGAGGGATAACCATATATGCTGATCCAGACATTCCAGCAGCAAGGTATGGTCTGAAACTTCAGTTTAGCAGACTAGGGCCTTAGGAAAGTATACTACAGTCTTACACAGTCATCCCTGTGGTAGTGGGGGGTTGGGAGACTTAGTTCCAGGATTACAGAGACTAGCAAACTGCTCAAATCCAGATTAAAAAGTAGCATGATAGTTAAATGACTCATGTATATTTTGAGTCATCTATAGATGACTTCTAATACCTATCATGTAAATAATATATAAGTAGTTGTTATATGGTATTGTTTTAAGGAATAATGTCAAGAAAAGAAATTTACACGTTTAATATAGGCAGCTTGCTTTTGCCAAATACTTCCAGTCTGTGGTTGGTTGGTTGCACAAATCTGGAGTCCACAGATATGGAAGGTCACATGTACAGTAAGTATGTAAAAGGTCATGTGTACAGTAAGTATGTAAAAGGTCATGTGTACAGTAAGTATGTAAAAAGTTCACATGTACAGTAAGTATGTAAAAGGTTCATGTGTACAGTGAGTATGTAAAAGGTTCATGTGTACAGTAAGTATGTAAAAGGTTCATGTGTACAGTAAGTATGTAAAAGGTTCACGTGTACAGTAAGTATGTAAAAGGTTCATGTGTACAGTAAGTATGTAAAAGGTTCACGTGTACAGTAAGTATGTAAAAGGTTAATGATAAACATACCCCCCCAAAAAAAGTGGTCTGGGAAATTTTGGCTCAGAATACACTACTTTAAAGGGGAAAAAACCCTTGGAACTGATTAGCTGGCAATGCAGTGGCCTGAAATCCGGGAGTAGACCTAGAGACACAGTTGTATCCACAAGGCGCCTCCAGTGAACAGGCAGAGTGGCCATGACCTGAAGGACAGGTTTGTGCAAGCCACAGCAGCCAGCGTGGCGGGTCACAGGTCTGGAGGCGGCCAGGGGTGGCTCCTGTCTTCTCCAAGGTCTCCAGCTGTCCTCCTGTCCTCCTCATGACACACACGACGATATCAGTGGAATTACAGGACTCTTCCGAGTTCAGTGGTGGGTTTTCTTTTCTGCTGTAGGACACACATTGCTGATAGTTTCAGGGTTGGAGTTACCGAGATTGAATGTGGCCTTGGGGCAGGACCGGAAGAAAATAAATAGAAAGAAAACAACTAGAACTCCCGTGTTTGGACCAAAGGGCCCTGCCTCCATCTCTCTGGTGTGGCAGGGTGGTTTACATAAGCTACATCTGGCTGTGCAGTTCAGCGTCTAGGCTGCCCTCAGCTTGATAGACCAAGCAATCTCCAGAGCTCTGTTCCCAGGCCGTTACTTACCTCATGATTGCTTTGGTCCCTGACGGGTTCCTAATTGTAGGAAAGATTCCATAGTTAGTGCTTAGCCTCAGTTCTCACAGAAATGCATCTGGGTAGATGAAGAGTGCCTTACTGCTGCTGCTTAAAATTTCCCCAGAAAATAGTTACCTTTATGGTCTGAACAAAGTCCCAGCTTTGTCTAGAAGCAACCAATGGAAACTGTTCTTCTGTGTTCTTGTCAAGTAATCCTCCAAGAATGGAGTAGTAGGCAGACTGTAAGGAATACAAGCAGGGAGGTGCTTTGTCGATTCAGGATTAACTGCCTTAAACAGGATAAAACAACTTAAAACAGATTGCCACGCCTGATTTAAATGAAACATTTAAACTCTCATTAGCAGGCGGATGCTAGCTGAGAGCCATCGCAGTTCAGACATGTACTAGGACTCCGAGGCTCTCAGAGAGCCTTGGGATGCCAGCAGAGAGCTGCCCCTTGGCAGAGCAGGTCTGTGGTTCTAGAGTAGCAGGAGGACCAGTCTCCTGTCTCCAGCAGGCCTTACAGCCAGGGGCCTCTGAAGCTGCAGGTTGGAATGGCTGAAGTGTGGAGCCGTGGGTCTTGGGAGCTACAGGCAGCTTCCGGGAGGAATTCCCTTCCACAGCAGAGTGTGATGAGGGCTGGAGGCATTTCTAAGGCAGGAGTGAGTCCCCAGGGCTGGAGGCTGGCTGACTGAACCCAGGGTCGAAGCCTCGCTCAGTCTGTCCCTGGCAAGTCTTGAACATAGACTGATGAGTGGGCCGGCCGGGAGTGGGGATCTGAAGTCTGTAGGCTTCTTACTCGCAGGAAATGGGAGCCCCTGGGGCTGGGCCCTGGGATCTTCTCCTTTGTGAGGCTCCTACAGCAGCTCTGGTTTCAAAGCCCCAGCACTGAGTTTATGTAATTGTCACCTGGATCTTGATTGGCTGCATGTGGGGAGATAGAAGATGCTGGGCCTGGTGGCGGAGGGGGGAAGGCTCTGAGCCCATCACAGAATTTGCAGGGATAGGGAGACTAGAGAGGGGATGGCTTTCATTCCTGGTTCCCACGGCAATGCCTGCTGCTCGGGGTGCCTTGTCCCACAGGGATTTCACCCTGCTTGGGTTGGTTCGCTTCTGTTTGTGTCTCTTCAGCAGCTGCCCCCTGCTCTGCCAATGGCTTGAGGCTGGCAGCCGTCAGAAAGCTTCATGGGGTCGGTGGGCGGGCGGGCGGGGTTCAAAGACAAGGACAAACCCTGACCTCCTGACCTCGATGATTTCTGTGTCTGGCGAGTGAGGCCTGTGGTCTCCTCTGCAGCGGGGTCTTAGCTGGGCTCTAGTGGGCCGCCAATGGCAGTGGCCGTTGCCTGCATTAACTTGTGAGTAACCCTCATGAGTTTTGGTTTCCAGCGGGGCGAGCCAGAAGCCAAACGAGAAGCCACTGCGGCTGACTGAAAAGAGAGACTGCGATGAGAAGAACGGCTGTGTGAAGTAAGGCTTTTTGTTTCCCTGTGACTCGAAATAATTGTGCAAAAAGGATGGGCAGGAAGGGTTTATCCCTGGCTTTTACTTCAAACCTCCATTCTCATAGAACAGCAAATATCCACTAAGTCCCCGATGGACTTTAAGCTACTTCAGGGTGGTTTCCCGTTAAATCTTAGTTCTGGTGTAAGGGGTCATTGTCACCCTGGTTCCTTCATCAGGGTGAGCACTTTTTACATGTGTCAGGCAGTTTTATGCGTTTTATGGCCACTGATTTTGGCTTTCCCTCCCAGCTTTCTGATGTTAAATGGCCGCCGACAGCAGAGTAACTTCGTTGGATGCTTGTTTAACCCACAAAACTATGTCATGCCCGTGCTTCTGATTTTTTTGTTATACTAGACTCTGCCAGCTGAAGCAGTTTACGTCTAATTACAGACTGGCAGCTTGTAATAGTTGTGTCCAGGCCGTATCGCTGTTCTTTATCAGTGTTAGCCTGCTGAGCCACCCCGTGCCCTCATAGCCATTGACCAGCACAGGCCTCTGGGTGTTGAGGGATCAAGTGTGCTGCAGGCTGCTGTGGGGTTCTCAGTGGGGCTGGCGCTTCTGCTTTTAGTGCTGGCACCCTTCCCAGACAATGTCCTGCCTCATGCCTGACGCTTCCACTGTTATAAGTGACTGTTTTCTTTGGAACAAATAACTTTTGACATTGTAACTGAGTTTGGGGTGACAATGGTGTGAGCCCTGACGGACTCCATTCCTTCATGTCTGTATCATAAAGCCTTGTCTCCCTTGCTGAGTCTCTGCTGGTGGAAAGGGCGGCAGTCATTTGTCATGAGCTGTGCGTTCCAGGGAGCCTGCAGGGAAAGAGCAGAAGACAGGCAGTGTCCTAGTTGGGGAGGAAGGGGTTTATTTGGCTTCTTACACATCCACATTATAGTTCATTGCTGCAGGAAGTCAGGACAGGCTTACAAAGATTATTGCCAAAGCATTGACTTGAAACCTAGCTGGAGCAAGAACTATACTAGAAAAACAGTAGCTCTTGAGTCCTTAAACCCGTGAGGATGACCTTTGAGACACAGAGCAAGGCAGGTAAGATGGCTCAGTGGGTAAAGCTGCTTGCCACCAGGAGATCATGAATTCAGTCCCTGGCTCCCACATCGTGCAGGAGAGAGCCAACCGCCTCAAGTAGTTCTTTGATTGCCACACTGGCGTAGACAGACTTATGTCTGTGTAGCCCTGGCTGTCCTGAAATTCACTCTGTAGACCAGGCTGGCTTTGAACTCAGAGATCTGCCTGTTTCTGCCTCCCAGGTACTGGGATTTAGTGCAGAGCCAATGTTAGCATTCAGCATCTGGGCCAAGGTATGCTGTAAAGATCACACCACGAAACAGATCTCGTGTAAGAGGGTTATGGGGGGAGAGGTGGAAGGCCCTATCAGTGTGGGGGCATGAGAGAGAGAGGCAGATGGGTGACTTGGGGTGGCAGGGACCCTTGAAAGGGTTGGTGACTAGTGACGATCTGGCTGCTGAGTCCTTGAGGACAGGCTGGGAGAGCGTCTGGTTTCTAGCATTCCTCCCTTTTGTTTATTACAAAATTGTGAGGAAATAGGAAGGGGTGATGGTGAATCCGCGAGAGTCTGTTAAAGGGTCCCAAGAATTTATTTAGGTGTAAAATGAGGATACAGAACACATCAGATGCTGTTGTGACCCAGGGGAGGTGGGGACCAGCCACTCCCTGCTCTGGTTCTGAGGGAGACACAGAGAGAGACAAACCCCTCCCTCAGCCCTTAAGCAGTCATGTGCACAGACAAGACCACACCCTAGGACTTGCTGCCCCAGAAATCTTTGGTTAAAGGGATTGAAATCCCACAACACCATGCTCTTTAGACTGCTTCCTATTGTTTGGAGGTGTCAGCATCTTTAGGGACCCAAGACAGCTGGGATGCTGGCCAAGTCCCCGGCAAACAGACTGTGTTACCCACTATCTAGACTCGGGGATCATTTGAAGCTAGGAAAGTTCAGCCCTAGTTGAAGCAGCCTGTGAGGTTGGACCACCTGGGGCTAGCCACTCTGAAGCTGTCTGGGATACAGATTGTAAGAGCACACCTGGGCCTGGCAGGATGATGGAACAGATGTATATTAGAGACAGAAGGTGAAGCTGAGTGGCTTAGGAGGACATTTTTCCTTAGGTGTACATTTGAAACTTTCAGGCCCGTGGTCCTGGTAGTTGAGGAAGGGGAGATCCCACTCAGGAATAGGCAGGTGTAGAAACAGACTGTTGATTGACATGAGTACTTGTCTAGAGTCCATTTGACTCAGGAATGGTGGATCCAGGTCAATTCCCTTAAACTTACAAGAAAAATTTTAAGATTACAAAAATAATATTTTAGACATGTTAGCATTCCCACTGTTTGTAATCTACTGAAATCCACATTGTAGAAAGGGCAGTCAAAACTCACAAGTTTTAGACTTGTTCGCATTCTCACTTGAGTGGACTCTCTGAAATCCACATTGTAGGAAAGGCAGCCGACTCACACCTTTGTGTCGGAAGAAGCTTGGAGAATGATGTTGGGTTAAAAGCATGAACACTTTAGAGGACAGAAACCTCCTGTGGGGCAAAGGGGTAAAAGCTGGACTGTAAAAGCTGGACCTCCTTCCTCTCTGTCCAGAAGACTGGATGTATAGAGATTATAGATGTTTTTAGCACAATGAGAAGTTCTTTTAAGTCTATACTAAGGAGACAACCAAGGAAAATTTAAAATCTCGAGCTTGTGACTGTAATAGCCATCAGCACTTACCAGAGATAGATTAATAGCTTATCAAAACATTCTATTGATTAATGTTAAGACTCTGAACCTTTGAAGTTTTAATACAACAGTAGCATATTGAGGGAAAGACATATGAAACATTTTTCATTTTTATATACATTGAATCACTTTTTTATGACTTAAGCTTCCTTGTTCTCTGATCTTACATGACTTGGCATTTATACCTTAAAACATCTTAGACCCTAAGACATTTTCTTAGTTCCCGTGGTGGTTTGACTAGGAATGGCCCCCAGAGACTCCTGTGCCTGAATGCTTGGCCTCCAGGGAGTGGCAGTAGCAGGGGTGTGGCTTTGCTGGAGGAGGTGTCACTGTGGAGGCGTTAGAGTCTCATCGGGTCACACTATGCCCAGTGTGAGAATCTCATAGGAAGGGCACTATTAGCAGGTGAGGCTTTGTTGGAGTGGGAATGGCCTTGGTGGAGGAAGTGTGTCACTGTGGGGGCGGGCTTTGAGGTTTCCTATGCTCAAGCAATTGCCAAATGTCTCCGTCAACTTCCTGTTGCCCTCTGACCGAGATGTAGCTAGCACCATGTCTGCCATGCTCCCCACTGTGCTCCCTGCCGTGGCGATAATAGACAGAACCTCTGAAACTAAAGCTGTCACCTCAGTTAAGTGTTTTCCTTTATAAGGGTTGCTGTCACTTCACAGAAATAAAAACCTAGGTTAAGACAGGGATCTGTGTCTGTGTAGTAGCAGTTGTTACAATTTGTGAGACTTTGGAAATGAAGTTCACTGTGATTTGTACTGAGGCCAAGCTGTTACATAAAATCTGAGTCCATGAAGGAGAGAGTTGCAAAGTGGAAAACTGTGGGTGTGCTCCTATAAGCTCCCAGAGGGGTGCGGGAGCTGAAGCCGGGGTCTGCAGTGGAGTCAGAGGTAGCCAGGAGAGTGGGACAATGTCCGTGTGGGTGCAGAAGCCCACGGGAACAAAAGATCTGTGCACCCTTAGGCGAGTTACATTAGCAGCTTGCATCAGAGTGGACGCTGCTGGGGAGAATGGGTGGGGTGTGTGCTGGGCTGGTGACCGCTGGCCTGCACTCTCCTCTGGATCTCACTTTGCAGCCACTTACAGATCCATTGACTTTCACTCAAAGACAGGACATTTACACAGTGGGGCGGGGGAAGAAAAAGAAAGAGGGATGGCTGAGTTTTTCCATTCCAGTCACTTGCAGTATTTGTGAGGGTCTGGGATAACATTGGGATCTAGGGTGCTGTTCGTCAGCCACATTTGGATTGATTATCTAGGGGGTATTGAGGCCAGATTCAACTGCAAAGGGGAATAAGTTTAGAGGCCCTTAGGTCAGGCACTAGGTGTAGAGGTCCGAGTTTCTCCCAAAGGAGAACCTAGAGGTGAGGACAATAATGCAGTTCCCTCCCGTAGGTGAGGTGAGGGAGCGGTCCACGGCCTGAAGTCCATGGCATCCCGAGACTTAAGGAGGACCGAGTGAGGGACAAGCTGGACAGTGGATCATCACTGCATATTTTAGGGGCCAGGGCTAAAAGCCCAAGGAGACACAGGGACCTGGTACCAGTGCTTGTGAATGAAGCCAGAACCAAGCCTCACCTAAGGAAATGGTCAGAGGTAGGCACCTCTGCCCCTGAGAGTACCAGAGACTCGGGGAAGTTTCTGAGATGACTGTGAGGATCATGGAAGGCCAAGCAATTGGTGGACCAGAAGGCGGATCTGTGGTAGGAGGACTAGAAATAAGGAATGGTGGCCCAGTGTGTCTTAGATCCCCCAACAGGAGCAGCACTAAGGTACCAGGGGAGCCTGCTGAGTCTTGGAATCAATGTTAGGGTTTAGCAGCAGAGTACCTTAGCAGGTCTAGGACAAGGTATATTATGAAGACCACACATACAGCAGATCTCATGGAAGAAGAAATTCATGCTAAAATTAACAGTTCTATTTCAAAGAAGAAAAGTACAAGGAGGCCATCCAGTTCTAAGCAAATCTTTGGCAATGCTTGTCCTCAAGAGGTGCCAACAGGCAGTGAAAATCCTGAAAAAGCAGCAGTGGCTGGTCTGTATCAACCCAGACTTGCCTTTGAGAGAAGGAAGAGCAAGGGCTACGGAGGCTTCCAGAAGAGACTGCTCATAGGAGGACATGAAGCCCTGCATAGAAGCCATAAAACAACCAAAGAGGTGCCAAACAGTACAACTAAACTGCCTGCCACATCAGCCTCTCGGAGCTTGAGCTGATGGACAAGGGCTTCAGTGAACATATGGAGAAGGAGCCGACCTTCATCGAGGGTTACATAGGGCATGCAGCAAGTCAGTAAACATTTCCCCATGACTTCTGCTGTAGTTCATCCCTCCAGGTCCCTGCCTTGCCTTCCCTCAGTGAACTGTGACCTGGGATACGTAGCCTCCCCGACCAGCCAGAAAAGGAGTACCCGGGGTCAGCAGCCTGTCCGAAGGCTTGGGAACCACGTGCGTTGTTTCTGGTGGTTTGTGTCTGGTACGTTACTTCTGCTCTGAAGGCATGCTGAAATATGATGCTCTGTCCTCAAAGACTCTTGCCTTGTCTTCCAGGCTAGGCACCCAGCCATCCTTCTCTGCTGAAGCTTACGGTTTATTTTCCTGTTTGTCAGGCTAATGGCGTTTCTCAGCCTTTGGGTGCCTCCAGCCAGTTGTGTCTCTTTCTTAGAGTCATGTCCTTCACATAACTCATATGGGAACTCAAATAACCGCAAATTCAGATCACCCGTAGTAAGCGTCTTCCGCATTCTGGATCGCATGCTACTCTTTCCTTTGGAATGCTGAGCCCTCGAGTGGTGGAAATACGTGGGCTGCAGAGGTCCAAACACTCACTGTCTGCCGCTCACTGCTCCTGGAGAGGGTGAACAAATGACTTCTTCCCTTAGATAGGAAACCGACAACAGACACAAGTACAGATACCACCAAATCCAACTTTACAAACTAGGAAGTTAGTTGGGGTCTCTTATAGGAGCAGTGATGACTCAAGACAACCAAATCACAAAAAGGCCCACCCCAGCACCGGTGACAGTTCTCAAAGCCTGGAAACGTGGAGTGCAAAGTAAACCCTGCAGACAGCTCAACAGGTTGGAGAGTGCTTTCCAGACAGCTCAGTTGGCCTCTGCTTCCAGGCAGCGTGGCTGGTCTGAGGGTATCTCTCAGCAATTCTTTCAACCTCTGTATGCCTAGGGAGAGGGGTGGGCCTAGTGTATCTGGTCAGTTTCAAGGAATTCCTGAAACCATTGAGTTGTTTACTCTCTGAATTTAAGGAATATCCCTGTGATGGTTTGAAAGAAAATGACCCCCCATCCAAAGGAGTGACACTATTAGAAAGTGTGGCTTTGTTGGAGTAGGTGTGGCTTTGTTGGAGGAAGTGAGTCACTGTGGGGATGGACTTGGAGGTCTCCTGTGCTCAAACTTCAGTGTGACACTCAGTTTACTTCCTATTGCCTTTGGGTGAAGATGTAAGAACTCTCCGCTCCAGGACCATGTCTGCCTGCAGGCTGCTGTGCTTCCCACCGTGACAATAATGGACTAAACTGTCAGCCAGCCACTGCAATGAAGTGTCTTCATAAGAGTCACCATGTCTTCTTTATAAGAGATACTTCTCAGCAGTAGAAACTCGAAAGACAATCCCGGAAAAGATGGAGTGTTTCACCTTCCCAGGGAACGCCCTTTGGTTTCATCTGCTGTAAAGGTTCTGTGTCCTGGAGCTTCCTTCCTGTTTCAACTCCCCTGTAACTGATGTCCAAGATGAAGGTTTTAGTCTTTGGGGAATTGTAACACAGTAGGCAGAGCTCTCCAGGGATTTTTAGGTGTTGAGTAAAACCCACTCTGTTCTTCTGGGGGCCTCTCTTGATGCCAAGAGCCTTCAGTTAGGCCGGAAGCATATTGCAGCCTCTTGCAACTTCAGCAGCCACCGTGGGATATATGTGGGGTGAGATTCTACTCAGTTTTGTTGGTAGTGGCTCCCTGTAGCATTCTTTGTAAAGAATATTTTGGCACTGAGACCAGATACCCTGGGGACTGCTTTGATACCTGGTTACGATATCTGGTATGGTGTAGGAGAGTGGATGGCTCGCCTTGTGGTGGGCAGGAGATAGGTGAGAGGCCAGGTACCTGCACGGGCACACCTCTGCTTTTGTTCCAGCTGGCCTCAGCCAGTAGCATAGGATTGCCCACATATAGGGCTGATCTGCCCTCCTTAGCCGCAGCTCAGGATGCTGATTGTAACAAGATGTCTTCATGGACACACCATGGGTGCGCTTTATTAATGTCCTAAGACTATTTTAATCCAATCAAGCTTGAAGTTAAGTTTACCATCATAGTGCCATGTCCTGATTTCATATATGAGACTTTCTTCTGCTTTCCTAGAGGTGCTAACTGTTTAGGGCATGTGTTCTTGCCATTCTTGGTGTTGATTTCTGTTGATCTTCCTAAGGGTGGAAGCTTTTCCCAGCTGCCTCGTTCTGATCATTCACCAAACACAGCGTAAGATCAAGTGAGCCAGCCAGGGTTCACTGGTGTGTGGACTGTGAGCGCCACTCAGTAAGCTGCCCCTGCTGCTGCTGGGCTGCTGAGCCCAGTGTCCAGTTTTGTTTGTTTGTTTTGTTTTACATGGGTGAGAGGGCCCTGCTCCCCAGGGAAGGCGCCTCCTGGCCCTGCTCCCCAGGGAAGGCGCCTCCTGGCCCTGCTCCCCAGGGAAGGCGCCTGCTGGCCCTGCACCCCAGGGAAGGCGCCTGCTGGCCCTGCTCTCCAGGGAAGGCGCCTGCTGGCCCTGCTCCCCAGGTGACGTTCAGTCTGTGGCTACCCTGGGCGCTGAGCTGCAGAAGCTGGCTGGAGGATCCTTCAGGGTGCCTGCTGGGCTAGCCACCTCTTCTCATGGAGGCCCATCTACCTGTAGCTGTGTGTCCAGTGCCTGTGGCCTGGAAGCTTTACTCTGCCCTCCCCTGGGATGGGGAGCAATGGTCTGGTGTTGAGACATGCAAGAGTATCCAGACTTGGCCCCTTCACCTCAGCCGCTTATGTGCCACCACAGACCGGGAGCTTAATCTTTTTTTTTTTTTTTTCTGTTTGATTTTTCGAGACAGGGTTCCTCTGTATTGTTTTGGAGCCTGTCCTGGAACTAGCTCTGTAGACCAGGCTGACCTCGAACTCACAGATCCACCTGCCTCTGCCTCCCGAGTTCTGGGATTAAAGGTGTGCACCACCACTGCCCAGCTGAGCTTAGTCTTAATTGCCAAGCTTTTGTGTAAGTAATGTTGTTTCTCCCATGACTGGTTCAGAGTTAGTTGTCACATATCTGCTGAGCTAGTTACCGCTTACCCATCTGTTTCTGGGTTTCTAAAATTTGTTGTATCATGTCCTCTGTGTGCAGCTTTTCCAAGACAGCCTCTATATACCGTAAAATATACCATAACCGTGCAGACTGCGGGCCTTCAGGGCTTATTTAGACTCATGCAGTCTAATTCAGACCGTTTCTGTCCTTCCCCGTATCACAGCCACTCTTCATTTCCTCATCCTCTGGCCAGCACAGATCCGTTGTCTGCGTTCTTCCTGGTTGGGGGTATTGTTTAGAGAGTCAGTCATATTTCTTTGTTCCTGTCTGCCGTCCTTTGTAACTGTCTGACAGAGCGGTTCAGAACCCTGCCCTGCTGCAGCCTGGAGGAGTCTGAGCAGCATTCTGTGTCATGACCTGCAGTGCAGCACGTCCTACTTACCAGCTCGTCAGCTGGGTCTTGGCGACTTTCGCTTTAAAAATATTACCTGGACAGGAATGGGCTTGGGGAAAGAATGTGGCTCACTGTGTGTACTTAGACCACTACACTTCTCCCCAAGTTGGCACCACAGAAAATGGTGTGACGTCTCTGCTGCTGTCACCCGCCAATCCTTACCCATATGGAGGGGTGAAGGGTTTGGTTGTGAGGAAAAGCACTTCTCTACATTAGCAGAGGACAAGTCCTTACAGACTAATGATTAGACCAGTGGTTCTGACTTTAGCTGGGCCCTCTTTCAGACAACTGTGCAGGACGTTGGTGACGGGTGGGAGCCCAGATGCCAGCCCAGGAAATAGGTGACCTCTATAGCCAGCAAGACAGAGCACAGTGTTTTCACAGATAGGCCCTGGGGTGGACAACCACGTGTCTCTCCACAAGGAAGGCTTAAAATGGTGGTTCAGCAGGGGAACTGTCGTGACTTTCTTCTTCAAATTGACCTTTTAACTGCTTTACAGATTACTGCAGTTTTTAAATCCTGATCCTTTGAGAGCTGATGAGATCTCTGACCTGCAGCAGGTATTACAACCCTAACAATAAAAGGGCAAACAAGACAGAAGCCTCCCTCCTCCCTCAGGCTGCCGTCTCCCTTAGATGGGCGTAGCAGCATCTAGAGAGCTACAGCTGTGGCAACTGTGTTTTCTCTGGGAGAACAGACGCTCTTTAATTTGGGTGGTTTGTGTGTTTTTCAGGAAGCATGTATTCCTAGGTTTTTACATGACCATCTTGTCTTTTCTTCTTGGTAAAAAGCCCTCCATGCTCTGCTGTCCACTGGGGAGGCCTGGTTGTGGGTGTCTAACGTCTGTGTTGGTTAGTTGCAGAAGGTGAAGTCGAACACACTACAGCCGGGGGTGGTGCTCCGGAACAGGATCGAGCCCTGTCTGACCATGGAGAAATCGCCTCTGTCGGCAGACCTGAAGAAGGTAAATGTGTTCTTAAAGCCAGACTCCTGAAAAAATCCTAGCCTTTTCCAACACAGAAGGGTTCCTCTGTTCTTTCTGTTCTGTTCTGTTCCGTTCCGTTCCGTTCTGTTCTGTGTTCTGTGAGCGATGGGGCTGGAACCTGGGGTTCCATGAATCCTAGGCACACATTTTATCACTGAACAATATACCCTAATCCCATAGGAGGATTTTAAATAAACAGTTCTAAGGCTGCATTGCATAATTCTTGCCTCTGAAATTCTTTTCAATCTTTGCGATTATTTCTCATGTATTTTTAAGTACAGATTTCTTTTGTAGAAAAGCCTTTTGTGCAACTGTCAACCCTTTTCTGAAGTGTTTTTGGTTGTTGGTTTTTGCTTGTTTGTTTATTTGTTTGGGTTTTGTTTTGTTGGTTTTTCAAGACAGGATTTCTCTGTGGCTTTGGAGGCTGTCCTGGAACTCACTCTGTAGACCAGGCTGGTCTCGAACTCACAGAGATCTACCTGCCTCTGCCTCCCAAGTGCTGGGGCGTGCACCACCACCATGCCCGGCTTTTTTGAACTTTTTAAATGGGAGCTTTGAACACGTTGCCAGGACAGTTGTAAGAGTTTTTTTGTTTTGTTTTTTCATCCTTTCCAAAATTTCTTTATAACTCTGAGATTTCACTTGGTAAATCAATTATATGCACTTATATTTCCTTACTGACTTAAAAGAAAAGAGCTAAGATTTGTTTTTGAAGAGTAGAAAGCCAACCGGAATGGAGGACCAGACCGAGAGAAAGGTGAGGTCTTGAGTTTACAGTCTTAGGAAGGCGACGGAGGCATCGGGGCTGACTGAATGGGGCAGGACAGGCCGGTGGGACAGTAAGCACCCAGCCTGCTTCTCGACGGTGCATCAGCAGTTTGTGTTGTGCTAAGGATGGGGTGACTAGAGTCACTGTCTAGAGAGCATCTCACCACACTGCTTGAAACTGTCCTGGCAAAATGCCTGCTTGCTACCCTGTCTTCTTCGGTGTCATGACGACCAGATCGGTCCCGCCCTCTGTGCCGCTTGTCCCGTGTATCTCTGGTGATTGTAGACATTGCGAGGATCATCTTTCACCTAAAAAAAAGAGAAACCAAACCAGAAAGTTGGCATCACCGGGTGCTGTGCTGTGGACCTGCAGGCCAGGGCCTTGGCAGGTGGAGACCCAAGGATTCCTTGAGCTTTGGAGTCAGCATGTTGAGCACAATGAGATTCAATTTCTGAACAAGAAAACTACCCCCAGAGATGCAAGAAGATACTGCCTCGATTTAGCAGTAACAAAGTTCTGTTTGTCTCTGCTCTTGGGGTTGGAGATTTCCTTTCAGCTGGGCCCAGGACCTTGCTGTGATTGGTCGTGTGACAGGCACAGAAGGAGAGGAGGCTCACCTGCTTCTGGATGTGTCCCCAGACCTTCCAGGGAGCTGAAGCTGTTCCTTTGGCCGTATTCACGCAAATCTACAAAAAGGGTGATACTGTAGACAAGAAACTCCAGGGTTGGGGTGGACAGAGAGCTCCACAGTTAAGAGCACTCGTCGCTCTTACAGAGGAGAGGGTCCAGTTGGTTCTCAGCACCCACGTGGTGGCTCAGAATTGTCCAGTTCCAGAGGATCCGGTGCCCTCTTGTGACCTCCACAGGCACTGCGTGAGGGCAGGGGGCAGGCAGTATGTGCAGCCGAAACAGCCGCAGATGAGATGAGGAAGAGAGAGAAAGATGGGGGGGGCTAGCCTGGCCTCAAATCAAACGAGGCATACTTTTTACAAATGAGGCAAGCGGGCTGGCGGATTGTTAATAGGAAGACAAAGTCACATTCTTGCTTTAGTCATCCAGTCAGAGGGCTGGCTCCTCGGGAGATCCTTGAGTGGGTTCAGAGGACCCATAGTCGTAAAACAAGAATGTGGTCCCTGGGAAAGACTGGCGCAGAACCTGCTGACAGTCGGTCTTGGGAGCACGCCACAGTAAGCCGTGTGCAAGCCGTGTGCGTGTGTCCTGGCAGTGAGAGCCAGCTGAGCGGGCTGTGAGGTGGCGTGTTTCCTTTGCTGTCATTCATCTCTGTCTTCTTCCCCACCATTTTCTGCAGGCTCTTCAGAGAAACAAGTTCCCGGGACCCAGCCACACTGCATCCTACTCTTGGCCTCCTATTGCGCGTGGCTGTGACGTGGTAGTCATTTCTCACTGTGGGAACGACCCGTTGTTGTACTTGCCACCGCTGCTTACGGTTTTGCAGATGGGGGGCTGCTACAAGTCTTTACCAAGTAGAAATGGTGTAAGTTGGAGATCATTTTGAAATGGATTAAATGTTTGTTTTCAAATGACTAATTTTTTTTTTTTTTGTAAAGCTGAGGTCATATTACTCAACTTTTTTCCTATCAGGCTGGCTTAGCGACACAGGTCTATATTCCCAGTACTTGAGACACTGAAGCAGTCGGATCACAAGTTTGAGGCCAGCCTGGGTTATGTAGTAGGTTTGAGTTCAGCCTCAGACACACATTAAAACAAAACCTGGACGATTCCACAATAGACTTTGCTTCCTTGCTGTCAGTCCCGGGTGATTCTTACCATGGCTCTCATCTGTGGCCCTAGCTGGGCAGAAGAGGTGTGGCTTTTAGAGACGGATATAGAGTTTGTACAATGATTCATGTAATCGTAACATTAGCCAGACGAGGTGGTCAGGCATGTCTTGTTACTGTCTCACATGAGAACATTAGTGCATGGAAAACTGCTGCTGGGTTCTTAACTGCTAACCAGTGGCGATTGTGTGACTAGAAGTTCAATTTCAAACTGGGCAGTGGTGGCGCACGCCTTTAATCCCAGCACTGGGGAGGCAGAGGCAGGAGAGTCTCTGCGAGTGTGAGGCCAGCCTGGTCTGCAGAATGAGTGCCAGGACAGGTTCCAAAGCTACACAGAGAAACCCTGTCTCGAAAAACAAGACAACAAAAAAAGTTCAATTCTGTTGTCTCCTCCCACATTCTTTTGTCCCACGGACCCACGCTGTTTAATGGTCTTTCCCGTGGATAAGAAAGATGAGGGAAACGGAGCACACGGAGAAATGGGGTGGAGGGTGCCTTGCTGGCTTTGGCTCTAGAGAACAGTCATTATAAAACATCCATCCCAGAAAACGGCACATGGGGTGTGGCATAGAGGGTCCATTGTGATTATTTGATTTTGGGGATTTGCACTGATTATGTCCTGGCTTTAATGTGCACATTTAGACCCCTTAGTTGGGTTAAGCAGCTGAGGCTGGCTGGTGAAGGAAGTGCCATTTGGTACCGAGACAGAGCCCTCTCTGGGGCAGAAAGCGACACCCCGCCCTCACTCTGTCACCCCTGCTATCTCCGTGGGCAGCCTGCTGCCAGGCCTGTGGAGAAGCTGGTACTTGTCTGGCCCTTCCTAGAGGAAGCGGGCACCAGGCTCATCTCAGTAGGAAACGCACGCCCCTGAGTGGCAGGCCGGTGGCTCTGGGCTGATGGGGGGCTGAGTCGAGAGGCGGTCTAAGGAAAAGTAGCTCTGTTAAAGCCGTTCCAGAGGCGGCCACTCCTAAGACGCTCATTCACCCTGGTGTTAGGAGCAGGAAATTGAGCCAGACATCTGGGCTCTTATTATTGCTGATGTGTTAGCTGTACAGCCTCGAGGGGCAGCTTCACCAATGTGGCTCAGTCGTGCCCTGTGAAGTGAGGAATCCTTGGCCCTACCCTGAAAGAGTGCGCTAAGGCTTAAGTAACTTAGGGAGTTCTTTAGCTTAAGAACTAGTTCAGTGTTTCTAAACCCACTGTACGGAAATTGTATTTTCGCTCTTCTCATCTGGATGATGATGATAGCTAAAGACTAATTCTACGCCAGGAGATGATCTGGATGTCGCACATACCATGTTTGGTTCCTAACAACTGACAAGAATTATCTGAATCTGTTTGTCTTGCAGCCTCTTGCCGTCATCGTGTGTCCCGGGTGGAAAAAGGCCCAGTTTATTTTTGAGTTGTTGGGAGACTATAGCATGTCCTCCAGGCCTCTTCATCCTGTGTTATTAACAATTGGACTTCACAAAGATGAAGCCAAAAACATGAAGCTTCCAAGAGGCTGTAAGCATCCTTTCCAGGCTGTTTGATTTTCTTTGCAGAAGACAGTGAGCTTGCCTGGGCAGCCTGGGACCTCAGTTGCTGGCCACGGGCTCTAACTTGACTTCCTAGTTACCAACGGGTGTCAGTGATGAAGGCTTGGTCTTGGCTCGCGTCTCAGAAAACCGCGGGATTCACTCAGTTCTCGTGCCCACTGACCTTTCGCTGTCAGGTGCTGAGCACAGAGCCGAGGAAACCTGCCTGTCAGGTAGCAGAGCCTGTGGCAGCGGGGGCGTGGTCAGATACTCGAGGATGAGGCAGGGTGGATAGATAGGGGCTTGCCTCGCTCTCCCAGTACAGAAATGGCTGCTAAGAAGGGAGTGGAGTTGAGTTGTGGTGAGGAAGTAGTGGAGAAACGTGTAGAAAACCTAAGATGTCTTCGTCGTTGTCTCTAAATGTAGGCGATGTGATTGTCACAACTCCACACAGCCTTTTGAGACTTCTCACGTACCGGAGCCTGTTATTTCTCAGACTCTGCCACCTGGTTCTGGATGAAGTGCAAGTATTGTTCTTTGAAGCTAACGAGCAGGTGAGTCTGGGCACACTGGGAGCCGCCGCCATCCACCGTAAAAGCGTGCGCGTTCTGAGCTGCGTCAGATCTTCAGGGCGTGGAGCAACACAATATCCAGTCAGCAAATCAATTGGTTAATGTCTAATTTAGAAGAGAGTACATTTACCTGATACTTCCTTCCTAGGGGTAAATTTCTCTTTGAAGAAGAGAAATCTGAGGAGATTGTTACATTTTTCATACCGTTTCTCTAATTATAGGAGGAACGTTCTTCAGAGAAAATTAAGAAGTAGAGGAGCACTTGAAAACAGAGCCTAGTCTTGTACTCAGAGGTCATCAGTCTTTTAAGTGGCCTTTTGTTGATACATACAGTTAATAGCAAGAGTGGGTTAGTACTGATTTAGAACTTAACCTTTGCAAGTAATGGTGCCATGCTATTCTGTAGCGTGGTTGTGACTGCTCATACGCACAACAGCTTATTTTATTTATCTATATTTTTTTGTTTTTTATGAGACAGGGTTTCTCTGTATTGTTTTGGAGGCTGTCGGTCCAGCCTGTCCTTGAACTCACAGAGATCCATCCGCCTGCCTCTGCCTCCCGAGTGCTGGGATTAAAGGCATGCGCCACCAACACCCGGCTATCTATTTTTATTTCTTTATTTTTGTTTTTCAAGACAGGGTTTTTCTTGACTGTCCTGGCATTTGCTCTTTAGACCAGGCTGGTTCGAACTCGGATCTGCCTGCTTCTGCCTCCTGAGTACTGAGATTAAAGGCATGCAACCCCCCCCTGCTTTTTATTTATTTATTTTTGATAACAACTTATTTTAAACCTGTGCCTTGTGTATGCCCTTAAAAGACTGAGTTTTTGTGACTCATTTGTGAGAAGCAGGGTGATGTGCTGACCAAGAGTGCCACTTGGGAGTGTTGGTGGCCCCCAGGTAAAGTGCAGGCTTATTTCGTAATGACTGTGTGGGCTCCTTTGAAGTCTGGGTGCGTATTTCCAAGCGGATGGCTACATGGACAGCTATGTTCCATTGCTTTTCTGAAGCGGTAGGCAGTCTGTGTTGCCGTCACCAGCTATCACACCGTCCATACTGCTTGCCGGCCATTCGGAGACCTGGACCTGGCTTGTGTTTTCTTGTTTTGTTTTGCTCCAATGCCAACTGGTAAACAGTGGGTTCCCAGTTCCTGTTTGGTGTGTTACTATTTCCTTGACTAAATGGGATAAAAATTAATGAAAATTGATCATTGTGTCTATTCTTCTATGTATTCCTTGTTTTGTTTTTGGTTGATGGGGTCATTTTTTTGTAATTGAGTTTTGAAGTCTTTACTATGAGCATGCTAATCCCGCATTACAAACATTATCCACTGGGATGCTGTTTGTGCCTTAATTACTTCCCAGTGGAATCTTTTTTTTTTTAGATTTTATTTATTTATTATTAAAAATATGGTGTAATGCCTACACACCAGAAGAGGGCACCAGATCTCATTACAGATGGTTGTGAGCCACCATGTGGTTGCTGGGAATTGAACTCAGGACCTCTGGAAGAGCAGCCAGTGTTCTTAACCCCTGAGCCATCTCTCCAGCCCCCCAGTGGAATCTTAGTGTTTATTGACCCAACATTTCCTTCTTTTGAAAAAGTTTTTTTTCTTTTTTGTCTTTGGAAAGGCTTTCCCTACACTAAAAACATCAGATGGGTAGTTCCTGGATTTTATGTTCTAGCTGACCCTTTACTCTATTTTGAAACAAAGACTAAATGTACATTTTTCAGATGTTTGCCATATTAGATAACTTTAAAAGGAATGTTGAGGTGGAAGAGCGGGAGTCTGCCCCGCATCAGATCGTGGCAGTGGGCGTTCACTGGAGCAGACACATAGACCATCTCATCAGAGAGTTCATGAAGGACCCCTACGTCGTGATCACCGCCCTCGAGGAGGCTGCCCTCTACGGCAATGTCCAGCAGGTGATGGGGAGGGGCTGGTGAGCACACGTGAGTGGCGTGTCTCCATGCTGTCTGTTAGCTGGCCGCTGTGGTTTCCGCCACAGATCTGTACGTGGGATTGTAGGCCGGTTGGCTTCATGTGCATTCTTTGTTGTTACAATGATAATCCCTCCGGAGAGCTGTGATGCCTCGGAAAGCAGCTGTTTCTGTGTTCATCGGCAGGTAGTGCATCTCTGCCTGGAGTGTGAGAAAACCTCTACTTTGCTCCAAGTTCTTGACTTCGTTCCAAGTCAGGCCCAGAAGACCCTGATCTTCACCTGCTCTGTGGCTGAAACAGAGATTGTGTGTAAGGTAAGCCTGTCCTCATGCTAGGACGCTCACCATTGGTGGGAGTCACAGCCGAGTCTGCCGGTCAGAAATGGACCGAAGACACGGTCTCACAGTAACTCCAGGCTCTGGGGGAGGGGCTGTGCTGGAAAACACTGAGGAGGAGCACGGAGGAGGAGCACGGAGCACGGAGGAGCAGGGGGCTGTGTGGCTGTGTCATGTGGGGTATGAAAGAGTTGGTCAGTGAAAAGCATCCCATCTGTAGTCTTAAGAAAATCAAGAAGATAATAGTGAGGGAATATCACATACTCTACATTGTAGACAGAAGAGCCAAACTAATTGTTTTGAGAATTTTCTACTTAATCTTATTCTGTAAACATTTCATGTTTATATGTAGAAACAAAGCCAAATAGGAGATTAAAAACTCAGTACAGTGCCTTTCTTTCCCTCATAATAAGCTATAGCATGTTATTTAAAAGAAAGGGAAATAGTGTTTCACTTAAAGCAGATTGTTAGATGAAGACTACAGAACCTTGGGGATGCTTAAGATGACAGCCTCATTCTCCAGAATAAAACTCTTACTGGTAATTTAAAGTCCATATGGGCAGTTAACAGTAGAACCACTGACTGAGCTTTCATGGTCCTGATGGTGTCCTGATGCCTTTGATTTCCTCTGTAGGTAGTAGAAAGCAATTCAATATTTTGCTTGAAAATGCATAAAGAAATGGCTTTTAACTTAAAAAGTATTTTAGAGCAGTGGAAGAAGAAATTAAGCTCTGGCTCTCACATTGTATTGAGTAAGTATTTTGATTTCTGTTTGTATTTAGACAAGGCTGAGCTAGTAGGGGTATACCTCATATCCAGCCTCATTATTTTTAAGGTTTCAGAATTCATTAGTTATCTTCATTCAGATGAAACTTAGCCTCTTTCTTCTCAAGTGAATCTGGGCGCTCCAGGGCCTTCAGCTTAGCAGGCAGCATTCTTTCTGGAGATCCAGTTTGGATTTACCTAGTTTGAAAGTCTGTGTTGGTCTGTGCATCTGTCTGTCCATTCATCCATTCATGCACACACCTGTAATGACACTAAGCTTAATAAAAAATGTAAATCTCAAAATGTGCAGAGCAAATGGGCAGCCTGATTTATGATAGAGGAAGACATTTTCGCTGCCCTCTGGAGTTTTATCAGTAGGGCTGTGGCATTTGCGGGGTGTGGGGGTGCTTTGCATATGAAAGGTATTAGGTATGGTGCTGGGCTGTGGGTGCGACGTTCAGTGCTCGGCACCTCAGATAAAGACGTGAAATGTAGTGCAGAAATATGGTGTCATGTGGGCGCTAGGCCTGCCTGTGGGGGTTCCTGGGAACCTTGTGGACGTTCCTTTCTCCAGCCTTGACGGACGACTGCATACCCCTCCTGGCCATCACCGATGCCACATGCGTAGTTCACTTCAGCTTTCCTTCCTCGCCAAAAGTGTTCGGAGGACGCCTCTATTGCATGTCTGATCATTTTCAGAGTTTAACGGAACAGGTCTGATTCATTTTTACTTTATGTATTGTTCCACTGTGTGTGTGTGTGTGTTGGAAAATTCAGAGTTATAAAGCTTTATTGTGTGAAATCAAACCGATGTGGATAATCTGCCTCTTTTACTCACCCCCAATCTTAAGGGTTCAGGAGATAAAAAAACCAAATCTGTCTTGCTGTTGACGGAGAGAAATGCGAGTCATGCCGTTGGTGTCCTTCGATACCTGGAGCGAGCAGATGCCAAAATCCCATCAGAGCTGTATGAGTTTACTGCTGGGGTCCTGGAAGCCAAAGAAGATAAGAAGGCCAAGAGACCTCTTTGTCCATATCTTAAGGCTTTCGGCTTTTGCAAGTAAGCCAACGCTTTCTAAAACTGAGTAGTAATGTGCATTAAAATTTACCCCTTGATGGAAAGTATCACACACCTATGTCCCTGTGCTAACCTGTTCAATACAAAAGGACCACCGAGAGGTTCCCACATGGCCTTCTGCCTTCTCGTAGCCGTTAGCACTTGCAAGCTGTGCTTTTTCTAATGACACCTTTTAATTGAACATATTAATGGGATTCAGTGTGATAACCCCATACCCTTCCCAATTTCTAGCAATCCCAGTTCTGCTTTCTGGGCCGCCTGATTTTTAAGTTTCCCCCTGTAAGGGAATGTGCTGTGCTTGTTTTCCTGTGGCTGAATTCTTTAACTTACTTCCTCCATTGCCGTCCATTTGCTAAAGTGTCAGGGCTGCATTTTTCTCCATAAGCGAATATTGCTATGCTCTCTGTGTGCCCTGTTTTCTTTTCCCACTGATTTATTGATAAGCATTGTGTTGGCTTGCTTTTTTGTTGGTATTCTAAAGCACGCTGATCAAACGCACCTTAAGGGAGGAAAGGGCTTATTTCGGTATTTTGCCTGTATTTTGTAACTTTGTATTCTGCTCAGTGACTGTATTGCCGTGTGCATATCCACTTGTAGCTAATGGGCCTGGGGCAGTTTGCAGCTGGGCTGTTACGTATGGCACTGCTCTAAATGTCCGCATGCGGGCCTTCTTAGGGAGTATGTGTGCACTCCTCTGGGTAGCAATAGTTGAGGAGAGACTTGTCTTAGAGGTTTATTGGCCTTTGTTGCAGATTATGGGGATGTGTCTTAAGGGTCTGGAGAGGTAGCTCAGCAGATAAGAGCACCGGCTACTCTTCCAGAGGACCCCACGACTGCTCACAACCATCGTTACTCCAGTTCCAGGGGACCCAATGCCTTCTTCTGGCCTTTTCGGGCACCAGGCATGCATGTGACATACATACAAGCAAAAACACCCATACACATAAAATAAACACAGAACTGAAAATAAAAATGTCTCCAGGAACAGTAAGAACCTTATCCTTTAAGTTCATGCAGTGTTGATCAGATAGCGGAGGCTGTTCCTACGTATGTATTGTTGGTGTCCTCCAGTCTAGAGCTACTTAACCTTCAAATGTTCCGAATAAAACTTTGCTGATCACAGCTGCAGCTCAGTTTCCTGGAGATGTCTCAACACTTCATGTTAACTTACTTTCCTCTTGTTTTAAAATCCAGTCTTGTTTTTCTCTTTTTAAAGAGACAAAAGAATGTGCCCTGACCGGCACCACATTAATGCAGAAATGGATATCCCAAGGAAGTTATCCAATGAGTCTCTGCCAGGGTTTGGACACATTAGGGTAAGTTCTGCTAGTATCCTTTGCTGAACAGTCATTTTCATGAAGACTTTTTGCTTGTTTTAACTTCTTAGTAGGTTTTTTTGGGGGGGGTACAATGTGTTTTGATCATATTTATCCATCTCCTTCCAGATCCACCTCCTTACCCACCCAACTTTTAGTTCTCTTAGAAAACAAAGCGGGCTACTCTAGCACTTGGGAGGCCAAGGCAGGTGGATCTCAGTGAGTTCGAGGCCACCCTGATCTACAGAGCGAGTTCCAGGACAGCCTCCAAAACAATACAGAGAAACCCTGTCTCTAAACACAAAACGAAACAAAACAAAAACAAAGCAGGAGAGCCCAGTCTGTGCTGCCCACACGTCCTTGGATGAGTGGCCTCCAGCGAGCATGGTGGTCTGCCGGGGGCTACCCACTGAGAGAAAACAGATGCTGGGTTTTTAGTTTGGGGTTTTGGGTCTTTTGTTTTTTGTTTTTTTTTCTTTTTCTTTTTTCCCCCTAGTACAGGTTTTCTCTGTGTATAATTGTCCATCCTGGAACTTGCTATGTAGACAGGCTGGTCTCGAACTCACAGAGTCCACCTGCCTCTGCCTCCCGAGTGCTGGGATTAAAGGCGTGCACCACCAACGCCCGACCTTGCTTGCTGATTTCTGCAGACATTACTTGTGCAGGTTTTATTTCAGTTGTCTTCTACATGTGTTCGCTGTATTTATTTCAGATAATACCTTTTTACGTTTCAAATGCAACCAATTACTTTGGTCGTATACTTGATAAACACTTTGATCTTTATGCAACTCTCAATGCCGAAATGAATGACTATTTCAAGGATCCCAGGAATAAAACAGCTGCTGAAAAGGTGGAGAGCTTTGGGTTGTATGGATTAGAAGAAAAAACACTTTTCCAGAGGTAAATGGTCAGTACTGGCCTGTCTCTAGCTGTGAGACAGGAACGCGCAGTTTGAATGCTCATGCTCACCACTGTCTGTTGTGGGAGTGTGTGTACCCTGAGCCTGGCCACCTCCCAGAAAGGTGGTGCTTACACACAGTGCGCAAAACACCTGGTACAGATGTGCACAGGACATCTGCTGGTTCCTGAGTAGTGGCCATATTCCTCCAAATATGATGAATCCATAGCTGTGTGTTAACACACACTCCTCTGTAATACCGAATTTCTCTCAGATTCCTATAAAAGAGGCATTGTTCTCACTTTACAGAACAGCAATCGGAGCTGTGGCCTTGTTGAGGGAGTTATCTAAGGCCAGCCCAGTGGTGGCACAGTTAGGGTTCCCTCCTGGCCACCCGACCCATGTGACTGCTTGCACCTACCTTTCTGAATCCGCAGGTCCACACTGTTGGTGTTAGCCCCTTCTCAGAAACTAGGGTCTCTGCTTTGCTGTGATAGCCTTAGTCCACAGGCTATCACAGATACAGGGTGTGTTCTGTTAGAAGTGCTGCCTGTTACGTGGTGACGTGGGCGTTAGGCAGTCCGTCGTGTAAGGGTCCTCTGATGGAGGGTGACACTGCAGTGTGAAGAATAGTGTGGCTTCCGTTTTGGGTTCCCTGATGCCTTCGCTGTTCTTTAGGGTTCAAGTGTTGGAAGTGAGCCCGAAGGAAGACACCTGGGGTTTGGGGAGTGTCTTGGTGAAATTCATAGACGAAGGCAGGACCAAGCTCATCTCAAGAGACCAGCTTCTGCTGCTCCCAGACAAGTTCCACGCTCTGCCCCCTCAGGCTGTGGAGTTCATTGTTTGTAGAGTGAAACCAGCCGACAGTGAAATTGAATGGAACCCAAAGGTGGGTTACTTTAGCTTTTATGTTTTATTATTTTTATTTATTTATTTTGGATTTTTGGAGACAGGTTTTGGAGCCTGTCCTGGAACTCGCTCTGTAGACCAGCCTGGCTTCAAACTCAGGAGAGATCCACCTGCCTCTGCCTCCCGAATGCTGGGATTAAAGGTGTGCGCCATCAACGCCGGGCTAGCTTTTATGTTTTATTGACTTAGGGAATACATTTTTTTTTTTTGGTTTTACGAGACAGGGTTTCTCTGTATTGTTTTGGAGGCTGTCGGTCCAGCCTGGCCTCGAACTCACAGAGATCTGCCTGCCTCTGCCTCCTGAGGGGACTTAGGGAATACATTTAACCCAGACTACGCAGAGAGAGTAGTGTGTGTGTGTGTGTGTGTGAAGGGATTTTTTTTTAACATTGGTCTTCACTATGTTGCCCATGGTACTCTTGAAATCCAAGATTCAGACAGACTTTTTGGATAAGCCTAGTAAATAGTTGTGACTGTAGCTCCTGGTGTTTATTAGCGTCTTAAATTCGAGCCTTTGCTTGGCAGTTTTCCATTTTAGGTCATTAGGAGCATGGTTTGCTGAGGTCTCTACTGTTACAAGACAGCACTGTGGGCTTTAGCACCCATGCTAGAAGTACCAGGCTCCATTGGCATTGTAGTGTGAAAGCCAGAGTTGCATTTTATGCTTTAGTTTCTGTGCCTAAGAGATCCATGTAACAAAAATGCCTCTAGCCTGTAAGATCAGTGCCCAAAGACAGGTAGTCCTGAAATTCTGCGGGCTGTTATTTATGGTCCATAACAAGCCACCTGTTTTCACTCTCCTAAGCAAATTTGTTTGACTCAGCCGAGCTGAATGATCACGCATAGGTGAAAGGCAGGCAGGAAATACATCAGAAATATGTCAGGTTGTATGCTGACCCCTGATTGGATGTAGGTGAGAGGTAAGCAGGCAGAAAGTATGTCAGGATATGTGCTTGCTCCTGATTGGAGTGAGTGGGGGGTACACAGGAAATACGTCAGGATATGTGCTTGCCCCTGATTGGAGTGAGTGGGGGTACACACCCAGGAAATGGCATCAGGATGTGTGCTTGCACCATTGGAAATACAGTGGCCTTACAGGTTTGCCTTTTTAAGTCTCTGCAAAATGTGACTCGCTGCCATTTCCTGGGAACCCAGGAGTGGACTTGGCCAGAATCTGTCTTCTTTGCCAGTGTTTAATTAAAGCTTTCTTCAAATTTGGCTCAAAACTGTGGCAGCAGTGTTTTTTCTAGCTTGGTGGGATTAACAGGTAGCCACTGTCATTATTGCTGTATCCTAGGATACATGGGTTATGGTTTAGCACAGGTTGTGAGTAAGGATTGGGAGGATGGATAAAAAAGGGAGATGATAGAACAGTTCACAAAGAAAGAGCCATTTCCTCTGGACCCTGGAGTCATTAGAACGTCATCTGCGAGGCAGGGTTTCAGTCGGGAGCAGAGAAATGCCTGTTGCATGCAGTGTAACACAGAAGACCACCCCCCTCAGACCCAATGGCAGAGCAGTGAGTTCATGATAAGGCACCTGATTCTAGGTCACGATTCTGGATGACATGAATTCTGCACCCACCAGCAGGAAAGCCACGGGCCCTCCCTGTCTTCTAGGAAACCTTTCTGATCTGTAAAGAAAGCGTGGCTAAGAGTCTCATTGGTAGGCAACCTTGTGTAGAAACGGGGTCTTCGCTAGGCTTTCTGCTGCTGTGATAAAGCCCTGACCAACAGCGTCCTGGAGGAAAGGGTTTATTTGGCTTCTGCCCTGCTTTGTGTTCATCACTGAAGGAAGCAGGGCGGGAGCCGATGCAGAGGCCGTGGAGGGTGCTGCTCACTGGCTCGCTCCTCATGGATGGCTCAGCCTGCTTTCTTAGAACCCAGCACCATCAGGGTAGGAGAGGTACTACCTGCAATGGACTGGGCCCTCCCCAATGATCACTAATTAAGAAAATGTCTTATCAGCCAGATCTTTTGGAGATATTTTCTCAATTGAGGCTCTCTCCTTTCAGATCACTCTAGCTTGTGTCAAATTGGTAGAAAACTAGCCAGCACACCGGGCGTGGGGACATACGCCTGTAACCCAGCACTCGGGAGGCAGAGGCAGGCAGATCTGAGTTCAAGGCCAGCCTGGTCTACAGAGCGAGTTCCAAGACAAGCAGGGCTACACGGAGAAGCCCTGTCTCAGAAAAATGACAACAACAACAACAAAGACAGCACAATCTCATGACAGGGGCCAACTCTCTCCTGTCCTGCCCTAGGTGTGAGAGATAACTCGGGTCTTGTCTGTGTGGCTCCTCCAGGGGGGAAAGAGCTGGCACACCTGTGAAGAAGCCGGGCCCTCGGCTGTGTATCATTGGCTGCAGGGAAGTCTGTGGCCGTAACACCTTCTGGGGAAGCGAGCAGAGCCTCTGCTTCACTTCCTGATGCTGAAGGTTTCCTGAGGGTTCACAGAGGAGATGGGTCCGCCAGCCGTAGTGAGAGACAGCATTACAGGTCCAAAGGCATGGACCCCACCTGATCCCAGAGCTCACAGTGGGTCTTGGCCAAGTCCCTGCACCTTTGCACGCCTGCTGCTGTTAAACTCTACTGCACCTTTGACTAGAAAGGAAGCTGATGCCCGCCTCACCTCAGAGCTGTTGAGAAGCCAGGTGCAGGGCGTAGCACGTACTCTGTGAGCTTCTGTGAGGTGAGACGCTTCCCTGGAGCCTCAGGTAAATAACAAAGTGCTTTGTTTTTTTGTTTTTTTTTTTCAGGTTACTAGATACATTCACCATAAGATTGTTGGGAAAATACATGATGCCAAAGTGGTACTAGCTTTGGGAAATACCCTTTGGATTGATCCAATGGTAAGTGTTCCGTTTTCTTCAGAAGAAGTCTGCTTGGATGACCCCCAGAAGTGATGTACAGAATCCTAGTCTGTTGCTAGAAATGGAGGCTTATTGGGGGTTCTCTGTTAGGGACGATGTTTTTGGTGTTATTTGTGCCATGAGTTTGGTACTTGGTTTTGTGTGGTGAGATATTTTACATGAGACAGTAGAAGCAGGCATTGTGTGTGATACACATCTGTAACGTGACCGATGTTCATGAGTCCTTCCTTACTGCTTGTGGCATTTTCCGGGATTTATGGTGTTGCTTCATTTTGCCCTTTGAATTATAAACCACCGATCATTACAAGGGATTCTGAGCCCCCTGCCCAACCCATCTGAGAAGTCACAGGTCAGTGCCTGCTGCCACAGTCTGGCCTTAAGTAGTTCTTAAGGCCCTGGAGCTTGCTCTGCAGTTACTAAGGAGCGTCCAGTCCTTGGCACTCGGGGCTGGGCCACAGTTTCTGCCACAGACTTCACCATGCGTTTGCTGAGCTCCGCCATGTCCTAAGGCTGGACTGCACCCTTGAGTTCCATGTGTGGGAAGAAGCAGGGAGGCCCTCTGTGGGGCCAGCATGGAGTGTGGCAGTGGCAGTGGCTCAGGCCGTGTACAGTGTCTGCTGACGTCATTCCTTGCTCCTCAAGAGTCCTTCACAGCTCTGCAGTAGACAAGCCTTATGCGCTATTATTTATCATTTTCAAAGGAACTCAGTTCCCATCTTGTTGAAAGTAAAACTCACAAGGATGGAAAAGCCTTAACACATTAAAGTGGGGAATTTGGGTATGAGATTTATGAAGTCATTTTTAGGAAAGAAAAAAATCAGTTATTAGAGCAGGTAAGTAGATATATTTAGGAATTTTAAGTAGTGTTGTCATAGTCAGGATTACAATTGTTCTTTGTTAGAGAAAAAAACAGGTGAAGACGGAGAAAAAACAGGTGAAGACGGAGGTCTCTGTCCTGCCTGGTCCCACAGCTGCTTTGCCCCAAATAAACACACAACGTTATAATAATTATTAAATGCTTGGCCAATGGCTCAGGCTTCTTATTGGCTACCTCTGTCTTAATTATTAACCCATTTCTATTAATGGATGTGTTGCCACGAGGCTGTGGCTTACCTGTAATCCCGCAGGTAACTCCTTGGGCAGCTTGGCGTCTGCTTGCCTCTCTCTGCCTTCCTCTCCCCTGGTTCTCCTGGTCTGGTCGCCCCACCTATGCTTCCCGCCTGGCTATTGGCCAATCAGTGTTTTATTCATCAACCCATAAGAGAAACGTACACACAGAAGGACGTCCCCGCATCAAACAGGAAGCTTTATTAAGCAGGGGATTTTTTTTTTTCTAGACAGGGTTTCTCTGGAACTCACTCTGTAGACTAGGATGGCCTAGAACTCATAAAAATCTCCCTGCCTCTGCCTCCTGAGTGCCAGGATTAAAGATATGCACCTCCACCACCTAGCAGGACTTTTTAAAAATACCATCAGAATACGAAGAAAAAAAAAGAAAAGAAAAGAAAAGAAAACCCTCTTGGAAAACATGTTTCCACAGCTGCAAAGTGTACGGCAGTGTCTACTGACACACAGAAGGGGAGCAGCACCCCAGCTGCCTTCCTTCCCAGAGAAACGCCCCCCCCCGTCACTCTGAGCGAAGGCAGATTCTCCTGTGTGTGCCTCAGGTGGAGCATGCCCAGGGTTCATTAGGGTATGCTCAGCAGGGCCAGCCTGTGCCCATCCCTGCTCTTCCACAGAAAGGGGCAATCCCACAGTTGAGATAGTCATAGCTTGCTTAAATTGCATAAATTTCTCCAGCGTTGGCTGGAGAAAAGACAAATAGATAAAACTGTAGAGCACAGGACTTGGAGGCTTGGCATGAGGACTCCTTTCAAGACACACGAGGACTCTGAGCCTTGTCAAAGAGGCTATAGGAGAGTAACTGGCTATAGCATCCTAGATTGCTGTGAGCAGGAGGTCATACAGGGGTTCTGCCCGTAACTCAGGATCATCTCCGCAGCATGTGGCGGGACTTAGAGGATTCTGCTGTCACCTTAGCGATAAAATAACTGGGAAGCCCTTGCATACTGAGACACATGTTCAAGTGTGCCTGACTTGCAGGAAGGCTTGAGAGGCTGTGAGCGTGCTTGTGTTGTCAGGATTCAGATGTAACTCTTACAAATGTTTTCCCCTCTGGTTGAAGGTGCATGTTACAAAACTATCAAACCTAAAAACCTCTGTCATTGATTACAATGTTCGAGCTGAAATTTTGTCCATGGGAATGGGTATTGATAATTCAGAACACATAGAACAACTGAAAAAATTGTACAAAGAAGCCAGACTGCCATCTTTTGAGGACCTTCTGGGCCAGACCTCGTAAGTGCATTTCTGTCTCCCTCCCTTTGGAAGAGCTGTGTTGAGTTGAGGCAGCTCCATGTTCTAGCGCTCACCTTTAAGAGCTCTCAGGGATCACCAACTTACCCCTCGGGGTTGCTGGCGTGGCATGAGCAGGTCTCAGGCATGTCGTTTTGACTGTTTGACATTTTATTTGCAGGTAGCTCGGTGTGCAGTTTGATAGCACACTTGGGACACCAGGGGACAGAGATGGGGTTCCCTGCTCTGTGCTTGGTTTGAATGGACGCATGGGCTTTGTCTGCTCCATGTCTGGCTCCCGTGTCTCATACTGCGCGTATAGTCCATCCAGCCTGTGTGTAAGGCTGTAGATCTGAGCATGCACTCTTAGCGTCCTTTGAGTAAGCCATGATGCTTACCTACCTGGTGTGCTGTTGGCGAGGGAGAAGTCCAGTCAGGATGCAGTGTGCCCTCCCCTACACATCTATCTGCTTCTGTGTTTCATGACAGGTGCATTGAGTTGTGCTTACTTCTATTGTAGTATGAATAGTAAAAACCCAGAGACAGATGGGGTTAAAGCTGAAGACCAGAGAAGCAAAGCCGCCAGCCACTAGAGGGTTGTCACCTCTCCCAGTGCTCAGACTGAAGGGCGATCCTGTGCTCGGTTGCATCTCCAGACTGCACTGCTCCTCAGACTGCCTAGGCTGCAGTGCTCTCCACCAAAAACTCAACTGCTCTCTGAGACTGCACTGAGCTCCTTATATTCTCTCTAGTGCTGGGATTAAAGGTGTGAGCTCTGTTTCTCTTTTAGACTGATTTCACTCTCATGTAGCCCTGGGTGCCCTTGAACTCACAGAGATCCATCTGCCTCTGTCTCCTGAGTCCTGGGATAAAAGGTGTGTGCCGCCACTGCCTGGGCTCTATGGCTGTGGCTAGCTTTGCATTCTGATCTGTAGGCAAGCTTTAGTAGGTCATAAATGGTATATTACCACACCTGTCAGTTTTTCTCTATCAGCACGCATTGTAGGAAACAATGGGTTTTGTCATGACATTTTCACACATGTGCATAATTTCTTTGATCATATTGACATCACCTCTGTCCCTTCTGTCTTGCCTCTCGTCCCCCTCCTTCCCTCAGATAGTCCCTTTTCTATTTGACATCCTTTTTTAAAGTCTAGGTCCTTCATAAGAAAGATTTCGATGCAATATCTGTCTGAGTCTGGCTTCTTTCACTAAATACAGTCTTTTTCTAGTTTCCGGCCAATGAAATGATTTCAGTTTTATAGATGAGTAAAACTCCATTGTGTGTATTCCCCACCTTTTCTTCATCCATTCACCTACTGGTGGGCAGCTAGGCTGACTCCATGGCTTGGCTATAGCAGATCGTGTTGAGGCTTCACCACACAGATGTGAATTGCCAATCACTTCCCGTGTGTGCTGGCTATGCCGGCTTAAATGCCCCTTTGTGGACTTGCAAGATGGCTCAAGGGGTAAGGGCACTTGCTGCCACGCCTGATGACCTTGGTTTGATTAACAGAACTCACTTGTTGGAATGAGAAAATCAGCTCCTGAACGTTGTCCTCCGACCTCTGCATGTGTGCTATGGGATACATTGTCCCCCACAACATACAAAATATAATACATGCAAATATTTTCCAGGTAGAGCAGTCCATACCTAGGGAAGTTACTCTGAGAAGTTGTGATGATTAATAGTGGCTGTCAAGTTGACGTGTTCTGGAATCACCTAGAAGACAAGCCTCTGGGCATTCGTTTAAGGGGATCTCAAGATTGGGTTAGTTGAGGTGGAAAGTTGGGCCTAAATGTGGGAGTGCTGTCCCATAGGCGGGCGCAGACTAAATAAAGGGGAGTGAGCGGATCAGCCGGCCTTCCTGTCTCGGTGCTCCCTTGGTAGATGCCAGCCACCGGCTGCTCCTGATCCCACGCCTCCCCAAACTGTGAGTCCGAATGTGAGCCCTTCCTTAGGTGTTTTGTTTTAGCCATAAAGGAGGAAAATTAACTAATGCAGTGTACTTGTACCTCAGATAGACACAGCCTGTGTGAACTCCAGAGCATTTGTACTGTGCCAGGCATGCTGGTTCTTGCCTGTAATCCCAGCACTTAGAGAACTGAGGCAGGAGGATTGCTATATATCTGAAGTCAGCCTGGGCTCTGGAAAGAAGTCGTATCTAAAGGACAGGAAGGGGAGGCGAGTGCAGTTGTACCAGAAGCTCATCATAGAGACAAATGTAGACACCTTCTAGAGACAGAGCCGAAGACTTGAGTCTGCACTTGACAGTGTGCAGCGGGCTCAGCCTACGTGCCAGCAGGAATGAACCAGAAAGCTGTGGGAGGGACCTGGCTGAGTGTCTGCTGCTCTTGTAGGGGGCCTCAGTCCAGTGCTGAGTGCCTCTGACCCGTTTCCATAGTGCCTGACTTTGAGATGCCTGCCCATGCGAGCCACATCCAGAGTTTGTAGTCGTTTGCCATTCTGTCTGACAGGTGGAGTGGGCTCTCAGAACAGTTCTAATTTGCATTTCCCTGACCAATAAGGATGAGCGCTTTTCCCAATCATTTATTGACTATTCTCACAGTACTTGATATTCCCTGGGTGTTCACCTCCCGTCTGAAGCGTAGTTGGCAAAGGTCCTTTGTCTCCACTCTGTGTCTTTCTCTTCACCCTAGTGATCTGTCCCCTGCTGTACAGAAACGTAGCCTCACGTCATCTCAATTCTTAGAATAGCTGGCTGTACTACAGGAGCCCTGGCCATGATGTGAGACCCATGTTGTGATCCTCTGTGACCTGGGAAGGTTCCAAAATGACAGCCAAAGGGGAATAGGTGTCAAAGAATCTGGCAAAGATAAGAATAGTTTGTAATGTGAAGTGTTTTTAGTTTTGTTGTTGTTGTTGTTGGAGGAAATTGGATACTAGTAGAATTAGGATGCAAGTTGTTTTCCACGTACTTCAAAAAAGAAAACAATCCTATAAGGTATTCTTTAACAATGAAGATGCCATTACTGTTGAGATTTTTTTACTTTTTAAGATTGCTTGTGGATTTCACATCATGCATCCCCATCCCACTCATCTCTCCGTCCCTTCAATATCTGCCCTCTGTCCTTGCAATCCCCCAAATAAAAGACAATTTAAGAGAAAAAGCAAAACAAACTAACAGACAAGAAAGGAAGAGAGAGGCCGGGCATTGGAGGCGCATGCCTTTAATCCCAGCACTTGGGAGGCAGAGGCAGGCAGATCTCTGTGAGTTCGAGGCCAGCCTGGTCTACACAGCGAGTTCCAGGACAGGCTCCAAAGCCACAGAGAAACCCTGTCTCGAAAAAAAAAAAAAAAAAAAAAAAAAGAAAGGAAGGAAGAGAGAAAGAGAGAAGAGAGAGGGAGGGAGGAAGAAAGGAGGAAGGAAGGAAGGTCAGTCGGTCTCAGCGTGGAAGCTGTAGCGTAGCCCAGGGAGTCACACAGTGACCCTTTACTCCACACATCTTCACCTGTAAGTGTTCATTGCCGTGAGTCGTTGGTCTGGTTCTAGTTCTCTGGCTCCTGCTGCACCCTTGATGCTGGGCCCCCACTGGGACTCCTTGGATACCCTGCTGTTGCCCTGTGATGTGGAGATCCTGGAGCTCGGTCTCCGGTCAGCCCCTTCACGTGCTCCAGCAGCTCACAGATGACGTGGGTGTCGGGGTGGCCGACTCCTAGCTCTGGCTCTGGCCTCGGTGGTGGCTGGGTCGCTCAGCCTGCCGGCTCTCCGTCATGGACACCACCAGGGCGAGCTCTCTAGCACTGCCCCAGCTGGCTCACCCTCTGTCGCAGCAGCGAGGACCAGGGCCAGGTCTGCTCTCCTGCCCTCAGGCCTGTCTCACCCACAGCTCTACAGTTTTGCCTAGGAGAGGTGCAGGGCCCACTCTCCCAATGCTGCAGTTGGTGGGGGGCGGGGCCAGTTCTCCCTGGTGCTATAGCCATTGTGGGGCGTGGCCAACTCTGCAGCCCTATCCTCACTGTCTTTGGTGATAACAGGAGCCATGGACATCAGTACAGACGGAGGCTTTGGCAGCAGCCCAGGAGGCTTGAACAACACCATGGCCCCAAGTGGCAGCTCAGGCTCCTCAGATCTGTATGATCCAGCAATGGCACAACCCTCAGATACTAACATAGCCCCAGGAGGTGGCCCCAACCCCTGTTGTTCATGGGGCCCTTGGAGGCAACATGGGCCATGGATATCAACACAGGCCCAACATGGTCCTTGTCAGCAGCCCAGGCCCAGGAGGAAGTTCCGGGCACTGCCTGATGGAGAGGTCACAGGGCTGAGGGACTGACAGGTGGAGGGACTGGGGTACTGAGACACAGTGACAGGGTGTTGGCACCGTGGGTCAGAGGAGATGTGTGGTGGGGGCCTAGCTCTCTGTGGGTGGTACCTTTAGACTGATGGTCCTGGTTCTATAAGAAACAGGCTGAACCACCCATGAGGAGCATGTCAGTAAGCAGCATCCTTCATAGCCTCTGCATCAACTCTGGCCTCGGCTCCTGCCCTGTTTAATTTCCTCCTGTCCTGCCCTCCTTCAGTGAGGGACTGTAAGCTGAAATTAACCCTTTTCAAGTTGCTTTTGGTTATGGTATTTTATCACAAAAAAGAAACCCTACTAAGACAACTGATTATCTGGTTAAAGAGCCAAAAGAATGGTGATGCATATTTTTGTTTTCTAGACAAGGTCTCTACACAGCCCTAGATATCCTAGAACTCACTATGTAGACCAGGCTGGCCTTGAACTCAGAGATCTACTTGCTTCTGACTCCTAAAAGTTGGGATTAGAGTCATGTGCCACCGTTCCTGGCTGTTAGGGGTGTGTTTGTGTGTGTGTATACATATGCATAGATATACACATATATATGTATGTATGTTGAGAATGAAAGAGAGGCAGAGGCAGTTACCTGAATGAAGTAATCTCCAGTCAGCTAGTAGGCAAAATCAAAGGGTGTTGTGTTAGATGTGTGCATAAAAAAAGATGTAAATGGAATTTTTTGAAGCCTTACCTTATTGATTTTACTTTTGTATTATAAAAACAGTATTTCTAGAAGTTAGTCCAAACTGAACATAGACTCTGGGAAGACATTCTAGGAGACGGGGTGGGGGTGGGGGGCTAGCATTGCACCTGGGCTCGTCTCCTGTTTGAGTGGGGGCTGCACACGCCCTTCTTCCCTGAGGTTCAGTGAGCTTGAGGGAAGGTTGGCTGAGTAAATGAGAGTGCCTGTCTCTGATCACGTGTGCCCCTCACCTCCACGGGAGCAAAGCTGACTGGCGCTGCACGGCCATTGTCTATAAGTCACAGAGGCTCCGTGTAGGTCTGGCTGCCAGGGGACAGGCAGGCTGCTTAATGTCTATGCCCTCTTCTGCCTGAGTCTCCTCGAGTCCAGTTAACGTCTGGCTCTTCCGTCCAGGACACCCACCACAGTGGAAGATGCCATGTGTCTGCAGGACCCCAGGCAAGAAGATGGCGGTCCAGAAGGAGGAGCTGCTTCCAAGGTGGACTCAGACAACCAGAACCCTGGTTGGTACTGCATTTAAAAGACGCTTAGCTCCAAGGCAGCAGTTTCCCATGTGTAGACTTTTCTTTTGGAATGGCTGTAACAGGCCTGAGCTTGGCAAACAGGGCTCTGGCCGGCCTTACCCTCCCCCATTTCCTCTGCCTTGCTAAAATGATAGATGATATTCCTAAAGCCCCACCAAAGTCCATCCTTATTTGGACACTTCTTCCTCCTGAGACTGACTACCAAGGTCCAGCTATCAGAGTGTTAAAGTCCAGCGATCAGTGCCAGCTTTGGGCTGCCCTAATTTACATTTCCAATCGAAACGAATCAATTGATCCTAACACGGGGTCCCCTTCCCCTTCATTAACCGCCATTTGCCTATGGGCCACATCTGCCTCCTCTCTATCCAGAGAGCCTTTTGTCCCTCTGGGACAAGTATCCCTTCCCTCTCCCGTTCCTTTTCCCTTCTCCCTTGTCCTCTGTCTCCTGCCCTCTGTCTCTCTGGAGAAACCGTCTCCATTTCCCTGTGAGACACGGAGCACACAGTGCCGGCTGTCGGCAATTCTTCCTCACTGGCCTCCGTCCACACTTAAACCATACTGGTTGAATGTTTCCAGAACCCTCCCTAGTGCTCCAACTCTTTTCCTGTCACTATGGGTTTTGAGATTGAAGCATGTGGCTTCTCCAGTCTGTAGCATTATAGCCAGTGTTTTGGGTTTTTTTTCATTGTTAGGTTATATTCTATAATATGAATGTACCAGAGTTTATTGGGAAATGCTAAGGTTGTTTCTCAGGATGGTCTGTTGTGATTAAAGCTGCTTAACACTCTTTTTTACCATTGCTGTGACTCAAACCTAGATCCTTGTTTTAAGTTTTGAGTGGTAATGTTAAATATTTTCGGTAGAGAAGTCTACATTCCATTGTCTTAGAAGATGTGTGCGCAGGAGTTGTTGGATCTGAATGTTGAGCTGTTGTGGAAGCCTACAGGTTAGGGGAGCCCAAGAAGCCTGGGCATCTGTAAGCCACGCCCACACCAGGAGTTTGCCGCAACTCTGCTTCCCCGTTAAATTTTCACTGTTTGAAAGTCTGTTATACTTTAGATACTGTGTCAGTGTCTAAATGATGTGGATTTCAGCTTCTTTATTTGCTGTTAGATGCCTGAGTTTTTATGAAATTTATACTCTTTTTGTTTGGTTTTTGAGACAGGGTATCTACATATCTCTGGATGTCCTGAATCTCACTATCTAGACCAGGCTGGCCTCCAGCATACAAAAATTGGCCTGCCTCTGCCTCCGAGTACTGAGATTAAAGTCATGGGCTACCACATCCAGCTGAAATTTATACTCTTAACATAAAATCTTCATGTAAAAGTTGCCTTGGGTATAAAGAAAAGGTGCTTGTTGTAATATAAATAACCTGTGGAAATTTTGCCGTTGATTTTGTACAGAAGTTTTATCGGAAGCCACTGGCAGTGAATCCATTGCCCAGCTACACGTGAGAAGGTACGTGCTCCTGTGCCTGGGGACCTCTCCTAGTCTGCCACGTGAGCGGGACACGTACAAACCCCCGTCTTTCCTCCCAGCTTTCACCCACAGATAAAGTGGTTCCAAAAAGATGATGTGGTCATCCTAAAGGTAAAAATAAGGAATGTCAAGGATTACAAGTGTAAATTCTTTCCAAACAGAGTCATTTTCAGGTAGGTTTGTGTGTCCCTGATAAATTACAATTGCAGATGCATACAACGTTTTAGATGGCCGACTTTATTTCTTCTTGTAAACCCAGTGCCTGGGTAGGAGACAAGTTTTACTTGGCTGATTTGGAGCTGCAAGGTGACATACGGAAAGATGACTGCAAGTGCATAATTAAAGATGACGAACCTCTAATCACGCTGGCGAAGGAGAAGAGGGCGTGCTGGTGTGGCCTGCTCAAGCAGAGGGTGAGTTGATGCCTGCGCCTGGCTGCCCCTGACCGCGAGCTCCTGGCACGCGCTTAACTTGCGTCCACTGTTGTGTTGCACAGAACCCTAACGTGGCCTTCGACTTTGACCACTGGGAGGAACGTGAAGAGGACAGCCCCTTTTCCAAGGGTGAGACGGGCAGGCCCTGCTCCCGGGGTGGGAGGGAAAATGGGGGACATACCAGCTGTCCTCAGATTCTGCCTGCAGAGATAGGCTGTTCGCGTAAGGCCCTAAAGACTGGAGTTGGTCTTGGTGCTAAAAGTTCTGGTGTGGCTACGTAATGACCCTTTGTAATAATACGCTTCTCTGAATCTTTAGAGTACAGGGGATTGGAACCCGTGTATGGTAGGAAACCGCTACACCACTGACCTGCGTCATCAGTTCCTAAGCTCTGCTGATGAACTCTTAGGATCTCCTTCCTAGAACTGTGTGTTTAAGGGCGGACACGTTTTACCTGTCACTGCTTGCTTAAATCATTTTCGAGGAAAACAGAACTAGACCTGTGGACATTTGCTGTGCTGACCAAAATAGTGGGGGTGGGTAGTTAACCAATACTAAACCATCTTTATTTAATACCACATCTTCTAGTTGTAATTTCTAAAAACCTGTCCTGCAAAGTGGCGGCGTTGACTGAGAACAGCGGCACGTCTTCAGACTCTACTGATGGGAGTGAGAGCGAATGAGAGAGCGAATTACCCAGCAGAGCGAGCGGGACGGCTGAACAGAAACGGACACAGCTGTGTGGCTGACTTAAGAAAACAAGTCACGTGTGAGAGTGAATTATCTCTGTCACTGTGTGGCACTGGGATGGGTGGTGATGAGAATTTTTTTGGGGGGGGTTCTTTTTGACTTTGGAGGCTGTCTTGGAACTCGCTCTTGTAGACCAGGCTGGTCTTGAACTCACAGAGACCCGCCTGCCTCTGCCTCCCGAGTGCTGGGGTTAAAGGCGTGCGCCACCACCGCCCAGCTGAGAAATTCTTAATTGACTTGAAGTGGGTGGACATGCCAGGTGATAGGTTACAGTGAGATTGTCAAACTGCCTGTGTGGTGCTATATTGTTTATGATCTAATAAAGCCACTGAAGATGAGAAAAGCAAAGGAGCCAGCCACTAGCTCTGACCTCTGCCTCAGACTGAAATGGGTGATCCTGTCTCCATGGACCCTGTCTGGAAACTGAATCTCACATGAGACTCCTTTTATACCTCTCTAGTCCTGGGATTAAAGACGTGAGCTTTGTTATTCTTTTAGAATGATTCCCACTCGCGTAGCCCTGGGTGGCTTTGAACTCACAGAGATCCCATCTGCCGGTCTCCTGAGTCCTGAGATTAAAGGTGTGTCCCACCACCACCTGACTCTCTATGGCTAGCTAGCATGACTAATGTAAGTAAAGGTGTGTACCACCACCACCGCCTGGCTCTATGGCTAGCTAGCATGGCTGATGTAAGTAAAGGGGTGTACCACCACCGCCTGGCTCTATGGCTCTGGCTAGCTTTGTTTGCATTTTGATTCCCAGTTGCCTTACTAAATTGTAAACAATGTATCACCACAAGTCCGCAATCAGAGACACAGAAAGTTGGAGACACTTTTAATCTCAGCACTCAGGAGATTAAAGCAAGAGGATTACAAGTTTGGGGGCAGCCTGGTCTAGATAGAGTCTGTTTTCAGAAATGTCTTTTCAAGTGAAGCTCTAATGCAAACCAAGTGTACTTTAATTCCTCAGCTCTCATGACTGCTCAGCACAGAGTGACAGGGAGCAAGCTCTAATGTTAGGTGACAGATAGTACTGCATGGAGTTAGTCTACTCAGTACAGAGTGACAGAGAGTAAGCTGTAATGTTAGGTGACAGATTGTGCTGTATGGAGTTAGTCTATTCAGCACAGAGTGACAGGGAGCAAGCTCTAATGTTAGGTGACAGATTGTACTGCACGGAGTTAGTCTACTCCTTTGCCAGGTTGACCTGTGTGTGACACTGCTCAAAACTTGCCTTACACAGAGTACAAATCACACCCAGCTGCTGCTTGCCCGCCCCATCCCGTGACATAAATGGACTTGCTGTCACCATACAAATACCCCATGTTTTCCAGGCTTTGAGAGCTACTGACTTCTTTCCCAAGGTGAGGTAGACTTGCCTCAGCTCAGGGGGACCAGATGACCTCCAGGAGCCTAGGCACCCAGGGCAGGGCTTTCCTCCAGACCTATGTCTGTGTAGTGTAGCTGACTTTGAGAACACCTAGGTCAGGTGAGTCCCGCTAAGGGCAGCTTTGAAGGAGGCTGGAGCACCGAGGCTTGGGGGAGGGGTGTGTAGTCACTGAAATAGTTGGGAAGGTGGGCCATCGGGAGCCTTACAGTCCTGTGCCTTAGCATTTCTCTGAGTTTCTCCAGGGTGAAGGGGGCATGGACGAAACAGCACTGTTGAGTGACTGCCCCGAGAATTTATTCCTTTTTACATCAGAACGCACAGCGAAGATGGGCATGGTGGCCCAAGCCCGTAACCCAGAATTGAGAGGTAGAAACAAGAGGACCGGGAGTTTCGGGTCAGCCTGGGCTATGTAAGACTCAATGTCATAAAACTGAAGAAAATAGAAAAAACACAGATGTCCAGCCTTCCGTAGTCCCCAGTAGTGACCGCTGCATGGCCTGGAGTAACCTCCTGGCTCACGGGGCCCGGGCTGGTTCTTGGTTTTCTTGCCTGTAAGATAAGACCTGAGCATATGCGGCACAGGAGTCCAGGGGTTTGTAGGGTGGGCACCTGGCTTTCCCGTCAACTGTGAAGAGGGTCAGAGGCTGTCCAGCCTGGGCAGCTGCCAGGAACACATCCTTCCTGCTGCGGTGACGCTCACAGTGGCCACAGAGCAGGGTGGCTCTTGGGACAACAGAAAGCGTGGCATCTTGCTGTGACAATTCAGCTGTGGGGCTGGCTTTGTCCACTTGTACAGATGTGGGCCGGTGACGGCCATGGTGGCACCGGGTACACCGAGTGTCAGGCTGTCTCAGCAGATCCAGGGAAATTGTGGGGACAGAGCTCTGTTTAAATCGTTTCTTTTCAGATGGTCAGACTTGCCAATATTTAAACCTCTGAGCAACACTTTTGCACATAGGAGGCTGACTATGCAAACAATCAGCTCTTGCTTTTCTGTATCATATGAAAATGTACCGAGTGGGGTAACCTTCTGAAATGTGAGGTGGAAATCCTTGAGTCTGTGCTCTAGAATGGCTCCTATATGATATGAGTGTCCTTGTCAATAAAGTTCCAGTGTCCTTACAGCAATGTCATTGTTTGAAGCAGTTTGCTGTGTGTCAAACGCAAAGTGACATTTTATTCACACTTTGTAGAAAGCAAAAATGCCAGTGAAGGCAGTGAGCTGGGTGATGCTGACACCAATGGGGTTCCCTAGGACAGTGGCAAAGGGCACAGACCAGCTGTGCAGAGAGGAGGAGCAGCATAAAAACGCATTTCAAACCCCTGCCAGTGACCTGTGCTGAGCAGAGCAGAAAAAGCAGCTTGGTATGGGTGTTTAGGGACTGCCTGTGGTTACTGTGTCTGCTGAGCATGTGCTGATTCCAGTGCAATGCACTGTCATGGGGACGCTCGGTCAGTGTGGTGACTTCACTGTCATGGAGACGCTGCTCTGCAGCCTTCCCTGGCCACCAGTCCTCTGGTGACACCTCCTGATAATGTGTGGATTTTTGTTCTTTGGTTTTGAGCCCGGGTCCTGGCTGGCCTGGAACTCACTGTGTAGACCAGGCTGGTCTCAGAGTCGCAGAGCTCCACCTGCTTTTGCCTGTTGAGCTAGCACTCCTGATAACTTCTAAAAACATCTCTTCCTCCATTTAAGACCCTTAACTCACAGAATTAAGGATAGCTAAAAATACTAAACATATATCTGGATACATGTTTTCATTAAGAAAAACACCAGCAAGAAATAACCACAAATAATTGCTTACAAAAATAAATTGATTGCAGCTTTGGGCTATGCGTGATGGACTTTTTATTCCGGGTCCTTCTCTGGCGGGACAACTTCCATCAGCAACTGCAGATGCTTGGTGACCGGCCCTAGGACAGAAGCCACAGCATAAACGCGGTTAGAACAGTGTGGTCCCGGGCTTTGCTGTTCTGACCCTGTGCACTGAGGGACAACTGATGTTCACGGTCACTCAGAACTGCCCTGGTCCCTTCATCAGTTTTTCAGACGTTGGTTATTTCCTACCAAGAAACCGAGAACTCGATGTTTTATATTCTCCCCAGCAATGTACACTGCGGGGGGGGGGGGGGGGGACATGACCCAATTGTGTGTATTTGTGCACTAGGAAGCCAAAGTAACCAGGACTAATTTTGTTTAAAATACACAATTGTTGGTTTTTTTTTTTTTCCATCACCTTAAGCCACATCAACGTTTTTTGTGCTTTGTTTGAGACAGGCTTTTGCTGGGTAGCCCAGGCTGGCCTCAAACACATGGGCCCCAGCTTCTGCCTCCCGAGAGCTGTGGCTAGAGGCGTTTGTCATCATGCCCTAACAGCTCTCAGACTGAGAAACTTGGTTCTCCAGATTGCCAGTTACCGTATCCGCATGGCCAACTGCAACGTCACTCTGATAGCCCCGTGCCTTTCTGCGGCCTCAACTGTCTCAGAAGAGGCTAGGCACTAGTGATCTCAGGAAAGGGGAAGACCACAGTTCCCTTTGGTCAACAAGAAGTAAATTCTCCTTAATTCTTAGGCCGCTGAGAGGTGAGTGAGGTACCAGCTTTCACAGGTGAGTGAGTGTGGGCAGAGGGTCTGGCATCCCCACCTGTGGTCTGCTTGGCTCCATCCTGAGTCCCTGTGTAAGGGACAGGTGTGTGTGTCCGTGACATGGGAAGGCTGGAGGAGCATTCTACTTAAAAGGCAGTTTTCTTTCTGTTTCTCCTGGAATGGGGCCTCTCTGTGTAGCCCCTACCTCAGCCTCAGGGTTGGGAATGCAGGCCCACCCTGAGCCCAGCTGCAAGAATGGTTTTTAGTCACACTCAGTTAACACCAAGTAGCTGTGACACCCCACACCCTGCGCTGGGCCCAGGATTAAAGTGTACAGCCCAAACCCTGTCTGTAAGGGACACACCATACAGGGAGACATGGCAGGTCCCATCACCACCCAATGAAGCTCAGGAGTTTGTTACAACTGAATCTGCTTCACAGCAAAACAGCCCCTGACTGTGATATCGTTAGACTTTAAGGTGCAGCTGAGTTCAGTGACACACCTATAACCCAGCACTAGGGAGACTGAGGCAAGGAGACCCACAGTGGAAGGGCCAGCCTAGGCCACATAGTGAGACCCTGTCAGAACACAAAACCGGGTATAGTTCAGTCTACCTGGCACCGTACTTTCTGTTTAGAAATGAGAAAGTTAATTTAACTAGCTTTTTAAAACACTCGTCTGCTGGGCGTTGTGACACACAAATCCTAGCACTTGGAGGCAGAAGCAGGCAGATCTCTGCGAGTTCAAGGCCAGCCTGGTCTACAAAGTGAGTTCCAGGACAGCCAGGGCTGTTACAGAGAAACCGTGTCTCCAAAAAAGCAAAACAAACCACTTATCCAAACAACTGAGGATCAGGACAGCAGAGCACAGACTGTGGCCTGGGTGTGGGGGGCTCGGGCCCTCATCCTCTACCTGGTTCTAGCTATCACTTTGGAGTGTCTCTGGGCTGCCACTGAGCCTCTTAGATGTCTGCCAAGGTCTCTCAAAAAGCAGTAACCAGCGCTACACCGATGTCCTGCCCCAAGACAGCAGAAGACGGTGCTCTGGGAAGACACCGTCTGATGAGACTCTATCGATGATTCTGAACTGCATCCTCAGGGCTGGTCTTGATGGGACGTTATCAATTAATGCGCATTGTGCAATGCAACAGAACACGGTTATAGTTAATTGATGGGAACAGAGGACACCAGCGAGGGATCCCGAGGGTGCCGCCAGGGAAAGTGCAGTCCTGAAGAGGAAGTGTGTTGAGCCGGAGTGAAAGGACCCTCACGGCGAATACTTACGGGAGATCCTCTGGGCCCATCCGAACTTGTAGTGAACGAAGAGGAAGTAGAAGATAAGTCCGCTGAGTATGAACAGCACGCAGTAGAGATACTCCCAGGCTGGCTTACTGATGATTGGGGCCAACACCAGGAAGACAGAAACGAGAATCACAAAGATGGGGATGACGATGGGCACCTGTGGGCAGAGCATCGGCACGTCAGCCTGGCGCTGCGCGGCGCCCTTTGACACTGAGAGTCACTGCGCGGTTTCCTTTGACACTGAGAGACACTGCGCGGTTCCCTTTGACACTGTCAGGAACACAGCAAATGCCCAGAGCAACCTGGCCCATCCTTTCACCAGCTCCAGCCTCGCCTCGCCCCTGCTAGAACATAACGCAGCAGACCCTTCGTTTGAACTACAGGAAAGTGGCATGCCTAGCAGACGAAGGCTCCCTGCTCTGGACTTACACACACACACACACACACACACACACACACACACACACACACACACCGCCCTCCCCCCCCAACCTGCCCTGTCCCATCACAGACAGCACCCCCCCCACCTGCCCTGTCCCATCACAGACAGGAGAACCTGGATAACTGATGGCCTGCCGTGGCTGGCTCTGGCTTTGTGTGACACTTTCCTCCACGCGTTAACTCAGATTTCCTGCAAGCAGGTGGTCAGAGGAGGCGGAGGAGCACACCCCTAACTGTCCGTGCCCTTGATGGGGGCCGGCGTGAGCTCCGGCCCAGGCTGGTCTTCACCTCGCTTTAGTCCTCAGACCTCCAGTTGCTTGTCCGAGTGCGGGCCTGGGCCTGACGCAGACCGAGGGAGGCGTTCTCACCCCTCGTTACTGTGCTTGATTCTGTTCTCTCCTGCAGCTCTGTGAGCACTGTTGCTGGGAAGTTAGTGAGGCGGCTCCCGAGCTGCCATCTCAGGGTTGTGAATTCTGGCTTTTAGCAATACATTGTCTTCTTTGAGTCTTTGTCTTAAGTGATGCTTTGAGTTGAGGTGTTTGTCTGATAAAATCACAATCTATTTTCTATTTATTAATTTGCCTGATGTGGTGGTTTGAAAGAAAATGGCCCCAAAAGGAGTGTCACTATTAGGAGGTGTGGCCGTGTTAGAGAAGGTACGGCCTTGTTGGAGGAAGTGTGTCACTGTGGAGGCTGGCTCCGAGGTCTAATATATGCTCAAGCCACACCCAGTGAAGCAGTTCACTTCCTGTTGCCTTTGGATCAAGATGTAGGATTCTCAGCTCCAGCGGTGTCTGCCTGCATGCCGCCGTCCTCATGAGGGAGTAAGCCTCCGGCTGTCAGCTGCCATCTCAGCGAGGTGTTTCCCTCTGTAAGAGCTGCCGAGCTCATGGTGTCTCTTCACAGCAACAGAAACTTTAACTGAGATCTCTCTCCCCTCCCCCCCGTCTGTACCTCCGTCCACCAAGGCATCTCTGAAGCTCCGTAACTACCAGAAAACACGTGTGTTGCCTCCAGGAGCTCTGGCCTTCCCCTTGGAGCGTGGGCTGCTGTCGTCTGGATACTGGGGTTCCCCCCACAGCATCCTCCCCAGGGATGCGCAGCTTTCAGAGTCGTCGGCTTCCCTTTCTGCCGGGGACTCCTCCTCTTCCTGCGTCAGAACTCTCTGTGTGGCTTACTCCTTTTCTTCGGAACGCTTGTCATTTTCCCTGGCACTTTGCCCCCCCAGTTGCTGGCCCCTTGCGTACTTCTTTGCTGCTGTGCGCCTTCTTGGATGTGTTTTGATGCTCGGGTGTGACGCAGTCAGTCTCCTTGGGGCGTCCTCCCCAGCTGGGCGCTGACACTCTTCTATACTTTCCGTGTCCAGCAGCTCCCGTCTTCCATGGTTCTGGAAACGTCTCTTTGTGGGGGATTCCTAAGACCCTGAGGGGCGATGCTTGCCCCATTGCTCTCCCACTCCCACTAGGGGGCCCCAGACCATCCCACTGGGGTCCCACCCAGTGGGCCCCTCCTAAAGCACGTGGGTCCTGGCAACCGGTGCTTCTACCCCAGTCTGGTGCTGATGACATTGGCGGTGAGGTTTTCACTTCGCCACTCTGTCACTCTCCCTGTTCTTGGTGGGGGTTTGAGAACTTATCCTGCCACCATGATCTCGCCTGCAGGAGATGCTAAGTGAACCCTAGATGTGGAGGTGGGAAACAGCTGAGAAGGCACCAAGACCGTGGCGCGACTCTAAGCAATGGCGGCAATGGAGCGCCCCCTACCGTGCTCCTGGCTACTGCAGCCCTCCCTCTTTTCTTAGATCCGTGCTTATCCATTTCCAGAGGCAGAAAGGAATGTGGTCGCTGGGCCGCCTTCCTCTTGTGTGTAGGCACGCGTCAGCACATCAGCCATGGTGTGGGAGGACCAAAGCCCTCTGAGCACGCACACAGCTGGGACCGGGGCTGGCTCCAAAGTCCCCATCAGCGTGGGAGCGTGTCAGAGCTGGGCAGAGGTGGGGCACGACCCCCCCTACGGCCCATACGCAAGTGCCAAAGCTGCTGCGACAGTCAGACACAGACTCACCTTGATGGGCCTTTCCAGGTCTTTCCTCGTGAATCTCATCACAACGAGCCCTAGGAATGTCATCCCGTAAAACAGCCATGCAGCAAAGCTGAAATAGTTGACTAAGGAGTTGATGTCACCAGGGATGATGTAAATGGTGGCTATGATACCCTAGTAGGAAGAAGAGGGACATTTTAGGTCATCGGTGCGCACAGACACTGTCCTTGTCGTCACAGAAGACAGGAGCAGCAGCCTGGCTGACTATGAGGGCGGGACAACTTTTGAGTCTATGAAGTTGTGCCTTTTGCATATGTATGCTCTCACACTCATGTGCGTGCACGCACGTGTGCACACACAATCTTTCTCTCTAGCCCAGGCTAGCCTGAAACTTGTGATCTTCCTGCCTCAGCCTCCTCCCTGAGTGCTGGGATTACAGATATAGACCATCGTGTCTGACCTAAAGTCATGATGTTAAGAAGAAACAATAGACAATATATATACATATATACACACGCATACACATATACATACACATTTTGTATGCCAGTCTCTCATAAGGATGCCTTTAACTTGGGGAGGTTTTTCATCATGGGTAGGCACCTGATGAAATTCAGGTCTGGCTGCGACTGCATTTGTAGCCTGGTCCTGAACCAGGGATCCCGGTTTCTGGGGCTGTTGGTTCATTTTCAGAGTGAGTGGGGAAATGGACCTGTGTCGTCCTCTGGCCCTGAGAAACCACAGCCAAGTTAACGAGCTGAAGTCAGAGGCCGTTAGCCACCATGAAGTTCCTTATCCCCTGCCCTGGGGCTGCGGGCCTTCATATCACATGTGTCAGAACAGATAAGTACATATGTGTAAGACGTGAACTTGGAAGAGGCTGGGTTGCGGCAGGGAATGAGCGGCCCGGCTCGCTCGGAAAGGGCTGGGCTCAGGGGCACGGGTCTACACCGTCTCCTGCAGAGAGGCCTCTGCTTCCTAGCTGCTGCTGCCATCAGGTCGAGCTCGTACTTACATAAAATATGAGGGCAGGGGCGGGCGTGAGGCGCTTGACGCTGATGTACGAGAGCACTTTAAGCATGTGGCCTTCTCGGCCTGCCACATAGATGAGTCTGAAAGAACAATGCGGGGAAGCAATGAGGACACATGTGACGTGAGACACCTCTGCGGTCACCAGAGGACACTAGCGTGTCCTCCGTAGGGGCTGGAGGGCCGGGTGTGGTAACCGCAGCTGTGAGGAACTCCTCCCGGTACTATGGAAGTCTTTAGGGCAAGGCAAGGGTAGACACGGTTATGAGTAGATACTTGCTCGGCCCCCAAAAGATTTGCAAGAAGGAAAAAAAATGTAAATTAGTCCAGGGCGTGGAGCCCTAGGGCCAGGAGGCAAACACATCCTAGTTCCTGGGGTCTCCATGTTCTAAAGGCACAAGTGACAGACCCCTCCCCAGATTCCCATCCAGCAAGCAAATGGTGTAAAATGTGCAGCAGAGGAACAGGAAAGATCTAAAATACATAAAGTTGCCATGCTCAAGAATTTCAGAGCACTTGCTGACCTTACAGGGGACTCGGTTCAGTTTCCAGTCCCATGCAGGTGACATAACCGCGTGACTCTAGTTCGAGGGAATCTGACGCCTTTGGCACCCACGCTCACAGAAAAAAATAAAACGGGGGTGGTGGGGGGACAGCTGTAGAGATGGCTCAGTAGTTAAAGGGTACGCACTGCCCCTGCACAAGACCCAGCTTGAACTGCCAGCAGGCATGCTGAGTCACAGCTGCAGTGACTCCAGCCTCAGGGGCCCCGATGCCTGCTGTCCCAAGGCTGCCCTACTCACATGCACACGCTAACACACAGGCAGGCACACAGACTGCAACTTGACAGTAAAAATCTAAGCGAAATATTTCTCAAGTATTTATGTCAATAAAGACTACAACCACTAGCTACATTGTAACACTGTAATAAAATCACACAGGCGGAAGACATCTACCCAGAACGCCTTGGCTGGCAGCCTCTTTGAAAGGCAGCCGTGATTTAGGGAGAGGTACTAACTACATAAGGGCACATGCTTCGTTAAGTCTTTTGATAGGAATGTCTACAACATAATTCCATGGTTTTGTAAGCAACTAAGAAAATCACACAGGGCTTGTTTAATGCACTGGTCCTTTTTCCTTCATTGCTCCAGAGCGTATGCTGAGCACCGTCCTGCCCCTGAGCCGAGTCCCAGTCAATACTGCCGCTCTAACATCATAAACATGGATCTGCTTCTCCCTCCCAAATACACCATTGGGTACCAAGTTAAAATTTATGTCAGCTGATGCTTGGGGTTCTGCAGTCTAAACTTATAGATTTTATGCTAACAAAAAAATTTTGTAAATGCTACAAGTTTATTTAGATTGTAGAACAGTAGCAACTGTAGCTTAGAGAGAAAAAAATCCTTTCAGTTGAAAACCAGGATCTTGTCAGGTGGTGGCAGCAGTGCACACTTTCAATCCCAGCACTCAGGAGGCAGAGGCAGGCGGATCTCTCTGAGTTCGAGGTTAGACTGGTCTATGGAGCAAGTTCCCAGACAGCCAGGGCTACACAGAGAAACCCTGTCTTGAAAAACCAAAAACTAAAATAGGTGAATAAAAAACAAGTTACTGTGTGAGCTAGGAATTCTATTCCTAGGAATTTAACCAAGATGAAAATGTGCTCCACATCAAAAAGCACACACATGAAAAATACATAGATGAAGGGTCATAATATTATACTTCCCAGCCCAAAATGGAAATAACGCCAAAGTTCAACCGGTGATACACAAACTGTTTACCACACAAGGGTGTACTATTACACAAGGGAAAGAAACTGACTGGTGCGCCATGAGAGCCAGTTACAAATGCCCCTGAGAGGAAAGACCTGGAGCCCACACTGTTATTGAAGCAGGTCTACCCAAGGTTAGACAGAAGGAGCAACAGACATCCGGTGTGAGGAAACTCTTAGTGTCGGGGTATATTTCAGAACTAGTTACAGACGATGCCTGCATGACTATATTTACCACAAGTAATAACAACACAGAAAGTCTCAGGGAACTCATAATCTTATTTGAAAATCAGTTGTGGTGGTTCACACCCTTAATCCCAGCACTGGGGAGAGGGCAGATGCAGGCGGATCTCTGTGAGTTTGAGGGTAGCCTGGTCTGCAGAGTGAGTTGCAGGCCAGCTAGGGCTGCAAAGTAAGACTCTTAGAATATTTGTACATATTTTACACTGCCAAGAAACTATTGGAAAATGATATTTAAAACCTAAATGTCATAGTGGCATGAAAAAATATGCAGTGCTTTGGAATAAGTATGACAAGTTGTTCAAGAACTGTATACTGAAAACTCAAAAAAAAAATGGGGGTGGGGTGGATCACAGTCCACGCCCATGAGTTGAAAGAGAACTCATGGGCACAAAATGTCAGTCTCCCGCTGTGTATTGACAGAGGCAAGAGAGAAACACCAGTTCCTGTATAACAGGAATCCCATGGAAATAACAGTACATTTCTCAACAGCAATTTTAAAAGTCAGAAGGACCTGCCAAGACTGCCTCGTGGGTAAAGGGCCCCGCGGCCAAGCCTGTCAACCAGAGCTCCATCCCAGGAACCCATATGATGGAGAGAACCCTAACTCCCAAATATTGTCCTCTGGCCACCCCCCAACGTGCATGGGATGTGTATACCCACACTCAAGGCCCACAAGTGTAGTCTTTATGATGTGTGCACCACACTCAAGGCCGCAAGTGTAGTCTTCATGATGTGTGCACCACACTCAAGGCCCGCAAGTTTAGTCTTTATGAAGCCAGGAGGACCTGGAATGAGGCAGTTCAAGAACTGAGAGAGAATTGTCAGCCCACATCACATTACTGCACCCAGCATGGGTATACAGGTCATAATTGGAGAAGAAAAAGCTTCCTACAATGAAAACAGGCTGAAGGAATTCATGACCACTAAGCCGGCGCTACTAAAGATAACTTGAAGGAATTGTTCCAGCTGAAGTGAAAAAGCGTCCATGTGGCTATAGGAGAGGACGGTCCATGTTAGAATAACAAGATCAGGAAAACATCAAACACCACAAAACCAGGAAATGACAGGCATCAGCGCACCACCTCAGTAACAGAATATATAGGGTCTTAATTCACTGCTAAAAGACATAGCTAGCGTTGGGCGTTGGTGGCACACGCCTTTAATCCCAGCACTCGGGAGGCAGAGGCAGGTGGATCTCTGTGAGTTCGAGGCCAGCCTGGTCTACAGAGCAAGTACCAGGACAGCCTCCAAAACAATACAGAGAAACCCTGTCTCAAAAAAAAAAAAGACATAGCTAGCAGATTGAATCAAAAAGGGGATCATGGCTGGGTGTGGTGGTGCATACCTTTAACTCAGGAGGCAGAGGCAGGTGGTGTGAGTTCCAGGACAGCCAGGCAATGTAGAAATACCCTGTCTCAAATAGAGGAAAAGCAGGAATCATGCAACTGTTGCCTCTGAGAATGCATCTCACCATAAAAGACACATGATGCCTTAAGGTGAAGGATGGAAATGCTCTTCAAGCAAATGGTAGAGAAATCAGCAGGTGTTGCTGTTCTAATAACAAAACTAAAATCCGAAGGTCACAAAATACTAGGGAAGCCCATAAATCAACAAGAGAAAAACCACAGGGCAAACATAGACGTGTGGAGCTTAAACAACACACTACTGAATGGCAAATGAGGTTGTTGAAAAACTTAAAAATTCCTAACTTCAACACCACCGCGTTCACCAATTTATAAGTTATCCTAGCAAAAATACAGAAAAATACCTGAGTTAAATGGACTTACTATCTACAGACTATTCCATTCAATGGAGCAGAACACCTCAATGACACATGGAACTTTACTTAAAATGGACTACCTATTAGGACATAAAACAAGTCCTAGCAAATTCCGTCTGACCACAGCAGAAAGAGAAAACTATAAAACACACCCAAATGTATGGTGATTATACAACAACACAGTTAAATGATGAGTGGGAGTCATTGAAAAAATTAAAAACCACAAAAAATTCTAACATCAAAAAAAAAAGAAAAACCAGTATACTAAAGTCTACAGGATGCGATGAAGATATTCTGTAAGGGAAGCAGATGGCTCTAAATGCCCGCAATAAGAAACCAGAGAGAGCTGGGCAGGTGGCGCACACCTTTAATCCCAATACTTGGGGAAACGGGCAAGCAGATTTCTGAGTTTGAGGCCAGCCTGGTCTACAGATCAAGTTCCAAGACAGCCAGGGTTACCCGGAGAAATCCTGTCCCCAAAAAACAAAGAGAAAGAAAGAGACAAAGAAAACCCAGAGGGATGTTGGTGAGATGACTGGGCGGTTAAGAGCACTTCCTGCTCTACAGAGGACCTGGGTTTGGTTTCCAGCGCCTCACATGGTAGCTCACAGCCACCTGTAACTCTAGTTCCAAGGGATCGGCTACCGCTTCTCACCTCCGTGGGCTCCCGCATGCACACAATGTACATGCATACACTTAGGTGCACACGCACGCGCGCGCGCGCACACACACACACACACACACACACTTTATGATGCTAAAAAATACGCAGTGTAGAAAACACAACCCCCCTAACAAATAGCGAAGAAAACTAAATATCCATATGTGGAAGAATAAGACTAGATCCTTAACTCTTGCCTTACACAAAAATCAACTCCGTGGCGTGGCTAGGGAGGTGACTGAGGAGGTAAAATGATTTCTGGCAAGTTCGAGAACCAGGGTTTGGTCCCCAGCATCCGCATTAAAACAAAGCAGACATCAGTGGCGTAACAGAGGCATGACTGCTCCTGGGGTCACCGACCACTCTTACCGGACGAGAGGCCAATTCCACAGAAAGGAATCTATCCCTGACGCATTACGCCACTCTCCGCCTCTCCGCCTCAATCAGAGACGCTGCCCTCTGCAATAAACACGGGTGACCATGGAGCCCCAGGGCTGCTCCAGGTGCTCGGCGTGCTCAGCTCTCACCGGGCGGCTACACCACCACCCCTGAAAGTCCCGGGGAGTGGAAACAAGAATGCACCACCCGGAAGATAGGGAGGAAGGCCCACGCATGACGAGGCCAATTCAAAGGTGGCCTCGCAGCAGCCACTGGAGACTGCACCTGTCTGTCAACAGTCAGTCTCGGGTTGGGAAGGGACTCTTGCCTACCGATGGATCCTGTGGGAGGTGAAGACGTCACTATCAGTTAGACGGCCCTGGTGGGAACACACGGGTTGGGCGAGGGAACTGAAAGGGGTTTGGGTGGGGTTCAAAGGGTGTGAGAAAGTGACCGTAATTAAGATGAAATATGTAATGTATGAGATGGTAAAAAAAAAACAAATTAATAAATGCAGAGGGGGAAAAATGCTGGGCCTGTCACTCCAGTGAGAGAGGCGGGACAGGGACTGTCAACTCCAAGTGGATCAAAGGCCTTTATGTAAGACAGGAATCTTGGAAAACACTTCAAGAGACAGACTCAAGTAAGGGCTTTCTGAGGACTTCCAGCCTCTCAAGACTCAAGTAAGGGCTTTCTGAGGACTTCCAGCCTCTCAAGAAATAAAACTCAGGTTGATAAATGGGAAATAGCGAGACTCTGGCCTTCGGTGCAGCCAAGGAACGTAGTTATCCGGTGAAGAGGCAGCCCGTCATGGGGTGCAACCTTGGCCAGCCGTACATCTGACAGTGGGCTAACTAACCTCTACCGCACAGAAACCACTCAAGAATGACACTGGAAAACAAGTCATCAAAGCCCGGGCTAGCGAACAGAGCCCTCAGGAGGAGAAACACAAATAGCCAACAAACACTTTAAGACGTGCTCGATGCGCGTGGCTGGCCATCGAGACGGCTCATCGGGTAAAAACAATCGCTGTTGAGCCTAACAATGGGGTTTCGTTCCTGGGGCCCACACCGTGAGAGAACCAAGTCCTGAAAGCTGTACTTGGCGCAGCCGCGCCTGATGGGCACGGCAAATGCCATAAGGCCAGCACAGCTGCTTGACTAGAACCGGCAAAGCTAAGCTGTGTGGTGGCTGCCACGCCACTCTGGGTTTTGATCTCCGCCTGTTGCAATCTTGGGGGACTTTTAATATCTGTACAATTTGGGGATATCGGATTGATGGAAACTTTCTTATGATTCATTTATGACCTCTCCCGCGAGTACTGCTTCTAAGCTTCCCATGAAAGTCCCGAACACGCCGTCCCTCCCGCTTTTAGGGAGACGTCCTTATCTAGTTGAAGATCTGCCTTGCCCTTTGGAGGTGTGACACACACATAAAGAAGCCGGAGGTCTCTTTATGAGGCTGTAAAATAGTCGTGAAACACCTGTCCCTGTACTTACTCAAGATAATTAGAGCAAGGTAAACTTTAAGAGGTCAGCAAGATTTGGTGAGCTTGAGGAGTTGGCCACAGATCAGACTACAAGCCTCTTCCTAATGTACACACGGACAATTACATATACATATACATATACATACATACATAACATACATACATACATATATATATCTCAACAGGCTAGATTAGCTGAAGTTACCTCTGCCCTACTCAGGGACTTACAAAGACTGGAAAAGAGTGCTGTAAAAAGATGACAAAAGAATGATATGTCAGCCGGGCGTTGGTGGCGCACGCCTTTAATCCCAGCACTCGGGAGGCAGGGGCAGGAGGATCTCTGTGAGTCCGAGACCAGCCTGCTCTACAGAGTGAGTTCCAGGACAGCCTCCAAAACAATACAGAGAAAGTAAGCTCATGCATAGCCGCTGCGGTGTCATATGACCAAGAACAAAAGAATGTCAGGATTAGACACATAAACAAATTCTATAAAGACATAAAAAATAAGCATTGTGCCGGGCTTTGGTGGCACATGCCTTTAATCCCAGCACTCAGGAGGCGGAGGCAGGTGGATCTCTGTGAGTTCGAGGCCAGCCTGGTCTACAGAGCGAGTTCCAGGACAGCCTCCAAAGCAATACAGAGAAACCCTGTCTCGAAAAACCAAAAAAAAAAAAAAAAAGCATTGTATTATGCCAGGATTTGAATAATAAATACAACAACTTTGGCTTGAGGACTTTTCCTGGGCACTCTGGCCATTAAGAGTTAATAATACACTGCTTGAGACACAGCAGTCTGCCAAGACTGCTCAGAGATTTTTGTTCTGGCTGAGCATCCTTGAAGTCACAAACACTACCAGCCTGAAAACAGGCGGGGATCAATGAGTAAAAAAAAACGATTATAGAAGATAACTTTATCAATGATGATTAAACTTCGGGGAAAATGATTGCAAAAGATAACTGTTCTGTCACGGTTCATCAGTGACTAAAAGGCATGCAAGGGAAATGAAGCCCATGGACATCTTGAAACATCACGAATCTACCCCTGCTCACTGAATTCTGTATAAACAAACACTCTGGCTGCCAGTCAGTCAGGCTGCAAGACTCTCCCGGCCATCCCGCCTGGCTCACACTTCCCTTGACAACTGGGACCCGTCAACCGCCAAGGCTGGCCCCTGGCATGTACTGGCCTCTACATGTAGGCTACAGTACTTGCAAGCCCACAGATGCACAATTAAGTGTGATAAAAAAAAAACCAATTCCGTTTTAATATGAAAAGCAGCGTTCAGCATCATCAGCCTCTGAAAATTATTTTGAGATCCCATTCGCCGTAGTCGAGATGATGACTATCCGGAAAACTAATGTCAACAGATGCTGGCAAAGAGGGCTCATAGACCCTGCTGCCGAGGCGCGTTTACACCAACGGCTACCGCTACTTCAGCGACGCACATTTCAAAACGTCTAAGAACCGATGTGAACGGTTTCTCCAGAAGGAAACGATAAGTGTGGGGGGTGATGGGTGGGTTGCTCATTCTACAGACATGCAGGTATCGAAACACACTGCAGCTCAGAATCACACGCAGTTATCTGCCGATTAGAAAACAAAACTACGCCAGGTGCTGGGTGGTGGCAGCAGCGCATGCCTTAAATCCCAGCACTCGGGAGGCAGAGGCAGGCGGATCTCTGTGAGTTCGAGACCAGCCTGGTCTACAGAGTGAGTTCCAGGGCAGCCTCCAAAACAATACAGAGAAACCCTGTCTCGAAAAAACCTAAATAAATGAGATTTACACAGTAGTGCCAAGATCGAAGACTAGCCACAAGTGTTTTTCTCTCGTCTCTGTCTCCTTCCCCTCCCTCACCCCTTTCTTTCCTTCCTCCCTCGCGGGGGACAGGAACCTGGGACCCGGCGCACGCTCAGCAAGCAGTCCATCCGTGGCCTGAGCCCAAAAACGCTTTTGAAAAAGTCGGGGGCCAGGCCCTGTCCACGCTTCACTATAGCTTTTGGCAAGATTATTTTGTGGTGCTTGTCATTTTTAACATGTGATATTTGGCAGCACCACTTGGATAGTCCACTCGTTCAGAGCGCCACCCGGGGCAATGATGTGTTCCAGAATGTTCCCCACAGCAGTGTTCACACAAACAACTCACGCTCGGCCCATCCCACAGGCTTGGTTGGAGCCACGTGTCTCACGAGGGGAAAGAGCACGGCCGTTAACTGTCCACACTCGTGGGCTCTGGACGGTGGCAGACCACACCTGTCCACATGGCTAGTCCCACAGGCGTCCAGAGCTCCACAGAGCCAAGCTGCAGCAGAGACTGTGCCTGTATTAGCGTGCGTCAGAATGTTCAGGAAGGGTCACCGGGGAGAAAAATGCAACGCTGAAGCTGCCGTGCGGAAGCCAGGCCTTGTTCCCCTGGTGGCCCCTTCCTCTGCCTTGTCCTGAAGTGGGCGGCTTACCGCCCAGGCCCACTGAGCTGCAGGAAGCCATGACATCTCCACCCCTCGGCCTCTTCATCCTCATCTAGTCTTCAGAGCTCGCGCATGCGAGCCCAGCATGCTCTGGGCTCAGCCCCCGCGTGGGGCCTAACCTGGCAGAGCCCTAAGCGTGCAGGGGGTGCGTGCCCCCCCCATGACTTGGTTGTCCCCTGCCCGCCCTGAGAGAGTGACAGGGTGGCGGCGCCCTACCTGCCCGCCGTAAAGCAGGTCCCGTTGGCAGCGCCGATGGTCGAGAAGGCCACAAAAAGTGGGACTACCCAAGATGCTGGGTACAGAACGCGGTCTCCAAAGGTCTAGAGAGAAGAGCAGGGCGCAACCCTGAGGGCCGTCACTGGGCACCACGTCCCCAGGCCACTTCACGGCCCTCGGCCTTTGGGGCCCTCTACCGGACACGTGTGAGAAGCCTTGGGGCAGCCCAGGCTCTGGCGGCCAACGGGAGCTGCCACCCCCTGCCCACCCCCTGGCCATCATTCTCCATCACCTCACTTCAGGCCCTACCTCATCAAACGCACCTCACTTTCAAACTCTACCTCATCTTACCTCACTCTACCTCATCAAACGCACCTCATCAAACTCATCTCACTTTCAAACTCTACCTCATCTTACCTCACTCTACCTCATCAAACGCACCTCACTTTCAAACTCTTACCTCACTCTACCTCATCAAACGCACCTCATCAAACTCATCTCACTTTCAAACTCTACCTCATCTTACCTCACTCTACCTCATCAAACGCACCTCCTGGCACCTCCTGAACATACCTCATGTTTCGTATTTCTTGGCCCTAACTCACCTCACTTCCTGGCTCTCCCTCTCCTCAATAACCTCACTTCCTGGCTCTCCCTCTCCTCAATAACCTCACTTCCTGGCTCTCCCTCTCCTCCATCACCTCACGTCCAGGCTCTCCCTCTCCTCCATCACCTCACGTCCAGGCTCTCCCTCTCCTCCATCACCTCACATCCTGGCTCTACCTCTCCTCCATCACCTCAGCCCCCCAGTGTTGGCGACCTTGCCCACCGCCCACGCCCCCCCCCCGCCTCGCCTTAGCTGAGGACCTAAGTCTCTCTGCTCTCCAAGTCTCCCTCCTCTCACAGGTCACTGCCCCACCCCACCCCGGCCCCCAAAACTGACCACGGCCACGGCCTGGGACTGCAGGAGCTCCGTGGGGGTCATCACGGTGAAGTAGGAGACATTCATGAGGATGTAGCACACCCCCACCAGAGGGATCCCGATGATGATGGCCATGGGCAGGTTTCTGAGGGACAAAGACACGGGGGTGGGGGGTGGAGGGGTCCACAGTCCCGCCAGAGCATCCCGTGAAACGGGTGAGGCGGGCGTGTCCTCCCGGCAGCCCTGCCTCCGCTCTGCAGCACACAGGTCCCTCCTGGGGCCACGGGGGGGGGGGGGAGGTCTGTGGGTGAAGCAGCCCCAGCAATGGCGGGCGAGCGGCATCCCCCCACCCCCGGGGCTGGAGAAACCGGGCGGTTTAAGGCAGAGTAAGACCGAGAGATAAAGGAGGCCAGAGTGATCCCCCCCTTTCAACCGCCAACCATGCCACTGCCCAGCACGGGACAAGGAGCAGGTGGGGTACCGCGGTTCACTCAGCATGCCCACGGGGGGGCATGGGGGGGCTGAGGATCCACTGTGTGCAAAAGAAGCAGGAAGAGAGAAAACTACGATGTGGGAGCACCACCTCCCCGCTGTGGGAGCACCACCTCCCCCCCGTGGGAGCACCACCACCTCCTGCCCCCGGGGGCAACTGCTCTCACCTGTAGGGGTTTCTAAGCTCTTCAGTGATGTAGTTGAGTTGATTCCTGGACAAAGGAAAGGGGGAGGGGTGACCACTGCGGCCCGCCCCTTGGCTCCCTTGGCCGAGCTTGTGGCTCATCTTAAGACAGCTCAAGTGTCCAGAGTGTCTGCCTAGCGTCCTCCCCCAGTGAGGTTCCCTCGATGGGATGTTTCTCCTAGCGAGTGCAAAGCCCCCCCCGCCCCATCCCCAGCACTAAATATAGAGAGCAAAATAAAATAATGCAAGGGACTGTAAGCACTGGGGAAAAAAAAATAAGGTCACAAAGAGTGCCATTGTACACCGGTGCGGGGAAGCTTCTACCCCGTAAGGTCCTGGTGGTGACAGTGGGCTAGGTCTTCGTTCTCCGTGGGAGTCACGTGAGTTTTCAACAATAGTCAGGGTACTCGGTTGAAAAGAGAGGACAGAGGAAGCCTATGCGGGTGGCTGAGTGGCGCAGGGGGCAGGGCGGCGTCACCGGGGCCGCGGGGATGCATGCACAGCCCGGCTAAGGTTTGCAGGGCCGCGTGGAAGTGCAGAGCCTCTCCGTGCCACTCGGACGGGGTTGCCCCGGTAAAGATTCTAAGCGGGACTTCACCGAGCCCCCGTAGCCCAGGCTAGGAAGGGGACAAGCAGGGGTCTGAACCCCACGATCTCACCTCCAGCGTGGGAGGGACGCGGGGAGGTGAGGGTCTGGGCGCTTGGTGTAAAAGAGCTGTAAAGGGGAAGCTAAGGGTGCCATGAGCCCCGGGAAGGAGACGTCTTTGTTTTAGCTGTGGCAGCTGACATGAAAGCACCCTAAAGAACCACCGACAGGCTTGGGGTTCCCCCGGGGCGCTTACCACCCATCGTAGGCCCAGAGCCCGTTGTAAAACGCCAGGCTGATGGCGCCCACCGAGGTCTGCGCGCCCTCGAAAGAGTTCTGAAAGTTCTTCGTGTTTCCTGAAACGAAGCCAGACGGGGGAGGGTTTATGTCAGCGGCCGGCCCGGCTGATGAGGGTGTCGCCCATGAAAGGTGCTGGCACAGGCGCTGGGTGGAGCTCGCCCCACGTGCGCAAGGGTGCAGGACTCCCTGGGTAGAGCTCCCCATCTTATTAAAGGAGCCAAAACTACACGCAGCAGCACACGCCTGTCACCCCGGCACTCGGGATACCGAGACGTGGAGGCATTCCACCCTAGAGACATACCTGGGCTATCTAGCAAGTTCCTGTTATCAAAAAACAAGCAACCAGACGAACCACAAAAGAAAACCAACAGACAAGCACGAACACGTCAAACGTAGACCACGCAGGCTCACGGGCAAAGAAGCCACACTACGGGGCGCTGCCTGCCGCGCCACCCTGCTGCAGCTCACCTTGGGCCAGGAAGACCAGTCCACTGATGATGATGATGGCCACGATCACCAGCTTGGCCGCCGTGAAGACATTCTGGACGTAGCTCCCAAGTCGCACGCTCAGCGCGTTCACCGTAGTGATGAGCACTGGGGAGGCCCAAGTGGGGTAACATACGGTAGTCACGGTTTCCCCAGCCCCTCCCGAGCTCCTAGAAACCTCTTCTCTCTTCTTCCACCTCCCCCACAACCTCAGCGAAGGGAGCAAACTAAATAAGCTGGCCTCGGCGCCCTTAAGGTGCCCACAGGGTTGACCCTTGAAAATCCTGCGCAGTCCTGGGGCCGTGAAGGAGAGAGCAGCCAGGCTTGCTCAGCGCCTGCCAGGATAGCCAACCCCGGCCTGCTTCGCCAGGGCCTCTCTCCGGGTGGCGGAGAGAGAACCCGAACCAGAGTCCCGTCCCCACCCACCCACCCCACCCCCGAGCATCAACCGTGCACCTCCAGGGGCCTGGGGCTTGGTGACTCACAGATGGCAGCGGCAGCTAGGAGTTTCACGACCACGTTAGGGGGCTTGCAGCCCACGTAGAAGGCCGCGCACACGTACTCCGAAAAGCTGAGGCAAATGATGGCGAACGAGGAGGGCTTCATGACCATCAGGCTGGTCCAGGAGAAGAGGTAGGCGGGGATGGGGCCAAAGGCCTCCATCAGGTAGGGGTACTCGCCCCCGGACTTGGTGATCATTGTGCCAAGCTCTGCAAAGCACAGGGCTCCTGGAACACAGAAGAGGGAACCTCGCTGCTGAGGGTTCACCCTAGCCCCCTACGGGGTCCTCCTCGGGTGCTCACAATCCGAGTCGCCCACCGGACCGTTAGCGGCGTCCGGAGTCCACCCCTGACACCCGCTGGGAGGGGACGGAGGGGCGGGGTTATGAATCCCAACACTTTAGAAGGCTTTAAGTTGGGGAGCAGCCTTGGGTGCAAAAGTGTAAGCCTGTGCTTGTGGCTGGAACGGGAGGGGGAGGGAGGGGGTCGCTTCCGTTACCCAGCGTAGCCAGGATCCCACAGGCTGCCCAGATGATGAGGCAGGGCCCCACGGATTCTGTGTTGGCCAGCACAGACTTGGGGGAGATGAAGATCCCCGAGCCGATGATGGTGCCCACAATGATACAGATGCCGCTGAGAAGTCCCACCTGTGTGCGCAAGGATGGGGGTGATGCCGCCAGCCAGGAGCTCACAGGGACAGAGGTGACTGCCGCCCCCACCCACCCCACCCCCAAACCTCAGCGTGGCCACAACAACCCAAACGGGGGCATTTCAGGTCCCTTCCCCTGCATCGAGACCGCAGGACTGCCCCCATGTTTTAGCTAGTTATATGTTTTAGCTAGTTATACCCTATCACACCCATTTCACTGAGGGGGCCGGGGGAGCTAGGCGGAGAGCATGAAGGCAACCCTTAGCTTGGTTCCTGCCTCCCACGCAAACACTGACTCAGTCAACAAGCTTCTAGAAACGGCCTGGAGAAAAATGCCTCTTAGTTAGTCAGAGCAGAAATGAGTTCTGCAATGGGCAGGATGAGGGACACCAGGAATCCCTGGGGGAAAGCCCAGGCATGACTTTGCGGCCAGCCTAGGCCTCCTAGTGAAGCTCTCTTTAAAAAAGTAAGAGTGATACTTATTTACTGCCTTTGTGCCCTGTAAGTATCACTCTCATTGTTAATTAAAAAAAGAGCTGGCTGGCCGATAGCTAGACAGACAGAGGTTAGGCGGGACACGGACAGAAATAAAGCACAGGGAAGAAGGCAGGGAGGGAGTCTTGAGGAGACACAAAGAGAAGTAAGATGAACTTGCCATGTTAAAAAAAGAAAAAGGTACCGGCAGGCTGGAGAGACACCTCAGCCGTTAAAGGCTTGGCTCATGTGGCAGAGCGTGGATAGGAAATACAGGTTAATGTAAGTGTAAGAGCTCGTTAGTAACAAGCATAAGCTATCAGCCAAGCATTTATAATTAATAGCGCATCTCTGTGTGGTTATTTGGGAGCTGGCGGTCCCAACCCCCCCCCAAAAAAAACGCCCATGAGACAGAGAGAGAGAGAGGAGAGGAGACGAGAGAGAGAGAGAGAGAGAGAGAGAGAGAGAGAGAGAGAGAGAGAGAGAGAGAGAGACTGAGAAGGAGTTTTCCACACGATCAAAGACTCAGAGTCCCGGGCCAGAGGCACCAGAGAAGCAGCAGGAACCTCACTGGTGATGGCGACAGAGCTTCCTACAGCGACACTTCAGGTGTCCGAGCTTTCTAAGAAAAACAAAAACTAAACCCAGGAAAGCAGCCAGATGGCTCAGGCAGAAGGGGGCCCGGAGTTCAAGGTCTACTGGCTATTTAGTGAGTCTGAAGCTTTCCTACAAAAGAAAAGAAAAAAAAAATCTGCACATTTTTGTTTTGTCTAAATTTAATACCAACTAATGAGTCAAAAAAATTAAGTAAGAGTAAAAAAAAAAAAAAACCCCGAAGAAAAAGGCTGACTCAGGTCTGTACTCCATCCCACCGCCCAGGGCCCTGCGAACAACAAATAGACATGGGCAAGGTCAGCTCCCCTCCAGCTTTAGGCTGGGCAAGGCTGCCTGGGCTTCCTTTCCTTCCCAGCAACCCCCGCCCTCCACGCAGGGTATGTATGTGCTTGTCTCATGCCACCTGGAGGCCTCCGGAACCTTCCTCCTGCAGAGGGACTGGTAGTGTCCACTTAGCATGCAGCTGCCTGAGTGCAGGCCCCTGGGTTTGGGTGCCGGGTAGCTCCAGGGTCCTAAGGTCCCAAGAAGAAACTGCCCGAATCAGGACTCAGCGTCACTGCCCAACACCTGGCTGCTGGGGACAAAGACTCCATGCCGACCCCTGGTTGGGATAGACTCTTCCTCTATCAGGTCACAAAACTTCTCCAGTTCCTCCAGCTGCCAGGCAGTGGGTCCCGGTGGTCCCACCCGGACCTCAGCCCTCCCGTGTTGCCCTTGGGAGCCATCTGGACCCAGAGCCTATCTTGAGCAGCTCCGGGCCCGGCCTCTCTTCATCCATGAGCCTAAAAGGTCTCCTGACCCTCCCTGTCTGGTTCCCACTCCACCTACCTACATAACTGGGGCAGGCACGGGGTGGAGTGTCCATCCCCAATCTACCAAGCTCCTACCCTGGAACTCCCTACCCTCAGCCCCACCAGACGGCACTTCGGGGCATTGAGCCCGTGCCAACCTGTCAGCTCCTCACCGCTAGCTTGGGCTCTTTGGTACCACAGCTGCTGGGCTTATCTCAGCCGTACCCAGCACCACAGTGGGACAGAAGAGGACCAGCCGCTGTGAGGAGGCTAGAGTCCCAGAGGGAACCAGCCGCCAGAGGCGTCTCTGACCCCTTTTTTAGAAAAGATCGTTGGGCCGGGCGTTGGTGGCGCACGCCTTTAATCCCAGCGCTCGGGAGGCAGAGGCAGGCGGATCTCTGTGAGTTCGAGGCCGGGCTGGACCGACAGCCTCCAAAACAATACAGAGAAACCCTGTCTCGTAAAACCAAGAAACAAAAAAAGAAAAGACCGTTGGTTTACAGGCTCCCAGGGCCCTTGGGACAGACAGACTGCTGGCACGGACACACACACACAGACTCCAAGTGTGTGTATTCGTGCCCTTTGAAGGAGTTTGCTACATTCACTGGTGAGCGGTGACTACTTTACAATAGTCAGCCAGGGTGCTGGAGGGCCAGCTCTGCAGTTCAGAGTGAGTGCTGCTCTTGCAGAGGACCCGAGTTCGATCCCCAGCACCCACACGGTGGCTCATCACCACCTGTAGGTTACAGCTCCGAGACGATCGGACTGGAAAAAAAAAGATAAAGGGGAAAAAAATCACAGCCTGCCATCCCAACACTTAGCAGGCTGAGGCAGAAGGATCTTGAGTTCCAGGCCGGCCAGCCAGGGCTCCGTAGCATACCAGCCTTGGTTCAGTAAACAAACAAGCAGTCCTGTCCTTCAAGGGCCAGCAGGGCCAACGCTGGCGGGCACCGGTTGGCCGAGCCCAACCCTGCCACTTCCCACCTCTTTCTGGAGATTCGTGGCCTTGGGCTCATTGCTCTGGACGGATTTCTCATCCTCCCTCCGTCGCCTCAAGTTTGTCTCCTCCATCGTTCCCCACCGCTAGTCCCAGGGCCTGGAAGGAGAGAGTGTGTGTGGGCATGAGCTTCAGTGTGGGGGGGGGGGCACAAAGGGGAGGGAGCTTCCTCGAGGTCTCTCTTGTGCTTGGAGGTCTGGGTGGCTGAAACCAGCCCCAAAAGGAAGGAGCCGCCCCCCCTTCCCCCAGCAAAGCCCAGCCCTGGGTCCCCTGAGAACACCCTGCTCCACTCCAGGACAGAAGCCAGATGACAGGAATGCCATCCAGGCCACCCCAGTCCCATCCAGGCCACCCGAGTCCCTTCCAGTGTGATTTTGTGTGTCCTCCGCCCGCCCCCCCGCCAGTACATTTAAAATACACTCTACTTCGATGATCCCCCTGGGTCACTGTTTTTCAAAACTAAGAAGAGAACTGTTACGCGTAATATATGTAATAGCACACACCTGTACTCCTTGCACAAGGGAGGTAAATTCAAGGCCAGCCTGGGTGACCCAGCAAGTCAGGTCAACCTGGGACACATAGAAAGACTGTCAAAGGAAAAAAAAAAAAAAGGAAGGTAAATAAAATAAACCCAGATAGAAATATGCAGAATTGTCCCAAGGCAGGGAGGGTTTGCAGGAGTCAGCAGGCTCAAGGTACAGCTAGGTGATGGTGGTACCCTCTCTGAGTCTCTCTAACTTCTCTGCCTAGGCCCCCGGCAGGACAGACGTGGGCTTTCCCATCACCTTACCTTGACGATGCTCAGTCCGCTGACCACGGCCCAGCCCGCAACTGCAGGGCCAAATCCCGGGAAGGGCCATGTCTTGTGCCCAGGCGTGAAGGAAGCCAGAAGGTACAGAGGTCAACAAAGGTAATTATTAAACCCACCCACCCCCGTTTTTCCTTCTAAGCAAGAAAGCATAGATGGTTATCACGGAGCACAAAAGGGGCCAGACAAGCTCCTCCCAGAAATGTTCCGGTGTTGCTTATCTATGCCTAGACCATTTTTGTGGGAAAAAAAAAACCAGATCCCTCCAGATCGAGGGCTTCCTGTGAGGAGGACCTCTCCGCAGGAAAGGAGGCCGCTGCTCCTGTCTCTGGGGAATCATGACAGACAAACTTTGGAACCGGCCTCTTATTATCAGGCAACTCCTAAGTGCTGAGTCTGCAGCTTCTCTCTTCTTCCCCAGCTAGGAATTTCCTTCAGGGAGCCCTGGTGCCCAGAGGGAGTGGCAGGAGGCTGGGCAAGGCCCTTCCCATCGAAAGGGGAGCACTCACATCAGGTGCTCAGTTTCACCAGGACTCTCTAGCCAAGTGCCCCGCCCCCCAGGTACCCACCACACGCTGCTCCAGGAACCCAGGACTTGGAAAGAGCACAAAGATGGCCTCTCCCCCCTCCCCACCCCAGTGGGGAAACTAAGACCCAGAGAGAGCCAGCAACAGGGGGCTCTCGGGTCCGGTCCTGAGTGGGAGGGGCTGGAGGTTCCCAGGCTGGGCTCAACTGGAGTGTTGGCTACTGGTCCACACCACAGGTCTCCGCCACCCTTATGTCACAAAGCTGCCACTCAGACATTATCAGAAGGGCGATGGGTCCTCTATCTCCAGCCCCAAAGCGCCTCATTTAAACAGAACAGCATCCCGCCAGAGTGGCATGCAACAGCATCCTCGAGGGTCCTTGAGGATGGGGTGGGACCAGAGGTCAGGGCAGGATCCTGTGGGAGAAGAGAGAGTTTTTCAGAACTTGTCATTTTTGTTGTTGTTGGTTTTGGCTTTTTGAGACAGGGTTTCCCTGTGTAGCTTTGGAGCCTGTCCTGGAACTCGCTCTTGTAGACCAGGCTGGTCTCGAACTCACAGAGATCCGTCTGCCTCTGCCTCCCTGAGTGCTGGGATTAAAGGCGTGTGCCACCAACGCCCGGCTTTTCAGTCCTTTCTTAAGACCTTCTGGAGAACAAGGAATGAATGAGAAGTCCACGGTTTGTTTGGTTTTGTGGGTTTTTCTTTTTCTTTTTCCTGTTTTAAATGCTGGGAGCTTAAACGCCCCATACACCTCCCTGGATGCAATTATCTGCACCCTCCCTGCTGGCCTGCTCTTGGAGTTCAAAGTGTAGCAATTGAACTTTCCTTCTCTTGCTGTGCCCTTCTCTGGACAGCAGCTGGAATCTGTCTGCTTGTCACTGTCTCTGAAAACAGCCCCTCACACCGCCCCACCCTCTGCCCCCCAGTGCAGCAAATCTTAGACTTTTACCTCCCAGCTACCTGCTTTCCCATTTCTTTTTTATTTTTTGTGCATAAACTTGAACGTGCTTGCCAGTGAGTACAAGGCCAGAGGTCAACCTCAGCTTTGTCCGGGTGGTTTGTGAGGGTGTGGGCTGTGCCCACATGAGGAGGTCAAAGGACAACTTTAGGCCCAGCAGGGAAGGGCACCTGCCACCAAGCCTGACAACACTGAGTTCGATCCCTGGGACTCCGCTTTGTTGTTGTTGAGTTTTTTGTTTGTTTGTTTGTTTGTTTTTGAGACAGGGCCTCTTGTGTTGTGGATGAGACTGAGCCAGCTGGTACAGTCCCCAGGATCCACGTGCTCTCTGCTCGCCCAGCCCCTCATACTTGGGGACAAAGCAGCTTCTGCCCTGTGTCTTCCAACTCGGCAAACTGCACAAAACTGTCTTCAGTGTTTGGTTGGAGCCTCCAACTCACCCCTGCACAATCTGGAAAGGCCCACCTCTCTCTGTCTCTGTCTGCCTCTCTGTCTCTCTCTGAACCCCACCTGCTCAGAGAGTCTCTGAACAAAAGAAAGACATCAGCCGGGTGGTGGTGGCGCACGCCTTTAGTCTCAGCCCTCGGGAGGCAGAGGCAGGAGGATCTCTGTGAGTTCGAGGCCAGCCTGGTCTACAAAAGTGAGTTCCGGGACAGCCCTGTCTCAAAACCAAAAACAACCAAAAAAAAAAAAAAAAAAAAAACCTGAGGAATCTTGACACATTGCCCAGGCTGGACCCCAAACTTCTGAGCTTTTGCGATGCTCTTGCCTTTGCCTGCTGACCAGCCAAGATCACAGGTGGAGTGGATCCAGACTGCCCCGAAACCCCCTCAAACCCACTCTGTCCCCATGCACAAATTTGATTACGGATCTGAAAGTGAAGCTCATCAACCAGACCTGGTGGCCTGGGCTTGTAATCCCAGCTGCTCAGATGGCTGAGGCAGGAGGATTATGAGTCCCTGGCCTGTGTGGGCAGCTTAGTGAGACTGTCCATTCATCCTAATGGCAAGAATTAGACCTCTACCACAATTTGAGCCAAGAGCTGGCCAGCAGCTGCCTCCTAAGTCAGGTTAAAGAGAGCAGCCCAAACCCACTTCTTGGGCCCCTTGTAAGGAGTAAAATCACCACGAGTAGTTAGTTTTACGGAAGGGAGACAACGGGGCAATAAGGAACTACACAAAAAACTTAAAAAAAAATCATGTGTTCCCCCATCATGTGATTATGGAGGGTCAGGGTATCCTCAAGAACAAACCAAGGTCATGGGTTGGGGGAGGGTCAGTTCCGGGAAACAGAGCAGCTCAGCTCTCACAGTAAATAGAAACATATATATATATATATATATATATATATATATATATATATATATAGTGTGTGTGTATGTATGAATATATATATATATATATTTTAATACAGCATAATGGCCCTGCCTTTAAAATGGAGTCAGGCATGTTCCTCAAGGCCCTGTCTCAAAACGCAAATGTGGTCCCCATGGTGGCACACCCTTGTAGCACCCACAAGGCCCGGTGGGTCAATCCCTAGCTCCAGCATGTGGATAAGGGAAATGGAGCTGGTGATGGCGCCCCCTAGTGGACCTGTAATGATGGCGGAGGGTCTACACTGGGCTGGAGGGATGCTCAGGGCAACATCTGGGTGATAAAGGTCCACTGTCCAGGCCAGAAATCTTTACCTCCTTTCGTTTTGGTCAAAGGCAAGCTTCTTCCTTTTCTTGCTTCATCTCTCTCTCTCTCTCAAGACAGGCACATGAGCCCGGGCTAGCGTGGAGTTCAAATCCCTGTGCCCCATGACAGTGCTTATTACATACAGGTGTACGTGCTACACATGGTGAACTCCTTTTCCTCCTCTCGTGTGTGTGTGTGTGTGTGTGTGTGTGTGTGTGTGTGTGCGCGTGCGCGCGTGTGTATCCTGTGTGTGTAATGTATGCCTTTGTTTTGTGTGTGTCTGTGTGTGTCATGTGTATATGTCTGTATGTCTGTATGTGTGTGTCTGCATGTGTCTGTGTGGTCTGTGTGTATGTATGTCTTTGTGTGTCTGTGTGTGTCATGTGTATATGTATGTGTGTGTCTGCATGTGTCCTGTGTGTGTGTGTGCCAGATAGGGCTTCCTGTAGCTTAAACTGGCCTTGAACTTGAATCCAAGTACTGGAATCTTTTTCCTTTTTTTTTTTTTTTTCTTCTTGGCTCTTTGAAACAGGGCTTCTCTGTGTAACAGCCTTGGCTGTCCTGGAACTCGCTCTTTAGGCAGGACTGGCCTCAGACTCACAGAAATCCTCCTGCCTCTGCCCCCGGAGTTCCAGGACTAAAGGTGTGTGTGCACCACTGCCGCCCGGCCTGGGATTATTTTTTGATGCCAGTTTTCAATCTTCTCCAGCCCCACAGTATAGTTAACCATAGTTAACCAGACATGGGGGTCGTCTCACTGGAAATCATACGGATTTGATTTTTAAAAACAAAAACATCCCTAGCTTTGTTTTCAAGACCTTGGGTAAACCGGCTGACCCCACACTTCTTGGAGGTCAGTCCCCTGCTGCTGCTAGTCTCCCGGGGGGGGGGGGGGGTCAAACGGCCCTTCCGCAGGGGTCACGGAGACCATCAGAAAACACGCATTTCCCGTGGCACCGTCCCTCTGTCTCCAGGCAGGTCTGCCCACCTGCAGACATGACATACAGTACCTAGTGTGATGGCATCATCACGCCATGTCCATCACATACATCCCGGACAAACACAGGTATGTGACATGGTGCATGTCCCAGTTGGGGTGTCTATTGCTGTGAAGGGACACCGTGACCACAGCAACTCTCAAAGAGGAAAACATTCAATTGGGGCGGCTCACTCTCGGTCTTGGAGGGTTGGTCCACGATCATGGCAGCGTGCATGTGTGCAGGCAGACACGGTCCTGGAGAAGGCTCCCAGCGCTCCACGCAGGGATCCGCAGGCAACAGGAAGTGAGCTGGGCTGCTGCGTGGATCTTGATCGTAGGAGAACTCAAAGCCCGCCCCCGCAGTGACACACTTCCTCCAACAAGGCCCAGCTACGCTAATAAAGCCACGCCTCCTAATAGCGCCCCTCCCTTTCAACCCGGTGCAATGTAACTTATGCGGACCAGTCACACACGGGCAAAGAGCAGTTATGTGTCGAAAGCAGCAGGATGGAGGTAAGACAACACTTCATGAACTATAATTACTGGGCAAATGTAAATTCATGTGTGGCAAAATCATCAAGTACTACTATAAAAAAAAAAATCTGTACCATGGGGCTTAGTTCTGTATTTAGCTGTGGTCGATGTTTATACTGCCCCCTTGTGGTAGTAACAGATATATATGTGCACAGGATGGGTAATCATAAAACACTTTAATGAACTGTATTGACTGTGCCGTGTATGACCTTTTGTATTATATATAATTTTCATTAGAAAACCATCCCATGGCCGGGCATTAGTGGCGCAGGCCTTTAATCCCAGCACTCGGGAGGCAGAGGCAGGAGGATCTCTGAGAGTTCGAGACCAGCCTGGTCTACAGAGCGAGTTCCAGGACAGGCTCCAAAGCAATACAGAGAAACCCTGTCTCGAAAAACCAAAAGAAAAAAAAAAAAAAGGAAAAGAAAGAAAGAAAGAAAAAAGAAAACCATCCCAAGGCATGGGCCACACAGAAAAAAGAACCTTAAGAAAAGATAGTGAAGACTTCTTACGGTACATTTTTTACCTCAACAATCGCAGCAGGAATTGAAAAAAACCAAAATGTGTCATTTGTTGTGAAGTTCTACCAGCGGGAATCTACAAAGCTGAACAAACTTCAAGGCCATTTTGATAGCAAAGCTTCTGAGATTTGCCAGTAAGGAAACCAACTATTTTAGAAGCAAAGCTGATGGACTCGAGAGCCAGAACTTGAAACTGGTGGTTAGTGTGGGAGCCAATGTTACATTTTTTTTCTTTTTTTTTTTTCTTTTTTTTGGTTTTACGAGACAGGGTTTCTCTGTATTGTTTTGGAGGCTGTCGGTCCAGCCTGGCCTCGAACTCACAGAGATCTGCCTGCCTCTGCCTCCCGAGTGCTGGGATTAAAGGCATGCGCCACCACTGCCTGGCTGCCAACGTTACAATTTAAGTTTTAATTACTGTGCCTTAAAGATCCATGTGATGAAATGCCTCTGATCTGCAAGCCCCTTGCCCAAAGGACCTGAAATGCTGGAGGCCATTGTTTGTGGCAGATGTTTTCACTCCCCTACCAAATGTGCTTGACTCCATGTGGGCAGAAGGTTCACAGGCTGGAGTTACATCAGCATGAGTGCTGGCCCCTGACTGGACCTGATGGGAAATGTAATGAATCCTTCTTAAACCGCTACAAACTGTGATTCTGGACCATTTCCCAGAAATCTGGGTATGGACCTGGCCAGAGCCCATCCACCTGGCCAGTGTTTAACTAAATCTTGCTTTCAAATTCGGTTTCAAACTGTGGCCTTATTCTTGATTGGTGGGATTAACAGCCGGTGGTATCACAAATAGAGCATAGCAGCCGCGGAAACCTCGTATTCGGCGGCACTTCAGAACCTCCAGAGCTGTGAAACAGCTCACCGTCGCTGAGGATTTACTGTTGCCAGTGACCAAAGACAGTGTTCAAGTTATGGCGGGAATCGAACACGCTATGCCATTGAGTGCAGTTTCCTTACGTGATGACATTGTCCACAGAGGAACAGATGGCCTTGTCTGCTGATGTTCTTGATCAGGCAACACAGGAAATTAAATCTGCCCCGCTTGCAATTTTAGTATCCAGCTTGATGAATCCACAGACGTTGCAAACTGTTGGCAGCTACCGGCTTATGGGAGATATATTAGTGTTGGCTAACAGGCTTTCTGTACCATGATGGTAGGTTTCTCTGCTGACGCAGTAAACCAAATCAAGCTGGATAGAAAAAGTAAAAGAACAGGTTTATTTGAGCAAAGCAACACCCAGGTGAGTTCTCCCGCCTCCAAGACCGAGAAGTCACGCGCCTGAACTAAAGCAGGGAGGTTGTATAGCCTGTAGGTGAGGGGTGATGATGTGTCTGCCACAAGCTGGGTTTGCGCCCAAAGCTGGAATGCTTGGGCAGGGACTTCAGGGTAAGAGCTGCCATAGCCACCAAGAATGCGGAACTGGTCCGTTTGTCTCGAAGATTCTCTTGAGAGGGTTTGAAGAGAGGAACGGGGCTTTCTGGATCAAGCAGGAGTGAGCTGGAGGTGACAGCCGAACAATGTCTACTTTAAAGATGAGTTCCTTTTTTGTAAGCCTCTATAAACGACAACTACTGCATGTGTGATGAATTTGACACAGCTGGTTCATTTCTGAAACAGCATAAGATCTCTTGGGAAAGGTTTGTAGCCAGGTGGTGGTGGCGCATGCCTTTAATCCTAGCACTCGGGAGACAGAGGCAGGTGAATCTCTGTGAGTTTAAGACCAGCTGGGACAGGCTGTTTGCTTTTGCACACGAATTGGGACTCCTTGTTGGTCCTTGGGGGATTCCGAGATCTGGGCCTAACAGCGATCACATGGTGAAGGATGTTGGGTTTGTTTGATTTTGTTTTGAGATTTTTCTATTCTTCCTTCCTGCTTAGTTGTCTGGCTTCTGTTAGCCTGCATTGTGATTCTATTCCTTAAAAGGGGCCTAAGAAATGGGCTCAGAGACAGGCAGTAATGGCGCACACCTTTAATCCCAGCCCCCTCAGGAGGCAGAGGCAGGAGGATCTCTGTAAATTTGAGGCCAGCCTGGTCTACAGATCAAGTTCCAGGACAGCCAGGGGCTTACCCAGAGAAACCCTGTCTCGAAGAAAATTTAAAAAGAAATGGGCTTGGTCAGCCGGTGGTGGCAGCAAACGCCTTTAATCCCAGCACCCAGGAGGCAGAGGCAGGCGGATCTCTGAATTGCAGACCAAACTGGTCTACAAAGCTACACAGGGAAAAACCTGTCTTGAAAAAAGAAAGAGAGAGACAGAGAGAGAGAGAGAGAGAGAGAGAGAAAGAGAGACAGAGACAGAGAGAGACAGAGACGGGGGGTGGGGGTGGGGGTGGGGGGCCCGGGCCCAGGGCTGCTCTCCCTCTAACCCAGACATAAGAGACAGGTGCTGGTCAGCTCTCAGCCTGTAAAAATCAAGCTTGCTTCAAATTTGGCTCAAAAATTGAGGTAGTGGTCTTATTCTCACCCTGGGGGATTAACAGCTGGGCTCAAGAGAATAAGCCTTATGCATGATACGCTTAGTTCCTGAAGCGCCTGGGAAGAGCCTAGGGAACGTGTGAGTTCTCACAGGGCCACAGACCCTCAGTCAGTCATTGTCAGTCAGTCAGGGAGAAGCAGCAGGGGACACGAACGGAAGCCAGCTTCGAAGCAGCGGAGACACGAGTCCCCCAAATGCAGGTGCCAGCAGAAGCATGGTCCTGTGTTCGAGGCTCTGTCTTTCCTCTCTCACTCCGGGCTGGGGACCGAGCTCAAGGCTCTGAGCGAAGAAAGCATGCTGTCTGCCGCTGGGCCACATCCTGGCCACGCCTGCCACTGCTCCAGGTAACGTGGTTCCTCCTGGGAGACCGGTGATTTTCCTCCATCCCCCTCCTAACCCCACGGCCCCCTCCCTGCCTCTGGCGTCACTCACTCCTCATCCCGGCCATCACTTGTTTTGTTTTTTGTCTGTTTGTTAATATATACAGGTTATATATATATATATATATATATATATATATATATATATATATATATTTTTATGTGTATGGGTGTTTTGCCTGCATGAGACATTTTAAGATCCAAATCATGACAGGCAGAGGAACGCCATTTTTCAGCTGTGCAATACTTGCTGATCCCAAGGGAAAGCGGCGCAAACAGGAAAAGGCTTGGTTCAGAGTCTGGGCACAACACTCCTATCTCTCCTTCAGAGCCAGGACATCAAAGCCTCTCCATGAAGAGCCCATGATCTTTCCTGTCCTGCAGGCCGTCTGCCTTGCTGTTTGCCGGCCTGTGTGCTGCGGGCTCAGCGGTGGCCTGTTTCCTATAACCCGGTAGGAAGCTCGGTAGCGTACAGGGACCACACCGCCTGTACCGCTTCCCTGGTCACGATGTGATCCTGGGGACACCCCACTTGGATGTCTGGAACGTAAGAAGCAGTGGCGGCAGCACAGGGTAGAAAATAATCTTACAGAGTGGAGGAGCCATTCTCTGTGTTGTGACGACAGCTGTGTCCCTTCGACAAGCCACCACCAGCGGGAGACTCACTGTGCGGCCTTCAGTTTTGGGACAGTGGTGGTAAAGCCTTTGACAAGACACCGCAATTACCTGTTAGGTCGCCTCCTAGGGAGATGTCACAGTTTTAGCCGTCTGAGTCTTTCTGGCAGGCACCACACAGCACCTCCATTATTCCAGGGTTAGCTAGCCGTCCAGTTAGGAGCCTTGAGACAAAAGGCGTCACACAGCCAGCCTGGGGGCAATGTGACCAGAGGCTGTCTCACTGCTAACACAGCACATCATTAAGACCAACGTGGAGAGACCTGTGAGGGGGCGCTCCTACAATCCCGGCACGCCTGCAGCCCCTGCGCTCCAGAGTAAGGCACGAAGATCAAATGTTCAAGGCCTGCCTGACCTGCACGGTGAGACCCTGTCTCAGATAACAAGTGCTCAGTGGCAGCCTGCTGTGTCACCTGTGCAGACTCCTGGGTTCAATACCTAACATGTTTTGTTTTGTGTTTTGGTTTTTCGAGGCAGGGTTTCTCTGTGGCTTTGGAGGCTGTCCTGGAACTCGCTATTGTAGACCAGGCTGGCCTCGAACTCACAGAGATCCGCCTGCCTAACACTTTTTTTTTTTTTAAAGAAAAATAAAGGGAAAACTAAACCCAAAAAGGAACACGGAAAAGCATTTGGCGCCTGGGGCTGGTTTATTTCTTTCTCGCCTGTGACACTCAGTGGCTCCCCCAGGCTTCCTTGTCACATCCGCCCTGGGGGGGGGGGGAGTCACCCACCAGCTTTGGGGAAGTCACCTCAGTCGGGGAGGTCTAGGCCACAGACTCCCCCAAAGTCTGGCGGGCAATGGTAGCAGGAGGCTGCGTGTCACCGTAGCTGAAATCACGGCCAACCAGCAGGTCTCCCTGGGTGAGGCCACCAAAGCCAGCGTCCTCCCGAGCTCTGGTGTGCTGGGGGCCTCCCCTCTCCAGGGTGGCCTGGAGAAGGCCTCGCATCCTTCGGTTCTCCTTGGCAGTGGACTCCAGAACCATCTCAAGCTCACCTTCCATTTCTCTGAGGGCAAGAAGAGGATGGCTGAAAACAGCGCGACTGAAAAGGAAGTCGGGGGCTGGGGGCGGCTCACTCACTCAGGGACCTGAGTTTGGACCCTTGGGCTTGCTGGCCCGCTGGTCCAGCCAGCTGGAGCGCTCTGGTCTAGTGAGGCCCTGTCTCATGTCAGCTTCTGGTCTCCACACACGTACACGTGCAAACACACACAGACACAGATACACATACACGCACACACACAAAACCTTCTAAAAAGAAAAGAAATCCCAATAGCCCGTATGAACCCTGAAGTAGTTAGACCTTCAGCGACAGACGCTTAAGGTCCAGGAGCCAGGAGAGAGGATTTTGAAGGTTTCACCACAGAGAAATGGCAGTGAAGTAGAATTAAGGCAGCAGAGACCAATTATTAGACACTGATGTAGTTTAGGAGGTGTGGCCTTGTTGGAGGAGGTGTGTCACTGGGGGTGAGGGCTGACATTTCACAAGCCCCCACCACTGTCTGTCTGTCTGTCTCTGTCTGTCTGTCTGCTTCTCTGCCTGCCTGCCTGTCTGCCTGCCTGCCTGTCTGTCTCTGTCTGTCTGTCTCTGCCTGTCTGTCTATCTGTGACTGTCTGTCTGTCTCTGTCTGTCTTCCTGTCTGTCTCTGCCTGTCTGCCTGTCTGCCTGCCTGTCTGCCTGCCTGCCTGCCTGCCTGTCTGTCTGTCTGTCTGCCTGCCTGTCTGCCTGTCTGTCTCTGCTTGTCTGTCTGTCTCTGCCTGCCTGTCTGTCTCTGTCTGTCTGTCTGTCTCTGCCTGTCTGTCTGTCTGTGACTGTCTGCCTGTCTGTCTGTCTGTCTCTGCCTGCCTGCCTGTCTGTCTGTCTCTGCCTGCCTGCCTGTCTGTCTGTCTGTCTCTGCCTGTTGCCAACAGATGTCGCTCCCAGCTACTTCTCCGGCACCAGTCCCATCCGTCTGCTACCATTCCCCCCCATGACGATAGTGGTCTAACTTCCTGAAACTGTAATCAAGCCCCCAATGAAATGCTTTCATTTATAAGTGTTGCCATGGTCATGATGTCTCTACATAGCAACAGAGTAGTCTCTAGGACAATGGACCATCTATCTTTAAGAAAGTGGTAGCTAAGTTTGTTAGTGTGTGCTTGCGATCCCAGCACTTGGGAGGCTGCGGCAAAAAGGCTGTGAAATTAAGGCCAGTCTGGGCTACAGTATACAGAAACAAGCAAACACACACAGACAGACAGACAGACACACACACACCCAGACACACACACACACCCAGACACACACAGACCACACACACACAGACACACAGGCATACAGACACACATACACACACACACACACACACACATACAGACACACACCGACACAGACATACAGACACACACACAGACAGACACACAGACACAGGCATACAGACACACACACACACATACAGAAAGAGAACAAAAAAGTGAACAGAGGCTGGAGACAAGGCTGCCTCAGTGATTACAAGCGCGAGCGCTTGCTGTGCGGTCATGAAGACTGACGTTTGGATCCCAGCCCCGAAGGCAGGCACCCAAATCACACGCAACTGGCTCCTAGGGCTGCAAGAGATGGGCTCCTGGGGCTGGCGGGCTTCCGGTGTGTCTGAGAAAATGTAAGCCCCAGCATCCCGGGGAGACCCTGTCTCAAGGGAGCAGTGTGGAGGGCCCCGGCCGCCGCTCGCCCGTGCATGCGGTCCAGACACCCACCTCTTCTGCTGCAGCGCCTCGTCCAGGACCTCTTGCTTTTCCCGCAGCACCTGCTGCAGGTGCCGCATCTCCTGCTGGTACTGAGCTGCTTTGCCAGCAAAGTCCTCCTGCTGCTCCAGCAGGCGGTGGTGGATGTCCCCCAGCTTCAGGGCCGCCTGTTTCTTGTACCCCTGCAGGGAAGGAACTCGGTGAGCGCCCAGTGCCGAGCGTGCCTCATACAAGGCTCAACTGGAAGCAAGAGTGGGCTTTAAAGGGACGGGAGGACCCAGAGCAGCTGGAGCTTGAGGACAGTGCTTGCCCGGCACTCACGCAGAGGCAAAAATGAGTTTGAGGTTATCTAAGTGACATAGCGAGACTCTGGCTCAAGAAAACAAACTTAAGAAATGATACAAAAGAATTTCAGGTATAAGAAAACCTGGGAGATGGCTCAGTGGTTAAGAGCACCAGCTACAGAGGAACCAAGTTCAGTTCCCAGCACCTACGTGGGCAGCTCACAACCACCTAGAACTCCAGCCCCAAGGGTTCTAATGCCCTCTTCTGGCTTCCAAGGGCACCTGCACTCACATGCACACACACACACACACACACACACACACACACACAATTAAAAACAAAAAATCTGAAAAGGAAAACCATATTAGTAATCTATATTATGTCTGATTTCTGTGGGATTAATATGCTAAACATGAAAAGTAAACATAAAATTGGTTCTGCATCACAGAACCAATTGGACGTTTTTGCAAATGAATCTACTTCTGTAATTTTCATTTGTTTGTTGTGTTTTTGAGGCGGGGCCTTGGGTAGGTAGCCCAGGCTGGCTTCAAGCTCCATGGGTAGCTGGAGGTGACCGTGAACTCAGGATCTTTATGCCTCCTCCTCCCGTGTTGGGATTACAGGTGTGCACCAGGAAAGCCAGCTTCATAGAGTGCTAAGGATCAGATGCGGGGCCTCGCGCACGCTAGGCCAGCTCTGCCCAGGGAGCCACGCGCCCAGACCTATGTCTGCACTTGGCATGGGCGACCCCCTCATCAGCCGGCGGCGTCAGCACTGTTTCCCTTTACCAGAGATGCCTCAGCAAGGGCTGGGATGTAGCTCAGCGGCACGGGGCTTGCCTAGCGTCCAAAGGCTCTGGGTTCGATCCCGAGTATTAACAGCAAAAAGAGGAAAGACGGTCCCGTCACCTCCCATTCCACATGACTCAGGTCCTCAAGAATCCCCGGGGCCTTTCATGTGATAGTTAAGGCTCTAAAAACTGAGCCATCTCAAACTAAGCGTTAGTGGAGAGGCTACCTCAAAAGCCCTTCCCCGATAATGAGATTGAGGACTACCTCACATGCCATCCTAGAGCCTTCATCCAGTGACTGAGGAAGAGGCAGACACCCACAGCTAAACACTGAGCTGAACTCCTGGAACCCAGTTGCAGAGAGGGAGGAGTGATGAGCAAAGGGGTCAAGACCAGGCTGGTGAAACCCACAGAGACAGCTGACCTGAACAAGGGGGGAGCTCATGAACCCCAGGCTGATGGCTGAGAGGCCAGCGTGGGACTGATCCAGATCCCCTAAATTTGAGTGTCAGTGAGGAGGACTTGGCAATCTATGGGGCTTCTGGTAGTAGATCAGTATTTATCCCTGGCGTACAAATAGACTTTTGGCGTCCATCCCACAATGAGGGAGGCTCTCTCAGCCTGGACACTTGGGGTGGGGCCTGGGCCCTGCCCCGGATGAAATGAGACTCTGGAGATCCCCCATGGAGGGCCTCTCTCTCCCTGGGGAGCAAAGTGGGGGTTGTGTGAGATGTTGGGGGACTTGGAGGAGGTGTGGGGGAGGAGGGGAGGGAGAAGGAGCTGGGATTGGCATGTGAAGCAAGCTTGTTTCTAATTTAAATTTTAAAAAAAACACAAAAAAACTGAGCCATCTCTCCAGTCCCCCCAGCCAACTCTTAAGGCAGAATGAATATGAAAACCGATCATAAGAGTCATTAGGATATCAATTCTATGGGAGTCGGGTATCTAAATCTCTGACATTGGTCTTAGAAGAGCTCAGGGGGGGCTGGTGAGATGTCACAGTGGGTAAGATGCTTGCCACGAGCTCTCTCTCTCCCTTAACCCCTTCTCTGCTTCTCTCCCCCACCCTTCCTGCTTCCCTTTCCCTTCAATAAACTCCACGTGGGTTGAAAAAGAGGATGCTTGCCACCTGACGATGCCTGAAGGCCCGAGTTTGATCCCAGGAAAGCTGGACAAGGAGAGGACTAACTCCACAAGGTTGTCTTACGACACCCATGCATACTGCATGCAAAAAGGCACACGTGCATCATGCACAGACACCAAATACAATCGAGTTTTAAAAGTAAAATCTTGGGGCTGGAGAGGTGGCTCAGCAGTCAAGACCACTGGCTGCTCTTGCAGAGGACCTGAGTTCAATTCCCAGCACCCACACGTGGTTAGCAAACACCCATTAACTCCAGTTTCAGAGGATCAGACACCCACACGATGGCCAAACATATACACAGACAAGACAGTCAAGCACATAAAAATGAGTAAATATTTAAAAAAGAATAGTCGGGAGGCGGTGGCACACGCCTTTAATCTCAACACTTGGGAGGCAGAGGCAGATAGATCTCTGAGTTCAAGACCAGCTTGGCCAAAGACCGAGTACCAAGACAGCCGGGGCTACCCAGAGAAACCATGACTCAATAATAAGACAAAATAAAAATAATAAGAAATGCATCTAGGAGGCTGGAGAGGTGACTCAGTGCTTAGGAAGCTCGGGCTGCTTCTCCTGAGGACCCAGGTTTGGCTCACAACCATGTCTAACTCCAGAGTTCAGGGGATCTGTTGTCTTCCGACCTCTGCAGCACCAGGAATGCTCATGGTGCACTCAGGTAAGCACTCCTACACAGAAAGTAAGAATAAGTCTCTTTTAATAAAAGAAGTGGGGTGAGGGGGTGGCAACACAGGCCTTTCATCCAATGTCTAAGTTCAATGCCAGCCTGGTCGTCAAAACGAGTTCCAGGACAACCAGGGCTATCATACAGAGAAACCCTGTCTCAACAAACAAAACAGAACAAAACAAAACGAATTGTGTACAGCTTTTACATTTCCGGGTGTTTTTTTTTTTAACTTTTTTTAAAAAAAGAATTATTTTTACAGTGACATCACTTAACCACAGAGCCAGCAGACTTCTCTGTAGTTTTGTTTTAAACAGATAATTGCATGGCGTTTCACTGTGCAGCAAACCACGGCTCATTAGAGGAGGAACACGGTGCTGTCTGCCAGCAAAGCCTGGTACAGCTTTTCTTCTGTGTGGGAGACACAGACCTGCCACACGGACCCCCCTTTGAGGGTACCTTTCCCATGGGAGACGGCGCACTGACGGCCCCGCACTGATGGCCCCGCGCTTACCTTCACCCTCTCCTCCAGCTTTCCCAGGCGGATGTTGCCTTTCAGGATTCTGTTGAGGACTCCGTGCTTCTCGCTTTCCAGACACTGAGCCTGAGGGGAGGACAGAAACGGAAGCCTTACTTTAGCTTACACACAGAGTTCTACATATAATTCCGCCTACCCCACTTCTGGCTCCCCCACTCCCCGAGAGAGGGCTGTGGGCAGAGCTTGGACAGGGGCCACACTGTGCACCTCTCCTGGGTACTAAAGGAGGCTCTGGGGCCCCCAGACCGGGCCTTTGAGAGCCTCAGAACACATCTCTTTGCTAGAGGACACGGCATCCCTGTGGCGGTTTGAATGGGGTGTGTGCCCCACAGGCTCAGGTGTTTGGACTTGGTCCCCAGCTGGTGGCGCTGGTCGGGGATGCAGGGAACCTGCAGGAGGTGGAGCCTTGCTGGAGGAAGTGCGTCACTGAGCATGAGCTGTGAGCCTTGATAGCCTCCCCCCACGTCTGCCATTATGGACTCTCCCTCCTGAACCATCAGCCAGAATGAACTCCTCCTTCCGTAAGTAGCTCTCGGTCATGGTTCCCTCGGTAGTATTCAAGAAATAGGCGCCGTGATCAAAGCAAGCTTGTCACTTGACTAGTTTGGTCACAACAAAGTGTAAGAGAGTAATATCAACACCCAATGCTCTTCTCACACCAACACGGCAGGCAGGATACCCAAGAGGGACATCGTCTAAAGCCAAGCAGTTCCCCCTGATACCCAGATGGCAAACAAGCCCGTAACACCATGAAGGGTTCCAGCTGCTAAAATCAAAGAGAAGTATATGGGGGCGCCTGTTGGGGAAGTCCTGTGCCTTTGTCAATAAAGCACTGTCTGGCCTATAGGGAATCTAGATAGGAGAGACTAGGAGTCCAGGAGGATTCTGGGAAGGAGAAACACAGCAGAGTCAACATGTAACGCCATGGGGTAGGAAGCCCGGAACTATTCTCCAGTAAGAAACATACTTAGATTAACAATTATAGGGTAATTACTTAAGTGAGAGCTAGCCAGTAAGAAACAAGCAAGGCCAACAGCTTCATAATTAATATGGCCTCCTGTGTGTTTATTTGGGACTGATGCGGATCTAGAACCAGGCTGGCGGGAAGGTTTCTCTCAAAGAAAAAGCTTCTCTTAACAAAATGGTGTCAGAAGTCTGGTGGTGGCAGTTGGCTTTCAAGAAAGGTAGGATCCGACAGACAAAGTTAAACTCAGGAAGAAGTATCCAATTGGTAGCTACCAAGTCCATTCCTCAGACCACTATGTCTTCCTCAGAAAGGTGAAACCAAATGGGGGCGCTGGAGAGTTTCCATGTGACCCCTGGTCATCAGTAGATATGGCCCAGAGCAGACACCCTGGAGAGCAGGAGGGGTGTGACCAGCAGGGAAGCCAGTGTCACCCTGGTCTGGGTGATACAGGACCCCAAGTGCCCTGTCAGCTTCCATATGCCTGTCTTCCCCCACGTGACCACAGGGCCTTGGTATATCAGAGGTCCTGCTGACAAGCAGAGCCACGCCCATGGCAGCACCTCAGCCCACATCCCTTTCTGGTTCGGTGGTCTGGCTTTCAGGCCATTAAATGATGGAGATAGCTAAATTTACAACTTCTAAATATTGATACACAGAGTGTGTGGCTTCCACTGTATTTCCATGCCTGTCTCACAAGGCTGAGGTTTGGGCTGAGATTCGGGCCTGAAGGGGGCCACGTCAAGTTGGACAGTATCTCCATTCACCGCCAAAGACTCTACGGCCCACGGGGGAGTGAGGTCATATCCCAGGGACATGCGTAAGATATCCCTGTGGATAAGATGGGTCTACAGGGACCCCCCCCCCGCCAGGTGAGCAGTTTTGCTCGGCACCTTCCAACAAGAGGGAAGGGACACTAGGTGCTGTGACAGGAAACACGGGCACGTTCAGCACGGCGGCCGAAATTCGGGAGAAGCCCCAGTCAGAAGAGCTCAATGGCTTCGAGCTTCCTGTCACGCAGGGTCAAAGTCAGGAAGGATGCAGAAATTGTCAGTAATGGGGCCCGGGAGTTGGCGCGGTGGGCACCCGGTGGAGGAGAGAAGGCTGTCCTGTGACTGTCGCCCATGTGCATTGACACACATGGACACTCACTCTCTCCTGCTCAATAGTAATAAGTCACAGTTTTAAAAATCGCCAGTAATGTACAATGAGACTTTACTGGAGTCTTGCCAGTTACTGTCACACTGTGAAAAATGCCTTGTAACACTAAGTATACATAATATCGAGACACATCCGATTAGCATTTTTTTTTTTTACTAAGAAGCAACATCTCCCTCAAGCTCCCCACTGTTCCTGCTTCTTCGGCTATGAGCAAGGGCTAAAACGTCTGCCCACCGCCCTGGGGCAGAACTTCCTGACAGCCCCCCAACCCCTTATCCTGACTCTCGTCATGTCCCCCTTGGTCTCTCATCAAGACACTCGCCAACCTCTCCTTCTAATCTGACACGCCGGCCACTGCACGCTGATATGCAGGGAAGTGTTATGTGCCCGGAACACACAGAAGGGAAAACTCAAGTGAGTAAGAGGGCTTATGAATCGGCACCTGCAAGTCGGCCCCTTGGAGGCAGCTCCCTGTCAGAGCCTGGGGGAGTCTATCAGACCTTCCTGAGCCCACATGGCTTGACACAGGGGGCAGCTGTCCTCTTGGACCACACAGTCTGCTGCAGACATCTTTCTGAACCAGCGTGGCAATGTCTGGGACCGGGCCAGCTTCCTGCTGGCCGTGTGCTGCTCCCGCATCTAGGACACCCACCGATAGCTGACTTAATCCCCCTCCCTGCTGCTACATCTGTAGGTGATCTCTACCTAACTGCAGGAGCCTGGTTCTCTCTCCCTCCCTCAGTTGCTGGCAATGGAACCCGGGGCCATGCACACACGGGTCATGCACTTGGCTACGGAATCCAAGCCCTGTGTCTGGGATTCTCAGGATCATCTGTGGGGAGGAGCTCTTCAGGCAGTGGGTAAACGGATGCAGGGACACACCCACTGCTGTGTGATGGACAAGGGCACCACCACCCCTGGCCCCATGCTTCACCTTCTTTTTTTTTTTTTTTTTTTTTTTTTTTTTTTGGTTTTTCGAGACAGGGTTTCTCTGTGGCTTTGGAGGCTGTCCTGGAACTCGCTTCTCGAACTCACAGAGATCCGCCTGCCTCTGACTCCCGAGTGCTGGGATTAAAGGCGTGCGCCACCAACGCCCGGCTCACGCTTCACCTTCTAAAATAACATTTGCCCTTACTTAGAAGTTCTGGCTGACTTTCTTTAAAACATGTTTTGGTTGAACTATAACCTCAGTCCTTGTGAGGCTGCTGGAGGAGGATCGTGAGTTTGAGGCCAGCCTAGGCTATGCAGCGATACGTTGTCTCTAAAAAAAAAAAAAAACAGTTTTGCCCATAGTTAAAAGATAAAACTTTGAAGAATTTGGAAATATGGTTTGAAATACTGAAATAAGAAGCTTTTTTATAGACTTGCTTAAAAAAAAATAGTCTTAAAGCTTAAGTCTACAGAACGTAAGTTGGAGGAAACTCACCAGATACTTAAGACTGTCCCGTTCCTTGGTGACATTCTCTGCCAAGCCCACCAGGTTCGCTAGGTACTGGTGTGCAGATAGCTCCTTCCCCATGGCTTTCTCCACTTGCTTTCTGAGAACATCAATTTTCTTTTGGTATCGCCTGCAGAGGTCCCCAGTGGCAAAAAATGAAAACAAGTGAGCCCGTGTGTGGCTCGGGAGGAGCGAATATGTGTATACAAACATATGTTTAAAAACTAGTATGTGCGTATATGTATGTACGTATATGTATATATTGTGTATACACATATATGTGTCTGTGTGTATAGGTATATACTTTTACATTTTGGGGGGACAGTCTCCCTGGCTGTCCTGGATGGAACTCACTGTGTAGACCAGGTTGGCCTGAAACTCACAGGAATCCGCCTGCTGGAGTTAAAGGCATGTGCAACCACACTTGGCTACCAGCTAATACTTAAATACTACACTCAGGGCTTGGCTAGTCTGCATAAGGCCCTGGGTCCCAACCCCTAGCCCCGCAGAATTAACTAATTAAATGCTACGGTCCAGCAATACCATCTTCTTTTACATTTCAAGAAGTAAATGAATCTAATTTGAAGCCAGGTAGAAGGACTGAGTCCTCACCCAGCTAAGAAGACTCAAAAGTCAACTATGCGGGCATGCTGTCGTCCCCACACCTGGGAGGCTGATTCAGGCAGACGGCTGGAGTTCCAGGCACGCCTGCCCTGCAATGTGGGACCTGTGGCTACCAAACAAACAAACAGCACTCACAAAATGCCTGGCAATGAGCCAGCTGATCAAACACTACTCTCCTAACTTTCTGACTCACGGTTGAGAGACATTGTTGAAAATGGAATCCCACATGAAGATGGGAAGGGGGTTACTAGTGTGATTGTGTGCAGGTTTGTGCATACGTGTGTGTGGAGTGTGTGTGTGGTGTGTGTGTTCAGGTGTGTGTGGTGTGAGTATAGCTATGATGTATGTGCAGGTGTGTATATGTGGTGTGTGCATGTGTGGGTGGGTGTGTTAGGGTGTGTGTATGTGGCTGGGGATGTAGGTGTGGTGTGTGTGGGTGTGTGTAGGTGTGTGTAGGTGGGTGGGGTGTAGGTGTGGTGTGTGTGGGTGTGTGTGGGTGTGTGTATGTGGCTGCGGATGTAGGTGTGGTGTGTGTGGGTGTGTTAGGGTGTGTGTAGGTGGGTGGGGATGTAGGTGTGTGTGTGGGTGTGTTAGGGTGTGTGTAGGTGGGTGGGGATGTAGGTGTGTGTGTGGGTGTGTTAGGGTGTGTGTAAGTGGGTGGGGATGTAGGTGTGTGTGTGGGTGTGTTAGGGTGTGTGTAGGTGGGTGGGGATGTAGGTGTGTGTGTGGGTGTGTTAGGGTGTGTGTAGGTGGGTGGGGATGTAGGTGTGGTGTGTGTGTGTGTGGGGATGCTGTTGTGGTGTGTGTGTGTGTGTGTGTGTGTGGTGTGGGTGTGTAGGTGTGGAAGGGAGGAGTTGGGGAGACCAATGTATACATACATGCATGATACAAAGAACAAAAGACATTTCAAAAGCAGTAAGTGTATAAGTATTAAAAACAAAAGGAAAAAAGAACGAAAGGAAGAAAGCTGGGGTGCAGTAGTGGAAAAACAGGCTTTGAGGAGGTGGCTAGGAAACTGTCTAGAGCGCAGGGTTGCCCTGTGGCTATCAATATCTGAACCACAGACTTGAGAACTTCAGATGCACAGAAAAGCTTTTGTTTACACCCATCCGTTTGGCTATTATTTCCCATTTCGTTGTCCCTATCAGAGAAAGACAAGACAAAGGGAATGAAATGCATACACACACACACACACACACACACACACTCTTGCACATGCACACTCCTGCACATGCACACACCTGTTAGCCTTGCGCATGCGCTCCAGCTCAGCCTCCAAAGCTCTGCTCCTGCTGGCCCAGCTGCTCTTCTCCAGCTGCAGACTCCTGCTCTGCACCTGTAGGGCGGTCAGCTTTCCCAGCAGCTCCTCCATCTCGGCGCTGTCCTTCTCTTCTTCCTTTTGCAACTGGCTGAAGGACAAGAGACGGCAAACACACGTGCAGTGACCTCTAGGTACAGTGAACCATGTGTACTGCACACCATAGATACAGTGCACACTGTGTTCAGTGAACCGCGTGTACTGCACACCATAGATACAGTGCACACTGTGTGCAGTGAACCGCGTGTACTGCACACCATAGATACAGTGCACACTGTGTGCAGTGAACCGTGTGTACTACACACCATAGATACAGTGCACACTGTGTGCAGTGAACCGTGTGTACTGCACACCATAGATACAGTGCACACTGTGTGCAGTGAACCGTGTGTACTGCACACCATAGATACAGTGCACAGTGGGTACATTGAACCGTGTGTACTGCACACCATAGATACAGTGCACACTGTGTGCAGTGAACCGTGTGTACTACACACCATAGATACAGTGCACACTGTGTGCAGTGAATCGCATGTACTGCACACCATAGATACAGTGCACACTGTGTACAGTGAACCGCGTGTACTGCACACCATAGATACAGTGCACAGTGGGTACAGTGAACCGCGTGTACTGCACACCATAGATACAGTGCACACTGTGTGCAGTGAACCATGTGTACTGCACACCATAGATACAGTGCACACTGTGTGCAGTGAACCGCGTGTACTGCACACCATAGATACAGTGCACACTGTGTGCAGTGAACCACGTGTACTGCACACCATAGATACAGTGCACACTGTGTGCAGTGAACCACGTGTACTGCACACCATAGATACAGTGCACACTGTGTGCAGTGAATCGCGTGTACTGCACACCATAGATACAGTGCACACTGTGTTCAGTGAACCGCGTGTACTGCACACCATAGATACAGTGCACACTGTGTTCAGTGAACCGCGTGTACTACACACCATAGATACAGTGCACAGTGGGTACAGTGAACCGTGTGTGTACTGCACACCATAGATACAGTGCACACTGTGTGCAGTGAACCGTGTGTACTACACACCATAGATACAGTGCACACTGTGTGCAGTGAACCACGTGTACTACACACCATAGATACAGTGCACAGTGGGTACAGTGAACCGTGTGTACTGCACACCATACAGTGCACACTGTGTGCAGTGAACCACATGTACTACACACCATAGATACAGCGCACACTGTGTGCAGTGAATCGCGTCTACTACATACCATAGATACAGTGCACAGTGGGTACAGTGAACTGTGTGTACTGCACACCATAGATACAGTGCACACTGTGTGCAGTGAACCACGTGTACTGCACACCATAGATACAGTGTACTCTGTGTACAGTGAACCGTGTGTACAGCACACCCTGTGTATAGCACACCATAGGTATGGTCCACACTGTGTACAGTGCATTGTGGGTACAGCGCACCCTGTGTAGAGCATACTCATATAAAACAAACTGGGGCCAGAGGACACCCCCACCCCCCAAAAAACCAAAACTAAAACAGAAGCTGAGCAATCTCTGCGTACTCTCCACTTCCTACAGCGGGTTCCAGCAGCCTCCTGCTGAGAGGCGACAAGCTCACCTTTTCAGCTCATTGACAATTGACGTATGAACATCCACGGCGATCTTGCTGTCCAGCTGTGCCTTGAGTTCTCGGCATCTGGCCTGCAAGCTCCCCAGCTGCTCCTTGCTGTCCGTCAGCTGCTTTTCCTGGTCCTGCGTCTTCGCCTCCAGGAGCACAAGTTGTTTGGTCAGCTTAGACACTGGCAGGGAACAAGATGAAGGCGTGATAGACGAGGCTGGCTGAAACGCGCGTGGTAGCCAGGCGTGGGGGTGGTACACTCGGGCTCTGAGGCAGGAGGACCTCGAGCTCTGGCTAGGCTAGGCCACACAGTGAGAGCCCATCTCAAAAACTTACCTTTAAAAAAGAAGAAAGGTAGGGAGGCGGGTAGGTGGTGGCGCACGCCTTTAATCCCAGCACTTGGGAGGCAGAAGCAGGCAGATCTCTGAGTTCGGGGCCAGCCTGGTCCACAAAGGTGATGGGGGAAGTCCTTCTGTTTGTTTGCCTTATTGGTTGATAAATAAAGCACTGTTGGCCAATAGGGAAGCAAGATAGGTGGGACTAGGAGCCAAGGAGGATTCTGGGAAATGTAGTAAAAGCTAGAGTTGCCACGTGATCCTGGGAGGAGAGGACGCCTGAGTCTGGCGTTCTCCGTAAGATAAGACCTTGTAGAAATATATACATTAGTAGTTATGGGTTAATACTTAAGACAGAGCTAGCCTACAAGCAGCCCTAAACACTGGCCAACAGCTTTATAACTAAGAGTCTCTTTATAACTAAGAGGCTCTAAAGCAGGGAAACAGGACCCAGGCGGGAATCCCGCAACACAAAGGGAGTTCCAGGACAGCCAGGGCTACGCAGAGAAATCCTGTCTCGAAAACCAAAACCAACAAAAAGGGGAGGCAGGACTGCGGCTCAGTGGCACGCTGTTTCCTAGCTTGTACCCATGCTGATTACTAGAAAAGTCAGCTAGCTTACAGAAATGGCCTTTGTAGGCTGGCGGTGTGGCTCAGCCCTCAAAGTGCAAGTACCCCGTGCACGAGGTCCTGGGTTCAATCCCCAGCACCGCACGCAAGAGAAAATAAAGCAGACTTGGTGGAACTCGCCTGTTATCCCAGCAATTGGGAGGTCTGACAGGAGGATCAGAAACTCAAGGCCATGTTGGGTGTATAGTGACTCTGAGGCCAGCCAGGAACTGGAGCTCAGTAACTTCAGCTGCAACAGAGGTTGGCAGTGAACTCTCGGTTGTGGGGAGGGAGTTGGCTTTTGTTGTTTCCTTTTGTTTTTATTTAAGATTTATTTTTGTTTTACGTGCGTTGCTGTCTCGCATGCATGTGTGCTGGATCCCCTGGAACTGGAGTTACAGCTGTAAGCTGCCGTGTGGGTGCTGGGAATGGAACCCAGGTCCTCTCTTAACCACTGAGCCATTGCTCCAACCCTCAGAGGGAGTTGTTACATGAGCAGGGACAGAGGAAAATAGGAGGCTCACAGAGATCAGGCAAGACAGCCTGTTTCAGACTCCTGTCCTGTGATCCCTGTCTTCCAGGAGTACAGGCGAGGGAACCCCTATTGGGAGGGCTCCTATTTGGTTTTAATCAAAGCAAGGGAAAAAATCTCTCAACCTGGCTCACTTTAAAGAACACTTTCTGGAAAGTTCTGAGCCAACCTGGACTACACAGGAGACCCTGTCTTAAAACCCTAGGGTTAGGGATGAGTGATCTGAATACAAATGACCCCCATGTGTTGGGGAAGTCCTGTGTATATATCAATAAATTACTGCTGGCCAATAGGAATCTAGATAGGTGGGGCTAGGAGTCCAGGAGGATTCTGGGAAGGAGAAACACAAGAGAGTCAACATGTAACGCCATGGGGGTAGGAAGCCTGGAACTATTCTCCGGTAAGAAACATACTCAGATTAGCAATTATGGGATAAATACTTAAGTCAGAGTTAGCCAGTAAGAAACAAGCAAGGCCAACAGCTTCATAATTAATATAGCCTCCTGTGTGTTTATTTGGGACTAAGCGGCTCTGGAACCAGGCTGGCGGAACGGCTCCTTCTCAAGGAAAAAGCTTCTCTTAACACCCATGGGCTCATAGATTTGAAGGCTTAGTCATCAGGCAGTAGCACTATTTGAAAGGATTAGAAGGATTAGGAGGTGTGGCCTTGCTGGAGGAGGTTTCAAAGGACCATGCTGGGCCCAGACTTTCTCTTTCTCTCTCCTCCCTCGCCTCTCCTACCCTCCCCCCTCTTCCTCTCTCTCTCTCTCTCTCTCTCTCTCTCTCTCTCTCTCTCTCTCTCTCTCTCTGTGAAAGCCCTCAGCTACTACTCCAGTTCTAGGTGTGTTCTACCAAGCTCCCCACCATGACGCTAATGAACTAGCTTCCAAAGCTGCAGGCAAGCCTGCAATGAAATGCTTTCTTCTGCAAGCGTCGCCCTGCTCGGGGCTGGAGACATGGCTCAGAGATTAAGAGCACCGACTGCTCTTCCTGAGGTCCTGAGTTCAATTCCCAGCAACCACATGGTGGCTCACAACCATCCATAATGAGATCTGGCGCCCTCTTCTGGCCTGCAGGCATACATGGAGGCAGGATGTTGTATTCATAATAAATAAATAAATCTTTAAAAAAAAAAGGCGTCGCCCTGCTCCTGGTGTCTTTTCACGGCCTTAGAGCACTAACTAAGACGGCTGTAACCCAATGCAAAATTGCTTCTTTGCATACAGGGAGTGGGAGAGGGCGGGGAGGGGGGCACAGGGAAGTTCTACTTTCTGTCCAGTCAACAGATAACTAAGAACACGGTCTTGGGTTGTTTCAGATGCTTCGTTTTGTAACGTTTCCCATCTCCCAGATGCTATCCTACCCCACAGCCACTTCAGCTGACCCTCCAAGGGACCAGAGACACGCGGACTGAGAACTGCAATGAACGCATGACTTACAACGCTGAAAAGTAAGACCCCGCCCCCGGCCCCGCCCACTCACCTTCTTGGAGGTGCTCCTGGTGGGTGTCCCTGGCTTTTGTTTGCTGAATCTCCAACTGCTCCATCAACAGCTTGTTTTCATCCAGAACCAGCTCTGCCTGGGCCTGAAGCTGCTTCCTGTGGTTGATTCAGACGATCAAACAGGGCCCTGAGGTTCTAAGGGACCCCAGGAATGTGCTACGGCGTGGGTCTACATGTGCGCACGCTTTCTTCGTGCCGGCCACGTGAGCTACCCAGCAAACGCTGCCGTGTGCAGCGACTGGGAGGAAGGGCAGCGATGATGCAGAACCAGGGGCGGAGGCATCAGCAATCGCGAGAGGAGACCACTCGGAGAGGACAGACGGCCGCCATGTGCACACCACAAGGCAGGGAGCCACGTGGGGGGGTGAGGGACTGAGGCGGAGGCAGGCTAGGGCGGAGTGGGGCTGCCCAAGGGGCCGGGAGTCAGCCTCCTCACGCTGCTCCTTCTCGGGCAGGTCTCCGCTCTTGGGCTTGTCTTCCCTTCCCTGTGTCTTTCCTTTGCTCCTGGTTTCACTCTGAGACAAGGCGCCACTATGAAGCTCAGGTTGCCCTGAAGATCACAACCCCCCCCCCCACCGCCAGCGGGTGCCACCAAGCCGGGCTCTCCCCCCCCCCTTCTTTTTAAAGGGGTCCTTGGCTATATATATATAATATATATATATATTAAGTTGAGAAAAAATCATCTGGGTGACACGATCTAAGCCCAGGAAGGCGAGTATTTATATATATTCACTTGTAAGTGGACATTGGCTGTTGAGTAAATGATAATCGAACTACGAACCACAGACCCAGAGAGGTCAGGTAGAGAAGAGGGCTCTGGGGGTGCGCACGGGTCTCTCGGGGAAGGGGAAACAGAATAAGCTTTGCAGGTAGACTGGGGGTGGGAAGGATTCGGAGGCGGAGGAAGGGAACACAGCTGGAACTGGGGAGCCCTGTGCACTGTGTGTGTGTGTGTGTGTGTGTGCGCGCGCATAGAAACCTAGTGCAGTGGAAGCTTCTGGAATCTGTGAGGGTGATCCTAGTGAAAACTCGTCATGGAGAATACAGAGTCTGCACTGGTTGTCTATATGGCCAGGCAAGGCTTCCGGTAGTGGTTCTGGGTGACATTATTCGACTGAGCTGTTGGGTGCTGGCCAAGGGGGGTCCCATGGAGATCTCTAAACAACCCAGGCTGATGTTAGGTCAGAAGGTCACTTTCTGAAAACTGACAGCAGGGACCCCAGGGTTGAGGACAACTTCTACACAGCTCACTGAACCCAGAGAGGTCGAGCTGGGGTGGACTTGGAGTCACCCCTGCCTTCTACTCTCTTTGGTGTGAGAAGGTACTCCGCAGGCTACAG